TTACAAAAAAGTCATAATATATATATATATATACATATGTGAAATATTATTTTATTTTAGGTTCATTGTACCAGTTTCGATGATCATATTAAATGACATTTGGGCATATGTATTTGGATTTTTCTTTGGACGAACCCCCCTTATACAAGTATCTCCCAAAAAAACCTGGGAAGGATTTATTGGAGGTGGTGTAGCAACTGTTGTTTGTGGTATTGTTGTATGTATAACTTTTTATCTAAATAAGTCTAAATATGTATATTTTATTAGAATACTAGTGTTGAAAAGCAGTCTTTTTTTTCGTAAATTGATTATTTAATCAGAGCAAACATGAGGAACAATAGTGCCCTTAGCATTAAAAGTACTAATGGCATCATATGCATATATTATGAGTATTACTAATAACTTCTTATCATCAACAACTAATTTCAATAAAAAATCATTTAAATTTTCTTCCGTTTGGATATTCTGCGTAAAATTTAAATAAATATATTGGTTGTACTTCTTGTTGTTTTAAACATGTGAAAATGTAATTAGGTAAATGAGAAAATCTATAATTATAGTGTCTCAGATCAAATTGACAACACTTAAAATTTTCATTTTGTTTATTTTTATACTTTTAACAATTATTGTCTTTTTAGATTAATGACTTTTTAGACTTTTAAATTAATATTTTTAATTTTACTTAATTAATTAGCCACAAGTGATCAATTTTTATTATATAATATTATTGTTAAATTTTATAATTTAATGAATATCATTCTTTGCCAGATGTCATATTTTCTTTGTCAATATCCATATTTTGTTTGTCCAGTTGAGTATAGTGATAAATTGGGCAGAATGATGATTGATTGTGAGCCATCACCATTATTTACTCTTCATGAATATGTTTTACCAGATTTATTAACTTGGCCATTGAGTATTGTAAGTATTTGACATAAGTGTTAATTAAATTAAAACTTCAAATTTTCATGATAAATCATCTTAATTTTCAGTTTGGAATGTCTGATAAAGTAACTATGTATCCTTTTATGATACATGCATTTTGTATGTCTTTATTCAGTTCTATTATAGGCCCATTTGGTGGATTTTTTGCTAGTGGTTTTAAGCGTGCATTTAAAATTAAGGTAAGTTTTGAAAATGACTGAATTTAATTTTTAGTTACCTGTGTATAATGTTGGCCGAGTTTCTTGAAATTATCAAAGTTTGGTATATTTTATATGTCATTAGATATTATGTGGGGATGACTTATTTGTCAAAACTTATATGAAATTGAGAAAACATATATATAATATTAATATTTTTATGTCTTTATTAATTATCAAAACTCTGAATTTCAAGCAAATTTTGGACAGCATTAGTCAAATAATTGCATAAAAAAATCTTGTTTAATAAAATTTTGCTTCAATTATAAAATTTCATTCAGCATATTTCATTTCATTTTTTTTAATCATACTTATTGAGTTTTGACTAACTGTTTTGATGACATATTAAGACATATTTGTGGTGCTAGAAAAAAACTGTTTTAAGTAAAAAATTTGTAAAAATGATTTAATGTAAAAATTTGCTTGCTTTCACAAGTAATAATCTTAATGTATTATTAAGTTGTACAAAATATGTATATACCTAGTGATCACCAATAAACTACAGGATGGAAGCTACAAGAATGTTTCTAATGCAAGATTGTTTTTTTTAACAGTCAATATTTTATTAACATTATGACATGTCTATTAGTCAAATTTGACAAAAAAAAAAATATTTTTTTTTATTTTACTCTACAATTAATCAAACTATTAGTCTTATTTTGTTTAAAATTTTAGACTGAGCAAGTTAGTCATTTTTATTTACTTGTGATGTTAAGAAATTAGATTAAAAAATTAAACTTAGTTACAATGTATAAGTTACTAAGTTTTAATTGTATATTCAGTTAAGTTACTAGTTATTTTAAATACTAATAATAACTTTTTAACCTAAGTTAAATTAAATAATAGAAATTTTTGCTGTTCATATGAAAAGTAATATTTTTTTTTTTGAAAAGAAGTGTAAATTCCAACTCTCTACCATAAAAAAACAACAAGAAAATCTATTTTTTAGCTTCGATGCGAAGCTGAGAAGGTATTGGTTTTACAATGATGTGTGTTTTTTTTGTGTCTGTTACCACTTTTTCTCAGCTCTCACAGAACCGATTTCTTTAAATGATACGTCAAAAGATCACAAATCGTAACTAGTCGAAGACATTACCCTCAAAAATTGAAAAAATTTCCTTCGTTCTCAGTAAATGGGGGAAACCAACAAAAAAATTACAAATTTAATAATCGCTATGTTTCGAAATTTTTTCAATTTTTTTTACTTAAAACTGCCATAACTTTTTCAAAAATGAACAAATCAATATAGTTTTTTTTTTATAAATGCTTGATGTCTTTACCTATTATTTAGTACATTTTTTTTATAAATTTAACCCTTTACCAGCCCACAGAGGGGATTCAAAATGACAACTTTTTTACAAAAAATTAACTTTTTCAACTTAACTTTTGAAAGTGTTACGGAAATACTGACACTTTTATATATATCTTAAATTAAAGCTTATGTAATATACTTTATCATGGAAAAAAAAATTCGGACTTTATTTTGTCTTCACGGTGAAAACAGTCATCAAAGTTAATAAAAAAAATTCGATTTTTGTAAAAATATTATTTTTCATATTTTTAACTTTATAACGCTATAATTCTTTGAAAAATGTATGAATCAATATAATTTTTTTATGAGGAGTAGTATTTATATATATCTTTCATTCGACATGCTGTTTTTTTAAATCAGACCATTTTCCTATATACGAGGGGTGTTCAAATCTAAAAAATGCATATAGAAAGTAGAACTTTTTCAACTTAACTTTTGAAAGTGTTCCGGAAAGTCTGACACTTTTATATATATCTTAAATTAAATTTAATGTAATATACTTTATCATGGAAAAAAAAATTTCCGATTTTATTTTTACATTTTTAACTTTATTATGCTATAACTTTTTGAAAAATATATGGATCAATACAATTTTTTTATGAGAAATAATATTTTTTAATAATCCCTTTTTCATTCAACATACTTTATCTTAATCAGAATATTAATAAGGAACTAGCAGATCATGTAGCTTATGGAATAAACACCAATTTTTTAAAATTAAACACTAAAGATTTGCATCGAAGCATTTTTTATGATAGTGATTTTAATCACTGTCAGATATCATTATACTTGATCCAACTATGCACGTCACCACTGTTCCGCGACCCCTTTATGNCATAACATAATTGTGTTATTGCAGTTCAATATATAGAATATAGTCTAATATCTTTACATAGGGTATAATTCATTAATTATTTTCATTATTTAAAATTTCTCAGGGAAATGTTATTTTATTTCAGTATTATATTATCTTAATCTTTCAAAAAAGACTTTCATAATCAACCATATGTGTAAAAAAAAACAGGGTTGTATAATAAAATTTAAAATTTAATTAGAGATTTTTCATTTTGATATATTGATATTTTGATTATGACTAGTTAAAATCTCTTTAGTCTTTTGGCTAAATGTTGACTAGTCAATGGACATTTTGTCCACTATAATCTTATGTATCTATGCTTTAATATTTATTTAAATTCTTCTTCTTCCTCACCTTAATCCCAATTACTTGGGTCGGCCACCCTTATCCTAAAATTCCACTTGACACGATCTCCCACATCAGCTGTTCTCAATTTGCATTCAATAGCATCCCTCCATATCTTTTTTGGTCTTCCTCTATCTCTTCTTCCTTCAAAATTCATTTCTATAACTGTTCTTACAGCTTCCGATTCTTCTCTCCTCATAACATGACTAAACAATCTAAGTCTATTTTCTGTCATCTTATCCACGATTGACGCAACACCTTTACTTCCTCTTATATGCTCGTCCCTTATTCTATCTTTTCTAGTCATTCCACTCAACCATCTAAGGATTCTCATCTTTGCTGCAATCATTCTCTGCTCTACTTTCTTATCAACCTCCCAACACTCTGAACCATACATCATAGCTGGCCTCACTACAGTCTTGTAGAATTTACCTTTCAGCCTCATTGGAATTATTTTATCGCAAAAGACGCCAGACGCTTCTCTCCACTTCAACCAACCGCACCTAATTCTGTGTCTTACATCCTCATCAATACTACCACTCTTTAGCACAACTGACCCTAAATACTTCAAACTCACCACCTCTCTAATCATGTCCTCGACTATTGTCACTAATCTCCTAATTTCATCCACCTCAAGTTTTCCTTTGTCAAACTCGTATTCTGTATACTCTCTCTTACTTCTAATATTTATCTAAATTCTTAATAATTAATTATGTTTTAGGACTTTGGGGATGTAATTCCAGGACACGGAGGAATAATGGACCGTTTTGACTGTCAATATCTTATGGCTACATTCGTAAATGTTTATATCTATAGTTTTGTAAGCACACCAACATTACAAAAAACTATTCAACAGGTAGTCATTATGTTCAAAATAATAAAAGCATTATTTTCTAATTTCAATTTTGTTTTAGGTATTTACTTTAAGGCCTGAAGAACAACTTCAGTTATTTTATATTCTTAAAGGGTCTCTGGAGAATCGAGGTATACTTAATGTTCAATAATTGAAACAGCAGAAATTTTTATTCAACTGTAACTTTTACATTCCATCTTTCAAATATAAAAGCTAAAGAGATAGTCTTGGCAGGAGAAAGATAAAGTACAATTGTTGGCAATTATATTACCAAATCAGTTTTGTAGTTTTTTCAACTATTATGATGGTAGATAATAATATAAAATTAATATGTTTATTTTGTTGCCACCAACCGTAGTGGATTTTTAGTCAAAATACTATTTAAGGCAGCTATCTAATAATAATAATAAATGATATGGTTTCAATTAATCTTATTCCTGAATGTGAGTATGTTATAGGAACATCAACTTAAAATTAAAACTTATTATTATGTGCTTTTTAAAGTGTGTATAATCTACAATTTTTAATATCCCTAAATTATAAATAGATTAAATTTTATTTTTTAATATTCATATAAAACCAATACACTTATAATCTTATACATTTTGTATTAGGTAAAGTTCATACTTTAATTACTAAATACATAAGAGATTAAACCCGAGTATTATATTTTATAGGTCATAATTATTTGTCTTAAGAACTTGGTGGTAATGGTCACTGATCTGAATATTTTATAAGATTCCCAAAAAATTTTAATATTTGTTATACTATTTAAATTAAATATTTGTAATCATGCTTAAATGATGAGACTTGGTATATGTATAAGAACATAAGAAATATATCAAATGATCAAAAATCTTTGAAATTAAATAGTATCTTATTTGAGTACAATATTTTTTATTTTGAATGACTGTTTTCTATACTTTAATCTTTCCAGTAATATTTTTTTTGAACAAATTTAATCCATTGAAATTCATAGTAAAAAATTTTGTTTTGTTAGACAGGTATTCTTTTTTATAAAAAAATTTTTAAATCAAAAGTAATTTTGATAATAAGTGTTCTTTTATAAAACTTCACATTTAATTGTCATTTTCAATCATTTTACTCTTATTTAACCAAAGAATTTATTTTATTGTTAAGTGAAATTGTTGTTTTTTTTTAATTTATTATACTTATTACAATAATATATACTAGTTTAAATATTTTTGCTTATTTAACATCGATCAATTGTGTGTGTATGTGTGTGATATGGTTTTTAAAAGTATAAATAAACAATTTATTGTTATTGTTTTTTTTTTTTATCAATTTTTGAACAAACTAGTGTAATGATAGGTTACCATAGTGATCGACACTTAAACAAATATTGTAATGAACTATTATTCTTATGTATTACTCATACTATCAATTTTTATCGTGATCTGTATGTTCGAATGTAAGGAAATAAAATGGATGAAATTGAAATACAAGATCTTGAATTACGTTCTCTTATTGGTTTCGACGGAAATCCATTGAAAGGTCTTATTTTGCACCCGGATGGTATTCATTTAATATATCCATTGGGAACTAATATCACAGCATATAATTGGCCAAATAAAACTCAGAGATTTTTTGAAGGGCATACTAATGTAATATCTGCTGTTGCAGTTTCAAAATCTGGAAATTATATTGGTTCAGGCCAAGTAAATTACATGGGTTTTAGATCACCAATAATTATTTGGAACTTCAAAAATGGACAAATAATCACAAAATATGACTCGCACAAAGTTCGAGTAGAAGCTATTTCATTTTCGTGTTGCGAACAATTTTTTATATCTTTAGGTGGTATTGATGATAGTTCTGTTATAGTGTATGATATTGGGAAAAAAGAAGTACTTTGCGGATCATCTTCTGTAAAATCGACTGCTGGTTATACAACTGTACTTCAATCGGTTCATTTACGTGGCGAATGTTTTCTTGTAGCTGGTGATAATATAATAACATTATGGACATTAAACAAGGAACAGAGAAATATACAAGGATTAGACACGTCGTTTTTTAAAATCAAGCGCAAAATTTTATGTGTTGAAATTGATCACATAGACGAATATGCTTATTGTGGTACAAGTACAGGAGATATAATGAAAATTAAACTGAACTTTTCCGCAGATCCTAATGTTGCAAATACTACTAGTTCTCCTGCTTTAATGGGATGTTTTGCGAAGTATCCAATTACTAAAAAACGTGTAGTAGAGTTGTACAGTAAAGGAATCACCTCTTTATACTTGAACACAGACGGCACAATAATAATTGGATCCGGCGATGGCACTTTAGAACTTGTAAAACAAAAGCCCAAGATTACTTCTAAAAATAACTTAAGGTATCGTTTAACGATTCCTACACATCCATTGTTGGTTGTATTACAATCAACTAATGTTGACTCAACCGTTACTAGTATACAACTCATGAAAAATGTAATTTTAGTTGGTACAATTAATTGTGAACTGTTTACTATTAATATTGAAGATTTTGAAGTTACATGTTTATTTACGTGTCACACGTCGGTTGTGTATGACTTGGCCTTTCCGCATAACTACAGCAAAGTATTTGCTACCGCAAGCAAAAACGACGTTCGTGTATGGTCAGTAGATACGCTCCAAGAACTTTTACGCATAACGGTCCAGAATTTTATATGCTCTGGAGTATTGTTTACCCATGACGGATCTCAAATTGTTACATCGTGGAACGACGGCAATATTCGAATATTCACTCCAGAAACTGGGCGTTTATTGTATACTATAAATAACTGTCATAATAAAGGCGTTTCTGCAATCGCCATATCTAAAGATGACAAAAAACTGCTGAGTGGTGGCGGAGAAGGTCAGGTTCGTGTCTGGACAGTTAGTAATATGAATGGGACTTTATTGGCTGTGCTTAAGGAACATAAAGGACCGGTCAGTTCGATTGCCGTTCATCAACTGGGCCATGAAGCTGTTACAGCTAGTGCTGATGGCACATGTGTTGTATGGGATATAGTGCGATTTACACGATTGTCAATTATGTTTTCGTCGACTATTTTCACATGTGCTAAATATCATCCCAATGGGGCTCAATTATTAACATGTGGCACCAACAGATTTATTGGATATTGGGAGGCACTTGATGGATCATTAATTCGTGAAATAGAAGGATCATCAGCGTCTGCTCTCAATTCATTAGATATCACTCCTAATGGTCGGTAAAATTATAAATATTTTAACAATCTAACTAGGAATTCTAAAAAATATATAAATAATATTTTTAGGTAAATATCTAGTTACCGGTAGTTCAGATCAAATGATTAAGGTATGGTTGTATGATGAAGGGATACCAACATATGTTGGAGTTGGCCACGCCGGAGTAGTTACTAATGTGAAAGTTAGTCCCGATGGTAAGTTTATAGTCAGTACAAGTGCTGATGGAGGTATTTTCTTATGGCATTTTCCACATCCTAATGTTCCATCTTCTCCAAGTCGTAATAGTATTAAAAGTACAAGTATTTCTAGTCAACATGAAGATCAAATTAGTCGTTCCAGACAATTATCATTAAAAAAAATAAAGCCAATGAAAAAGGAAAACATAAATACGATATCAAAAACTCCTAATAATAGAACAGTTAGTAGACACAGTGACGTAAATAAAAACGTACCATTAAGACAGTTGGATAGTGCAGCTGTTAAGTGTTTGTGCAATGGAACTTGCACATGTTGTATTGATGAGAAAATAAGTAAAATCTCGACGAAATAGTATTTTTTAAAGATAACTTTTTCCATTAGTTCAAAATATTTTGTCAGTAATGCTTAATTTTTTTTTTATGGCCTCTGGCTAGATATTTTTAAATCGCATAAAAATTAAATGCATTGTGTGACAAGGTTAGCAATCTATATTTTTTATAAATTATAAATACATAAAAAATATATTCAATTACATAAGAATATGAATTCTTGTATAAAATAACGTCTATCTTTTATAAAAAGTACGATTTATATGCATGTTGAATATATTTTTAATAATAAATGTTTCCTTGAAAAAATAAGTAATGTACTCTTTGAGTATATTACTTGTAACATAAATTTAGTTGTCATTGGTGGTAGATGTATAGTATAGTATACATTATGCAGTGTAATTAAAAAACTATGGCGAAACAAGCATTTTTGTTTGTAGAAGAGCTAAACTATTTTAGACATATTCAGTAACGAAAATGAGTGTTTCAACAGAGGCGAATAGAACTCCACCAGATATTGAGGAGCAATTTTTCTAAAAACTTTAATTATGTAAGCTTTGAATATATCATTTAATATGATGCCAATCGTCGTACATAATTTATAACACAAGTAATCATCAAAGACAGCAATATAATACAAATTAGGCAACATTTTTAAAATCATAGTAGTGATTAAATAATAAAATTTTCTACATGAAATTTTGAAATAATATCTGTATAAAAACTACCAAGAGTTTTCAATTTAACTTGCCCCGAATGATAGGGGCTGTAGTTTCTCTAACCATTATTATAGCATGTTATTACTACTATGTAAGTTTATTTTGATATTTTAGGTACAAACATTTTTTATAAACTTAAATAATTTTATTGAATGTTACTTTTAAATAATATATTAGTTAAATTTTATCTTATCTATAAAAAATGATATAAAAATTATAAACAATAATATTTTTTTCTTTTATCTTCAGGATTTTATATTTTAACATTTTAAGTTTATGAATACTTCAGAGCTTCTTTTTAATTAATTTAGATATAATGAAGAGTAAACAAATAATCTATGACTAAAATATAAAACAGTTGAGACATAAATAAACTATAAAGGATCTTGGGAACTTTTTACAATTATGACTGCAATGTGTTCATTTACATTTAAAGATTTAAAATCTTAATAAAAAATAAAATTTTAAAACTGATTATAATACACAATACATTAATTTATTTTTAGCTACATTGGTAGTATCATTGAGTATTTTAAGTAATGATTTAAATGTGTGCATTAAAAAAATACAATTATATATAATTTACCAGGTGTAATAGCAAGTGCATAATACTTATACTTCACTGACAAAAAATAATAAAGTGTAACGTAACTAAATTTAAATCTTTTTTAATAATGGTAAAATAATTTCCTACAATAAATTAGTCATAAAACAAATTCTGATAATAATTAATTTTATTGTTAATCATAAATTTATATTTAAAACACAAACAAATAAAAGATGCTAAGATAATGCAAGCCTACTTTTGTACATAGTATTAATTAAAATTTGTTATCTTAATTTAATGGTTATTAACTATATACACAGTACATAAATTTTAAGATCTAATTACTCAATACTTTAAGGATATTACAATTAAGGTTCCTATACTATGAACCATAATCTAATGATTGTTGAAATATAATTTAATGTTTTTTTTTTATACATTTGTGATAATCTTAATTTACATAAAATTTGTTATTTATAGTCCAAATAATAAAATTACCAATTTCAAGCACAATATTGTATAATACTGAATAATAACTATTCAGTATTATACAATATTATCATTTGAATAATTCAAATGAATTTAGTTCAGATTAAATTTACTTAGGCTCCACGTTATTCAGTTTATTTCTTTTTAGCTGCTGCTGAATTACTTGCTGGCCTTCCAGAATTTAGTCCAGAATATTGATATTTAGCTTTCTTTTCGGACGGTTTTAAAATCTTTAAAAAAATTTTAATTTTACTATAAGCTTAATAATTAATATAATAAATGAAATTTCAAGAATGTACTTGTAATATATTAATAATGAACTTATTAACAGTGTTTTAATTATTATTGCCTATTATCTAAAATTAAATGTCTCTTCTTCTTCTTCTTCCTCACCTTAATCCCAACTACTTGGGGTCGGCCATCCTTATCCTAAAATTCCACTTGACACGATCTCCCACATCAGCTGTTCTCAATTTGCATTCAATAGCATCCCTCCATATCTTTTTTGGTCTTCCTCTATCTCTTCTTCCTTCAACATTTATTTCTATAACTATTCTTACAGCTTTCGATTCTTCTCTCCTCATAACATGATCAAACCATCTAAGTCTATTTCCTCTCATCTTATCCACAATTGACATTACACCTATACTCTCTCTTATATGCTCGTCCCTTATTCTATCTTTTCTAGTCATTCCACTCAACCATCTAAGGATTCTCATCTTTGCTGCAATCATTCTCTGCTCTACTTTCTTATTAACCACCCATCACTGAACCATACATCATAGCTGGCCTCACTACAGTCTTGTAGAATTTACCTTTCAGCCTCATTGGAATTATTTTATCGCAAAAGATGTCAGACGCTTCTCTCCACTTCAACCAACCGCACTTAATTCTGTGTCTTACATCCTCATCAATACTACCACTCTTTTGCACAACTGACCCTAAATACTTCAAACTCATTACTTTATTTTTCATTTGCTTGTCCATTATTATCCCATTACCATTCTTTGTATTGGTCTTACCTGAATATATTATTTTATAACCCTCATATATTTTCTTTGCTAATGGTTTTGATAAATTTCAATTTCATAGAGTACTTTACTTTTCATCTTCTCATCCATTATTATACCTACACCATTCTTTGTACTAGACTTACTTGAGTATATTATTTTATAACCCTCACCTATTTCCCTCGATTTCTCTCCTTTCCACTTAGTTTTCTGCACACAACAAATGTTAATTTTTGATTTTTTTTTTTTTTATTAATTTAATTTAAAATTACTCATTTAATGATTATTCTAGTTTACATCATATATAATTTCATAATTTTAACTGAAAACATACTTGAAATGAACACATAAGAGTTGCATCAACAGACATCATTCCACCAGCATTATCAAATTCTCCACAGTAATTTGGTGCTGAAAACAATGTTACTAGTTGCCTTTTTGCAAAGAATTCATAGCCATCTTCAACAACCTAATAAAAATACACATTTATTATTTAGTTAATTATTTTCGTGACAAATCTAAAATTATTAAATGTACTTGATGTGCACGACAAATGAGATCCAAATCATGTCTGTTTAAAAATTTGGCTACAACATCTGTACCAAATGTAAATGATACTCCTCTGTCATTTTCGCCCCAACCAGTAACATCTTTATCAGGATCGGACCATAATAAATCACATAGAAGACCTAAAAACAATTAACATTAATTGTTAAAATAAATTATTATAATAAATTTTATAAAAAAATAAAATAAACTATTATTTATCTACATAATATTATGCATAATTATAAACTGTATTTAAATGTTTTAGTTATTAATCACTTAATTTCATTCTTTAAGTTATGCATATTTTTATAAAAAAAGACTAAAGTACAATATCCAACTTTATCTGAATATTATAGTACCAATCATTGAGAGTACTTTTAAGTTTATTAAAATAAACAATATTGGTAAACACATAAATTATCAGATAAACTATTGCTACACAATAATATGAAAACATTTAAAATACATTGGTAAGTATTTTCATAAATTTTAATTAAAGAAAAATAAATATTTTACATATAATTTGGATATCATATACAGAGTGATCAGCTTACTAAGTCTCACGCAATAACTTTAAAAGAATAATATAAAATATAATTTTTTCTTATTAGATGTTATTAGTATTTTACCCACTTTCCTCCATACAAAAAAATATAACTCAATCCCTTATTCTTTCCCCAAAATATTGTATTAACTGACTTAAAAATAAAAAAATGATCTAACTAAGAAAATGACTGGTTGATAACGACTTTTGAAATATTATTTTATAGGTACTTTATATTATGACAAGAGTTTAATTATACGAGAATTTAAGAAAAGCAGTTAAAAAATGTTTAAAGACAAAAATAAATAGACTCCTACATTACCTTTATTCTAAGTGTTAATAACTTCCGAAAAACTGATTTAAAAATTATTATTGACCAGTAAATTTATTATTCATTAGCCAGTTAAACACATATGTTAGCTTTAAAAAAAAATTATACAATTTTTAATAATAGAACTACATTTTTGATTGTGTTAATTAAAATAAATAGAGTAATATAAAAAAAAACTATATTATATGTTATAATTTTGAAAATATTGTTTGAGACATAATTAGCAGATTACACTTTAATTATATAAATAAAAATTACCAGTATCAGGGACATCAGTAGGACGCATTATCCGTCTTATTTGTTCCATTCCTTGTAAGTCAGGGCTTAGACCACCATGACAACAAAATATTTTTTCATCAATAATAGCTGCAATTGGTAAGCAGTTAAAACAGTCAGTAAATGTTTTCCATAATTTTATATTGTAACGTCGTTTACCTTAAAAAAAAAAAAATGAATTAAAATATTTATGTATTTAAATGTAAGGATAATATAAGTTAAATATTCTTACATTCATCATAAAATCCATATATCCTATTGATACTCGCACATTCATGGTTACCTCTTAGGAGGAAAAAGTTTTCTGGATATTTAATTTTATATGCTAATAAAAGACAAATAGTTTCTAGGGATTGTTTACCACGATCTACATAATCACCCAAAAATAGATAGTTGGCTTCTGGTGGAAAACCACCATACTCAAAAAGACGTAATAAATCAGTATATTGTCCATGTATATCACCTAAGTAAAAGTTTGCATTAAAGAATATTAAATTGATGTATTAGAAAAAATTACTTATTTACCACAAATTTTCAATGGTGCTTCTAAATCTAATAATATAGGTTGCTGTAAAAATATTTCTCTAGATTTTAAACATAGTCCTCTAACTTCAGCTTCTGACATTTGAACTGTTTTACCAGGACGACATCCTCGAACTGAAAATAATTTTACAGCTCATGAATTATAGTAAAAAATAATTTTATAGATGGGCTTTTAAGAGAAATAAAATAATTAAATAAAAAACTATACTTCTTATAAAATAATATTGTTATTATTTATAATTAACCAAAAACAGTATGTAACACTTAGTAAGGTTTTGAAGTATTGAATTAAAAATAAGTATGTTAACCTACTAAGTTACTTTTTAAAAATATCACTGAAGATACTTTAACATTAACTTTCTTACCTTCTAATAATCGAGCGATTATGCTGTCAATACTTAATGGTTCGCCGTCAGCCATCGTGGACGGTAAACCTAAATAAAACTAAGTAAATGTTAAGGTAGTTATTAATTATACGGCCTGAACAAATTATAGTACCTACGATGCTTTCGTATATCAACCAGGGGGTCTCTCCCGTCACCACCGCTTCTACAGTTCTACCCGTCCCGCCAACATGTAAATTAATCTTGAATAATAGTTGACTGGAGGGGAAAAATGGCGAATTTCCTTCCCACTATAAGTGCAGTTTTACAAGCAATATTTTTCTATTTAATATAAATATCTAAGATAATCATAAAATATTAAATGTTCATTCAATATAATCGAAAATAATAGTTAAATTTAAGTACAGAAAAGAAAATTGAACAGTTTTACTTAAGTAATTATTTATAAAATTATGCCTCCAAGGTAATTTTCATATTTAAGGTTAGGTTATATAAAACGAGGTATTTTGGACTTTAATTTTGATAATAGATTGTAAAATAATTGATAAGTGATAGTAACCACAGATTAATTTGTTAAAACATTATTTTAACTAGTGCGATATGATAGTTGTTGAAGCTTATAAAAGTGATATGCCAGTGTTGAAGAAGCAAAATCAAATTTTTTTTTAAAAATAATTTTTCATTTAATTTTACCTTTTTAAATTAATTAGAGTAATTTTCAATATAATGGCATTGTTATTACGTAACGTATTATCTAAAGAAAATATTAAACTTACCACTTTATACTCGTATAGTAGATTTAAAACAACAAAATCTGATAAACCAATTATATCTCAAATTGACAATTTAGTAAAAAAAAAAAAAATTGTAGTTTTCATGAAAGGTGATCCAGAAGCGCCAAGGTGCGGTTTCAGTAATGCAGTTGTAGACATATTGAGTATTCATAAAGCTAAGTTTGATGCACATGATGTTTTAAAAGACGAAAATTTAAGGAATGGTAAATTAAATAAAAAATAACACAATACTTAGACAGAAAGCGAGAAATCTGTTTTCTATTCATAGTCCACTGGCATATTTATCCCTCAGTTGTATATCAAGAGTTTTAAAGATTGCTAGTTTTTTCATAATATCATAGCATAGTCAAGTTTATATAAAAATTAAATTGTTTTTTTATTTATTTTTGATTAACTGATAATTATTTCATTCACATTAAATTTAAAGTTATCAAATATTCATCTCTAAAGCAAAATGTTAATATCTTATAATGAATGCTATCGATATTAATTAAATGGTCTAGTTGTAAAAAGATGTATATCCAAAAACAATGTTTTTTTGTAATTTTTCTATTATTTTAGATAATTAAACTAGATAAGACAAAACAAAATTACAAAAAACAATGATTTGGACATTTGTCCTTTTGCAATTGGATGACTTAGTTGATTCATTGGATTCTTCTATTGTTTTATTTTTATTTTTCATATAAATAATGAATTAATCTAATATTTTATGAATTTTTTAAGGTGTCAAAGAGTATTCCAATTGGCCTACAATACCTCAAGTATTTGTTAATGGTGAATTTATAGGTGGTTGTGATATTATGTTACAATTGCACAGATCCGGAGAATTAGATAAAATATTACAGAATGACAATATCAAAACAAATTCAGAGGAGAAGCCAAACACATAATATATGAGCAATTTAAATATTAGTGAATAATTTTGCTTAATATTATATTTTGGAGAAAATAGTTACGTGATACTAATAAAAAATGTTGTTTATTAATAAAATAATATAAATGGTTAATATCTTTTAATATATTTGTTATTAATTAACCTCAATATGTTTTAATGAATTTTAAACAAGTGTTTTATTATTCCAAGTTCTTTTTTTAATTTAACCTCATTCTTAAGAATATATATATATATATATATAATTAAATTTTTGATGTTAGTATATTGTATCCAGTAACATTTATTAGAACATATATAAACAATTAGTAAGAAATTTTTGAGATTACTTCTAATAAACCTATTTATAGTATAAATACAAAAAATACTCATTGTTTTTTAACAGAATTTATTTTAAATTTGACACAGAAATAATTTGTTTTCAAATTCATTATGATATCCCTAAGGCCTAATAAATAAATAAAAAATTACTAGTTCTTAATAAAAAATTCGAAAAAACAAAATAGAAATATAAACTGTATAAGTTCTTTTTAATGATGATTCTGTTAATTAAAATTGAAAAATATATAATTTTTGTAAAACTAAATATAAATCTTATTTAAATTTGTGATAGCTCAATTGAAAAACATGATCAGTTTATACAATTTATGGACAAAATAATTGATAAATAATAATTTTACAGTAACTTATATTTGTAATTTTTAAAACTGTGTTTATAGTTATATAAAAAAATATTTAAAAAATAAATATATGTATAATTTAAAAATTATAAATTCACTACAATAAAGTTAAATTAAGCAGGTATTGATTTAGAAAATATCAAAATAATTATAAATATAGAAAAATTAAAAACTCAAATAGAATATAAATTTTTATAATAAATTACAATTTTTTATAAAATTAATCAATTAAATCTATTAAAATTTGTATTATTTTTAATTTTCATTAGATAAATTTGGGACAATAATAATTTTTGAGACAACCTCACCCACTAAAAAAGTTAAAATACATAACAAATTTATTTAAAATACATAATTTAAATTCAAAAAAATGTTTAACAAGGTTGTATAAAACATAATATGTATTTAATAAAATAACAATAAATATATTAATTTAATATATTTTTCAACAAATAATTAATCATTTATACTTGGATATATATTCCAAAAAACATAATTTTTAATAAAATTGCTGACTAGTGAATGAATTTTAACAGTGAATAAACCTTTTTTATTTATAAATAAACAATAACAAAATAAATGTTTTCAATAAAAAACAAATTATGGCTCAATAATCAACAGTAAATCATCTCCTTCTAATTTCATTCCTACATTTATATCAATCTGTTTAACAGTTCCAGCAATTGGAGATTGAACTACCATTTCCATTTTCATTGCAGATAACACAACCAAAGGTGCTCCTTTCTCAACTTTGTCCCCTACTTTAACCCTGACGTCCATGACTGATCCAGGCATAGGTGCTCCTACTTCTCCTTTATTAGATTTAGATGCCTTTGGGTGTATATGCATTTCCTAAAAAATTTAAATAAAAAATTTTTTTTAATAATAATAGCTCTTTAATTACTTTCAATACATCATAGGGAGTGTTATAACAATAATTGTAAAATAAACCTAGCCAAAATAATGGTGTAGGATTGAGTTTCTAAATCGCCATTTACTAAAAACTTAATTATATAATTGGATTTATTACCCAAAACAGAACCAAAACATTCAAAGTTCATATTTATTTTAAATATATTCAAGGGAAGAAAATCTGCATTCATGTCTTAGGCGGTTGTAGAAGTTGCCTTGTGAACCAACCCCCCCCCTAAATTTGTATAGTTGATTTTTTTCATACAAAAATGTTATATGTTTTTATACAACGTGTATTTATACCCAAGGTCGGCGTAGGGGTAAACCAATGCATTTGTTTAGGGTTACGGTCATCACGTGCTTTTATCACTGACCTTTTATCTGCCCACAGTGCGGGTTTTAAAATGACAACTTTTTCACAAAAAATTAACTTTTGAAAGTGTTCCGGAAAATCTGACACTTTTATATATATCTTAAATTAAATTTAATGTAATATACTTTTTATCATGGAAAAAAAAAATGTTCGGACTTTATTTTATCTTCACGGTGAAAATGGCTACCAAATGTTATTATTGTGTGAAAATTCTCGATTTTATTTTTTACATTTTTAACTTTATAATGCTATGACATATTGAAAAGTGTATGGATCAACACAATTTTTTAATGAGAAATAATATTTTTTAATAATCCCTTTTTCATTCAACATACTTTATCTTAATCAGGATATTAATAAGGAACTAGCAGATCATGTAGCTTATGGAATAAACACCAATTTTTTAAAATTAAACACTAAAGATTTGCATCGAAGCATTTTTTATGATAGTGATTTTAATCACTGTCAGATATCATTATACTTGATCCAACTATGCACGTCACCACTGTTCCGCGACCCCTTTATGCTGGGTTTTTTTTTAATATAGACCATGTACGATGATATTTATATTTCTAATTAACTTGTACATTTTAAAGTCGCTTAGAATGTGTTGGACGCGTACATATTTCTTTAGTCCCTCTTATAACATTTTTTCACTTTTTTCCCCTAATAATTAGTACTGATTTTTATTAATTTGTACGCCAAAAATAAGAATTTTTACAATGTTTGTTTAATATAATCATTTTTCTAATGGAGGTCCAAACACACGGAAACGTGTGTTTGGACACATTCTATTTTTTATAAACATGAACATAAGAGTTTTTATTTGACAAAAAAAATATATAAATGTGAACGAATTGAATTTTTTAGCAAAAGATTCAAACACTGTTTTTTTAGGTTCATCCTCACACAGAATACTTTAATTTTTTGATATTCGAGTGGTTACTTTATTTATTATATAATTAGAATCACGAATATAAATAATAATTATTGAGTTTAATGATCAAGTTGAAATAACGCTCAAATAAAACTTTAATTACATAATTGCTTAATATTTAATATTAAAACATAAAAAGAAAAAATAACTTTTATGTAAACGTAAAAGTATTACTTAAATAATAAATGTATGATTTTTATTTAAGTTTATGACATTGTGGGATGTCGCATAGATATTTGGTGCATACTTTATAACAGTTATTTTTAAAATGAAATAATCAAATTTATTATTAATACACCGTCGAGTGATTTTAGCTATTATTAATTTTTTATTTAAAGTTGAATCATTAAATCATCAAGTAAAAATCTGTAAGCATAAATTATGTTGCATAATTCATTACTAAAAAGTGTTCTACTCTTACTTAAAAAAGTAGTTTAACATTTTATAATATTACCTTCGACGCTTCTTTATCTCTAATAAAGACCGATCGTAATTGACCATTCATTTCAAAGAAGACTTCAATTTCTCCATTAGCTGTTAATTCCTCTGAAATAGCTAAAGTTTTAAAAGCTAATGTCTTACCCTTTTCTATAGTTACCTATTATACAAGTTAATAAATCAAGTTAGAATTTTTATTGACTTATGATTAAACAATCTATATACTTCAAAGTTTTCCCCAACTTTAGGTCCAGTCAAAAATATCCTGGTATCTAATTTGTCAACTGGACCATATTCTTCCTTGAATGTCAGATATTCATCAGTAACAACAGGATAAAGAGCAGAACTCATAACATCATGATCACTGACATTAGAATATTTTTCTTGAAGATCGCTTTTAACTTTATTAAAATCTAGAGGAGGCAAAGACTGCCCGGGTCGACCTTCAATACGAGGCATATCTTTTAAAATCTACAGTAAAATAATACATAAATAATTAATAAATATTACTGAGTTTAAATTTAAAAATTATAATATATAAGAAATAACATTTGAAAAAATGCTGGAACGCTTTTTTTTTAAAAATAGCATGAAATATATTTTTTCTGAATAATTCTTAAGGTAAATAAATTGTTTTGTCTTCATTAAAAAGTTTGTTGACAATACATATATACTATTAATAATTTTATATGTATAATTTTTTTTTTATAGCTTACGCAGCTATGCAGGAGACGTGTATAAAAGTCACATGATTTTTAAAATAATGAAAATGAATTGATTTATTTTAGTAACTAAATTTGACCAGTAAATTATCTAAATTATTCTTTCTTAAAAACAGTAAAGTATTAATGGTATTTAAAATACTGTCGTTCAAAAAAAAATGGAAGTGAATAAAAATAATTTTTGGCAACAGATGATTAAGATTAAAATAGCGAATATAATGAAAATCGTCAGAGATATACAAATAATATAATAATATAGAAAAATAGAAGGAATACGCGGAAAAAATCGAAGATTCAGTAGCGGAAATTGAAAAAGGAAAATAAAAAAAGAGTTTGTAAAGACGGTAAAAGAGTGGACGGTGTGGATTGTCGAGGGAGACATAAATGATGTGTGGAATAGATTTGCTAGTTGTGTAAAGAATACTGCAAAGGAGATTGTTGGTGAGAGTAGGAGTAGAATGCCAGGAAACAAGTTCAAAAAATCATAGAAAGTAAGAAAAATCAATTCAAAGTATGGCAGAAGAGCAAAGGGAGAGAAGACTGGATGGAGTATAAAAGCATGTGCAAAGAAGCCAAGTGTGCAATAAGTAAGGCGAAGTTTAATAGGTATGATGAGTTGTATGATAGGCTAGGTACAAAGGAAGGCGAGAAAGAAATCTATAGACTTGCAAAGATAAGAGAGAAAAGATTTAAAGATTATCATTATATAAGATGTATAAAAAGTGCCTATAATAAGGTACTCTAGAGTGATGATGATATGAAAAAAAGATGAAAAGAGTATTTTGAAAAATTACTGAATGAGGAGTACCCAAAACAGACATTAGAGAATATCTCGTGGAATGAGGGATTAGTAGATTTAATTAGTGAGAAAAAGGTATGGGAGGCGGTGGCATCAATGAAAAAGAATAAAGCAGCAGGACCAGATGAAGTATGGAAAATATTAGGCGGTGTTGGCATAATGTGGTTGAAGGAACTTTAAAATAAAATCTTATTAGAAGGGGAAATTTTAAATGAATGAAGGAATAATATCGTGGTGCCGCTATTTAAGAGTAAAAGTGACATACAGGAGTGTGGAAATTATAGAGGCATAAAGCTTATGAGTCATAGTATGAAAATTTGGGAAAAGGTAATAGATAAGAGAATAAGAAATAAGACATGGGTATCTAAAAACCAGTTTGAATTTATGCCTGGTAAGTCAACAATGGAGCCATTATTTTGTGTAAGGCAACTAACAGAAAAGTTGTGAATGGTATTTATAGAATTGGAAAAAACGTATAATAGAGTACCGAGAGAGGTTTTAAAGTGGACATTAATGAAAAAAACCCAGCACAGTGGGGTCGTGGCATAGTTGGGTCCAGTATAGATGATATCTGACAGTGATTAAAATCATTATCATAAAAAACGCTTCGATGCAAATCTGTAGATAGTGTTTAATCTAAAAAAAAAATTTGTTAAAATAGCATATTTTTGAATACGGTAGCCATTTGTGCATAGAAGATAAGATGTCGAGACAAATTTTTTTTTTTCATTTTATAGTACATAAAATAATCTTTGATTTGATATATGTTTAAAGAACGCAGTATTTCCGAAACATTTTCAAAAATTAAGTTGAAAAAGTTATTTTTTATAAAAAAGTTACTATTTTAAATCCCCCCTGTGAGCAGAATAAGTGTTAGATTTTCAAAAAAAATTATATCAAATGAGAGGGAAATATCTAAGGTTTCAATACAAAAAAATATTATTTTTATTTGTTCATTTTTGAAAAAGTTATGGCAGTTTTAAGTACAAAAAACATCCCGATAAAATGTAATTTTTATCGCAAACATTACATTTTTTTTTAATTTTCGACAGCCATTTGCACATAGAAGATAAGATGTCGGGACAAATTTTTTTTTTCATTTAATAGTATATAACAAAGATATATTTATAATATATTTAGAAAAAAAAATTATTGCTGATACATACATTTTTCGAAAATTTATAGCATTTTTTAATTTAAAATCGAAAATTTTAACACAAAAATAGCGTTTTTATAACTACGTTTACATGCAGAAGATAAAGTGTCGGGACAAATTTTTTTTTTCATTTTATAGCACATAAAATAAGCTTTAATTTGATATATGTTTAAAGGACGCAGTATTTCCGGAACATTTTCAAAAATTAAGTTGAAAAAGTTAGTTTTTGTAAAAAAGTTGCTATTTTAAATCCCCCCTAATGAGCAGGTTAGTGTTAGATTTTCAAAAAAAAATGATATCAAATGAAAGAAAATTACCTAAGGTTTCAATATAAAGAAATATTATTTTGATTAGTTAATATTTGAAAAAGTTATGGCAGTTTTAAGTACAAAAAACATCCCGATAAAATGTAATTTTTATCGCAAACATTACATTTTTTTTTAAATTTTCGACAGCCATTTGCACATAGAAGATAAGATGTCGGGACAAATTTTTTTTTTTCATTTGATAGTATATAACATAACCTTTGATTTGATATATGTTTAAAGGACGCAGTATTTCCGGAACATTTTCAAAAGTTCAGTTGAAAAAGATCTATGTTTTTTACAATATTTTAAGTTTTGAACGCCCCCTATATAAGGGGAAATTGTCCAATTTTAATAAAAAGTATGTCAAATGAAAGATGTACTTATAATGTATTTAGAAAAAAAAAATTTGTGCTGATATATACATTTTTCAAAAAGTTATAGCATTTTTAAGTTGAAAATTTAAAATCGAAAATCGAAAATTTTAACACAAAAATAGTGTTTTTTTAACTACGGCAGCCGTTTAAATGTAGAAAAAAAAGTGTCGGGACAAATTTTTTTTTTTCATTTTGTAGTACATAAAATAAGCTTTAATTTGATATATGTTTAAAGGACGCAGTCTTTCCGGAACATTTTCAAAAATTAAGTTGAAAAAATTAATTTTTGTAAAAAAGTTGCTATTTTAAATCCCCCCCAATGAGCAGGTTAAGTGATAGATTTTCAAAAAAATGATATCAAATGAAAGGTAAATATCTAAGGTTTTAGTATAAAAAAAAATTATGTTGATTTGTTGATTTTTCAAAAAGTTATGGAAGTTTTAAGAAAAAAAAGTGAAAAAATTTCGAAAATTAGCGATTTTTAAATTTGTAATTTTTTTGGATATTTCCCCCATTTGCGGGGAACGAGGGAATTTTTTTCAATTTTTAAGGGTAATGTCTTCAACTAGATACGATTTGTGATCTTTTGACGTATTTTTGAAAGAAATTGGTCCAGTGAGAGCTGAGAAAAAGTGGCAACAGACATAAAAAAAACACATCATATTAAAATTAATACCTTCTCCGCTTCGCATCGAAGCTAAAATGTAGTTTAAAAAAAATAAAAAAATACGCTTTTAAAGCACATCGAACTAAAAAGTTTAAAATAATTTTTAAAATAAGCTTAAAATTATTTTTAACTTTTTAGTTCCATGTTATGATAGTAGTTATTATCAATATCATGGTGATAACGGGTAACGGGAAATAAGGGTTCGATTCCGGGGAGGGAGTCTGAAAAACGGCTCCCACATCCAAAGAAAGCAGCAGGCACGTAAATTACCTACTCCCGGAACATGGAGGTAGTGACGAAAAATGACGATACTGAATTCATCCTTTGTAATCGGAATGAATACTTTATATCTCTTAATTAGAATAAAGCGTGTTAATAAATAAATTTTAATAGTAATTAGAATATATATATATATATATATGGTGTTCAGTAAGTCAGGAAACGGGTTTCTATTGTTCTCATTGTTTGTAACAATGAGAACAATAGAAACCCGTCTCCTGACTTACTGAACACCCTNACGATAACTAAAAATACATTTTTATAGGAATAGTGTGCCGTCGTGATGCGAGCGCGGCATGGGGATGGGTGAATGCGTATAACAGTCTAGTCTAGACGACGGAATATGCGATAACGCATATTACATATGCTGACGTTTGGAGAGTTACAAACATACATACATACATACACTACATGAATACACTACATATCTCTTAATGAGAATAAAGTGTATTAATATATAAGTTTTAATAGTAATTAGAATATATATATATTTAAAGGGACTTAAGTACGTAAACGTATCATGCATGAGGTATAGCCGTGTTTATGCGGGCGGGCGGTTCGGACTAACATTATACCTGAGGTATAAACGGCGGTAGGAATATATAAATATATATACGTAAGACGCATTAGACGCGGGCGTTATTGGTCAGTCAAAATAAAAATTTGTTTATATATATATAATATTGATGACAAGCACGCGTGTACGGGTACGATAACTAAAAATAAATTTTTATAGGAATAGTGTACCGTCGTATTGTGAGCGAGGCGTGGGGAGGGGTGAATGCGTATAACAGNCATGGGGTGGGGTGGGGTGAATGCGTTATGACAGTTTAGTCTAGACGACGGAATATGCAATAACGCGTGGTGTTTGGAGAGTTACAAACATACATACATACATACATACAGGTGAAACTAATATAAGCGTGTTAAAAAGAGTGCCTAAAGAGAATAAATATAAGAGAAATTCAAGGAGAGGTGCCTATATGCATAAGGGTGGCCGACCCCAAGTAGTTGGGATTAAGACGAGGAAGAAGAAGAAGAAAAAGAATGAAAATCGTCAATGTGATTGCATTATTAGATGATATTTAATAAAATAACAACCTATTTTGAGTAAGAATAATTTTCATTTACTATTAACTCTATTTAAGATGTATTAAAGACAACATTTTAATCATTACTTTGATATCTAATGATGATGGGAAAATATTTATATTAACATGGATATTACAACATCTCAAAGAAATATGACGAAAAACTTACAGTTACATATAATTTAAAGACGAGCCAATGAAAATTATAAAATATATTAATTTTTAATATATAATATATTATATAGTTCCAAAATTATTGGAAAAAAACTAATATCTACCCGATAATATTTTAAGTTATTTTAATAATATGTATAATAGTAATATCGTTTATTATTATTTTTTTTTATCGATTTATATTCAGACTTTATCAACTGTAAACATTTATTATTTGCTGATTATCTTAAACTCTTTAATGACTGTAAATAATCAAGGTGATAAAATACTTCTTTAGAATAATTTGAACCAATTTATTGATTGGTGTAATAATAATGTATTAAATGTTGATAATGATAAGTGTAAATACATTGTTTTTTATTAAAAACACAACCTTACACTTGGAGAATACATGATTAATAATCATAAATATATAAAAGGTAAATAACATAAAAGGTTTACGTATAATGATGTTACCAAATTAATTATTTGGTGCTCATATTAATAAAATATGTGCTAAAGGTTTTAGAATTTTGTGATTTATTCAACGTAATTGTAAAGAATTTTTTGAGTTGCATTGTTTAAAAACATTTTATTATATATCATTACGTTCTAGTTTTGAATTTGAATCTATTATTTGGAATCCTACTCAAGTTGGTTTAGTTAATAAAATTGAAAACATTCAAAGATGTTTTTTACTAATTATAGCGCATAAAGTTAGCATGACTGTTGAAAGTATTGGGAATGTAAAGCGTCATTGTAATATGGTGTTTTTAATATCTAGATGTATAATTATACTAATGTGTTTTTTGAGTATAAAATTTTAAATAGCTATGTTGATAGCCCAAATTTGTTGAAAAAATATCATTCTATGTCCCACCATTTAATACACGCAATTATAACATTTTTTATACTGAGCCACAAATTATAAATTTTGTTTTGAGTAGTCCTATATATAGAATATTTATATTATGTAACAAGTTAAAAAAATTTGATTTTTATAAAGATAACACATTGAAATTAGGATACTGTAATTTAATATTAGTTTAATTAAGATATTTCGAGAGAAAATAATAATAATTTGTATAAATGTTAGTTATTTATAATATTTTTTTGTTTAGTTACTGTACTCTAGCCTTTCTGAGGAGCGTTAAATATTTAATAAATTAATTAATTATTCTACCGGTGAAACTAAACCATATTACGTATTTCTTTTGTATATTAAAAGTGTAAAATTTAATAAATTTACCTTAGATCTTAGTGGTTCGGGAAAACCTTGATAAGGCTCGCCGATACCACCTTGTAGGAACTCAATAACAGATTTTGGGAAACTTAGTTCTTCAGCTTTAGCTAAAACGTCTTCAGCTGTCAATTTATTTTGTACCATAAATTGAGCAAAATCTCCAACAACTTTTGAAGAAGGTGTTACCTGTAATGTTACGAATAAATATACTTTTATGTCAATTATTTCGTTATAAAATAAAAGACATTACATTTCAGAAAAAAAGTTAAATTCATAAAATTGTCACAATTAATTACATTTTCTGTTTATAGTTCTACCTTGATTATATCTCCTAATAAAAGATTAGCTTCTCTGTAAGCTTTTTTAACATCTTCAAAAAAGTCTCCAAGACCAAGAGAATATGCTTGGAATTGAAGATTAGTATACTGTCCTCCTGGTATTTCATTTAAGTAAACGTCAGCATTTCCTGATTTCATTGTTGTTGTACATTCGAAGGGCGCGTATAAAGTTCTTGTTTGCTCCCAATACGCGCTGTATGCACTTACGTCTTTTAAGTCCATTCCTAAATAAGATACATTTGATTTTTTCTAATTAAATAGATTTAAAGACATGAATATTTCAATCTATAGTTTATAAAAATATGTTTTAAGGTACAATTCATTTGAGATTATGTAGCACTACTGTTGTCTAATAATTTGTAAATTCAAATAAAAGTTAAAACCTAATAATTTATAAAAAGTTGAATTATGATCATTAATATTTTCTTGAACATAAACATTTTTTGTAAACATGTTAACTGTTTACACACTACTAAATAATATAGTGATTTATTTTTTAATACAGAAATTTTTTTTTTTCAAATTAAAGTATATTACATTAGATTTAATTTAAGATATATATAAAAGTGTCAGACCTTCCGGAACATTTTCAAAAGTTAAGTTGAAAAAGTAATTTTTTTGTGAAAAAGTTGTCATTTTAAATCCCCCCCTGTAGGCAGATAAAGGGTCAGATTTACAAAAAAAATATACCAAACGATAAGTAAAAACATCAAGCATCTATAAAAAATAAAATTATATTGATATGTTCATTTTTGAAAAGGTTACGGTAGTTTTTAGTAAAAAAAATTTCGAAAATTTCGAAAATTGGCGATTTTTAAATTTGTAATTTTTTTGGAGGTTTCCCCCATTTACGGGGAACGAAGGAAATTTTTTCAATTTTGAAGGGTAATGTCTTCGACTAGATACGATTTGTGATCTTTTGACGTATCATTGAAAGAAATCGGTTCGGTGAGAGCTGAGAAAAAGTGGTAACAGACACAAAAAAAAACACACATCATAGTAAAACCAATACCTTCTCAGCTTCGCATCGAAGCTAAAATTAAAAAAATACTCTTTCAAAGCACATTGAACTAAAAAGTTAAAAAGTTAATACTATTTTTCGTTCATTATTGTTTTAAGCTTATTATAAAAATTATTTTTAACTTTTTAGTTCAATGTGCTTTAAAAGCGTGTTTTTTTAGTTTTTTTAACTATATTTATTTTTAATTCAATTTTTACTGAAAGTGTTATCAAATTACCTGTATCTAATTCAGTGTCTTGTAGAGATGCTACTATTGCTCCCATACTTGGTTGTGATGTCATACCAGACATTGAATCTACAGCAACATCAACTACATCAGCTCCTGCATGTGCAGCAGCCAACATAGCTGCAACTCCAGCTCCACTTGTATCATGTGTATGGACATGAATTGGTAGTTCTGGATATTTTTCACGAATGGCGCCAATTAACATAGTAGCCGCTCGTGGTTTTAATAAACCTGCCATATCCTTAAAAATAAATTGTAATTACAATTTTTATTTGAATTAAAATAACCGTTGATAAAAATTTCATATTAAAATTGAAGCAATGTAAAAATAACTTCTGAAAAGTTAACAATATAAGATTGAATTTATAATTTTAATTTGAGTTGAATCTTAATAGATAAACTGACTTACTTTAATACAGAGCACGTGCGTGCCGGCTTTTACTAAATCATCAGCAAAATTCAAATAATAATCTAATGTATATTTTTTCTTCGAAGGATTAGAAACATCTCCAGAGTATGCAATTGCTGCTTCAACAACACCTCCAGCCTTAGCAGCTGCTTCCATACCAAGAATTATATTAGGTAGATAATTTAACGAATCGAATACACGGAACACATCCATTCCAGCTTGAACAGCTAAATCGCAAAATCTAAGAAAATAAAACATTTTTAGGTTTTCTTACAATAGTTTTACTAAAATAATATTATTACTTGAAAACAACATTATCTGGGTAATTTGTATAACCAACAGCATTAGCACCGCGCAACAACATCTGGAATGGAATATTAGGGATAGCAGTTCTCATATCAGCTAATCGTTGCCATGGACATTCGTGTAAGAATCTTAATGCAACATCAAAAGTAGCTCCTCCCCAATTTTCTAAGGAATAGAATCCTGGAAAACTATGAGATACCCATGGAGAAATTTGAAGAATATCATGTGATCTATTAAAAATAAATTAGCTCAATAGATGAATTGGTATCTTAGTAAAAAAATGTATTATTAGCTTATTTATTTATTTATTTTTTTTTTTGTCTAGCTGATTATAACTTTTTCATAAAATGGCATTAAATTTAACAAGTAATAGCAATAAGAAACTCAAAGAATTTCTAAAAAAATACCAAGGGGATAAATTAAGTAAGCAAAATGTGGAATCATGAACAAGAAGATGCAATAAAGTGTTATCTAGAAATTTTCATGATAAATGGTTAAAAATCACTAAAGCTACATACACATCAGGATTGGCTGCACCAAAGCCAGTACGTCTAAAACCTTGGCCAAATCCTCAATTTGAGACAACATTACCAATACCTGTATCACAAGCAGCGTTAAATGCTAATCCTACACTAAGAACAATTAATTTATCAAAACCAAAACGAATCTCCAAAAAACCTCAATTAGAAATACCTATATATCAGAAGTCATCAAAATATTGGTCAACAAAATCATTGTCGTTATATAAAACACTTTATCCAAGGACAAAAAATCTTTCTAAACCTAAACCTATTTTCAAGTTTATTCATAGTTTTGTCTACAGACGGAATATCCAACAGAAATTTACTACAAGGATAGTAAATACATGATAAAAAACTAAAAAATTGGAAAAATCATATGAAATGGCTACAGAAAAATGCCGCCCCAAATTATTATTTAAAAGGCCACTACAAATCAAAAACAAAAATAAATTAAAGAAAAATGACAACAATGAAATGCTGAAGTGGAATATAAACCCCAGTATGTACCGCGAACAAAAAAAGATCGGGAGTACAATGAAAATACACTAAAAGTCTCGTCAGTAGCATTTAAGTCCAATAAATTTGTATTATTAATTAAACATCGAATTAGACAATAAGTCCATTTGAAAATGTAATAAATAAGTATCATTAAAATTAAATTTGAAAAAACTATTCAATAATATTATAATTATATTTTATAATCATACACTTTTATTATAGCGACTAATTTTAAACTAAATTAATTTATTAAATTTATCCTCAAACCTGACTCGAGTAGCCAATAGTGATTGATGAGCATCCCTCATTGTAGTATCCATTAATAAAAGTCCCTTATGATCCCGAATGGCTTTGGCAAAAGCTTTTGGACCGTCTTTATTGAGTATATGTTTAAATCCTTGGGGTGGTGTAATTCCTAATTTAACATTTTTAATAAATAATTATAATTATATATTATATTATTACACATAGAAATCATAAGACGATTTTATATTTTAATTTTGTAAAAGTACATCTAGCGATGAAAACATTTATAACTTCTAGTAAAAAATTCCCTTAAACTTTAAAAAACATATAATGTTTTCAGTTTCTTACAAAATAATAATATATAACTAAACCACTTTCTCATAAAAACCGTTCAATATAACAAGTTATTAAGGAATTAAAAATTAAAAATATTATAGGATATATTTTTAGGAAGATTAAAAATTTAAATAAACCTTAGAAATCGGGAGAATCTGAAATTTTACGCACCTCAATATAAAAACTTTATCAATAAAAAAAACCGTAGCATTATGGGGACGCGGAGCAGTGTGGACATGGCATAATTGGGACAAGAATAGATTTAATCTGACAGTGATAAAAATCACTATCATAAAAAAAAGCTTCGATGGAAATCTGTAGATAGTGTTATATTGTAAGAAATTGATGAATTATTCCAAAAGCAAAATGAACTACTATTTCTTTATTTATATACTGACTACTAATATTTATAGAAGATAGGTCGTCGGAACAAATTTTTTTTTCATTTTATAGTACATAAAATAAGCTTTAATTTGATATATGTTTAAAGGACGCAGTATTTTCGGAAGATTTTTAAAAATTAAGTTGAAAAAGTTATTTTTTGTAAAAAAGTTGCTATTTTAAATCCCCCTGTAATGAGCAGGTTAAGTGTTAGATTTTCAAAAAAATGATATCAAATGAAAGGAAAATATCTAAGATTTTAATATAAAAAAGAATTATGTTGATTTGTTGATTTTTGAAAAAGTTATGGAAGTTATAAGAAAAAAAAGTGAAAAAATTTCGAAAATTAGCAATTTTTAAATTTGTAATTTTTTTAAAGGTTTCCCCCATTTACTGCGAACGAGGGAAAATTTTTCAATTTTTAAGGATAATGTCTTCAACTAGATACGATTTGTAATCTTTTGACGTATTGTTGAAAGAAATCGGTCCAGTGAGAGCTGAGAAAAAGTAGTGACAGACACAAAAAAAAAAACACTTCATGGTAAAATTAATACCTTCTCAGCTTCTCATCGAAACTAACAAACTATTTTTTTTTAATTCAATAAAAGCAACGCGTTTTTATAAAGCTGTTAAGAAGCTATTTAAAATAAAAATAATAATATAATAAAGAGTATTAAAAATGTATGTTACGTAAAATATTGCACAAAAATATTTGATTATGAGTATTATTTAAAAGAGTTGTAAGCGTTTTAAGATAAATTAATTGTCGTTGTACACATTAATAATGAAATAAAAAATAAAAATGAAATGTTTTTTTAAACATATCATTTTTTAGCAATTTTCATTTTTGTATGTCGTATATAAAAAATGATCATATAATTCATCTAACAATAAATTACTTTCTTCGAGGAGTTAGTTAATTTGAGGATATGATTTTTAAATTTTCAAAGTTATTTGTAAGTTAGAGTATTTCATAAAACTAAGTAATGGACATTACACAAAAACAAATAGTTTAATGAAGAATATATGAATATTGTTTCTATAAATAGAATAATGTTCAAAGCTGAGTATTAGTCGTGTATTAATTCATTATTTTATCATTACTCATGATTTACCTGAGCTGTTTTGATTATCTCGTTCGTTTTTGCCTAATATACGTGCAAGGTAATCTAGACAAGCACAATTGGTTGGTTAACAATGAATATTAAGTGAAAATTTAAATAAAATGAACAAAAATATAAATACAAATGCAAACTTCCAATATCATGAATATGGTGATGTGTAAATATTATACTGACTTTTTTATGGATGAAATTATTACTGATGAGCTGAAGACTTTTTTTTTTTGACTCATCACAACATATTTCGAATTAAATACTTTAAAAAATAACTAGTAAAATAAAAAAATAGATCAATTTATATAAAATTCTTTGGTGCAAATCTTAAAAAAATAGGGATGGGAACTCAACACAACCGATTTAAAACTTTAATATAACAATAATTGTAATTTTTTTTAATTTTGCTGAGTAATTTGGTGTTATATTATTTTGTTACTGTTTCTGGTAACATACAAAAATTTACTATTTTACATAACGGAATATTAATAATGAACAAAATACTAGAATTCTATTTGTAAAAATAAAAAAATAGACGTGGAATTTACATATTACTATTTCACACATATTTTAATTCATTTTTTAATAGCCGTATAGAAAATGTAATTCTTATTTTTTCATAAGAGATTTTTAATTTACGTTAGTTATAAACGGTATGTAGTTTTGTTAGTTATAATTAATTAGTCAAAAAAATACTGTTATAATAGTTTTGATAACGTTTTTAATTTGTTAAATTCTTAATATTCTTTTTCGAACACTTTTTATTTTGTAAAATATAATTAAGCCATATCTATGATAAATGATTTCAGGGCGCCAAGATCTTATAATGTCAATTGTCTAGTAAGTTATGTCACTACTTTATTAAGTTGAAAATAATTTATTGGATAAAATTTGTAATTTATTTATTACATTTGGATAAAACCTAAATGTAATAAACACATTACAGCCTAAAGGGTATACCATGCCTTATAAAACAAAATTAATAAATTATGCACAGTAATAAATTTATATAAATATTTACATAGTATTATTAAGAATTATAAATATTTACCAGTTGGAAATTCTGGGACGTGCGGTGTGATGATTGCAGGTTTCAAATTAGTGGCTAATGGGGTCTGAGGTCCATTAACTAAAACTTCACCTAAATAGTTAAGCAATTTTTGAGCTCGATTGAGTGATGGTTCAAGTGTAAACAACTGTGGATTTTCATCAATGAAATAAGTATCAACTGATCCGTTGACAAATTTTTCATTTGTTAACACATTTAACAAAAATGGAATATTAGTCTGTAATTTATAAATTTTATTTTAAAGTATATTTTAATCAATTAAAAAATATTTTTTTTTAATAAGGCATTTTACCTTTACTCCTCTGACTCTAAATTCACGCAGGGCTCTATTCATTTTAGCACATGCAGATTGCAAATCTGCAGCATGAGCTATTACTTTTACTAATAATGAATCGTAGTAAGGACTAATAATTGCTCCAGCAAAAGCAGATGCGCCATCCAATCTAATTCCCATACCTTCACCACTTCTGAATACCTAAAAGTGAGTTTCAATTGTTATTAACGGTTTATAAAGTTATTCTTATACAGAATGTTCAGAAAGTAAGGGAACTGATCAATTATTATAAGCAATGAGAAAAATAGAAACCCGTTTCCTTACTGAACACTCATTAAAATAAACTTACTTCAATACGGCCAGTGTCGGGCTGGAAACTTTTTGCAGGATCTTCTGTAGTGACACGACATTGAATAGCAAAACCTTGTGGTTTTATTTTATCTTGTGTTAACCCTAATTCTGGTAGTGTAACACCTTCCGCAATTCTAATTTGAGACTGCACTAAATCGATTCTGAAAAATGTGTTGTGAAAAATATATTTATAAAATTATAATTTAGATAAAATTATTGTTTCATTAAAATAATTTTGAACTTTTTCATGATAAATAATTATGTGGTAGCATAAAATTACCCAGTTATTTCTTCAGTTACGGTATGTTCCACTTGCAATCTGGCATTTACTTCGATGAAGTAAAAATTGCCTTTGGAATCAACCAAAAACTCAACAGTTCCAGCATTTGAATACCCTACGTGTTTTGCTAATTTAACAGCCTTTTCTGTCATTGCATCCCGCACCTTTACAAAAAAAATATTTCAGTTGTAGTACGATTTTCAAGATGCATAAATACCAGAAGAAAACTAAAAAGATAGCTTATTTCAAACATGTATCCAAAGATTTTTAAGATAACATGTTATCGGATTTTCAGAAAACTTAGATTTGTATAAGTGTTGATTAAATTTAATCAACGATATGAACTATAACAAATTGTATAAAATAATATTTATTTGTAGTTAATTGCAAAAAAAAAAAGTATTGCTGTTACTAGAGATAAAACCCGATATTATTTCAGTTTTTCAACCATTTTGGTAAGTTAATTAACCTAGATCGTTTTTTAAAGAATTGTTACAATGATAACAAAAAACCCAGCACAGTGGAGTCGCGGCATAGTGGGGACGTTGCATAGTTGGGTCCAGTATAGATTTAATCTGACAGTGATTAAAATCACTATCATAAGAAACGCTTCGATGCAAATCAGTAGATAGTGTTTAATTCTAAGAAATTGGTGGATAATTACAAAAGCTGCATGATCTGCTAGTTCCTTATTAATACCCTGATTAAGATAAAGAATGTCGAATGAAAAAGGGATTATTAAAAAATATTATTTCTCATAAAAAAATTGTGTTGATTCATACATTTTTCAATGAGTTGTAGCATTATAAAGTTAAAAATGTAACCAACCCAACCCAACATCAACTCCTATTTCCATAATTATATCCAGATTAGTAATTCGTTTAATTATCTATTATATAATTTTTATAATTAATTATTTTCAAATTATTATCGATTTTTAATATATTAAAAGTAATCATTTTGAACCAACTTCTTTTTGTCCTTTAAAGTGAAAGTTTAAAAAAAAAAAATATGAATTTATTACCATAACTTTTAACTCAACTTGCAAGTTTGAAATAGATATCATTAAATAGAAAAAAATGAAATTGGTAGAGTATTTCAAAAACAACAATAACACTTATTCCCTTAATTTTACCCCGATTTATAATTATAATATATGAATACATAATAATTACAGTAATTAAATTGAGTATGAAAGTGGTATTCAATAATATAATATTGTAATTTTTACGGAGATATTATAAAAATAAAAAGGAGTTGTATATTCATATACTTTTAATGCGTATACAAATTTAAAGGAATTGATGCAATACTTTTTAATAAAAAAATTTTGTTATTTATGAATAAATACACTAAACAAAAGGAACTTTCATCAGAAAAAAAAATATACTTTTCTAAATAAACTTTTCGCGATGTTTTCAAATGTGCAATTAAACTTTTTTTATTACTTCTAAGTTTTAATATTATTACTTATTATTAAAAAATAAGTATTTACATATAAAAAAAAATAATTAAGAACAAAAAAAATTGTATTAAATTAATACTGATTTTGATTTTTAATATGTTAAAGGTAATCATTTTGAACCTATTTTTTATTGTCTTTTAAAGTGAAAGTTTTAATGAAAAATACCTTCTCAGCTTCGCATCGAAGCTAAAAAATGAATTTGTTACCATAACTTATAGTTCAACTTGCAAGTTTGAAATTGACATTATTAAATTGAAAAAAATGAAATTTTTAAGATTAATATGCAATCTGGAAATTTTATAATTACTAATTACAGTACATTTGTCAGAAAAATTCGATTTTTTTACATTTTTATCGTAATAGATAACTGAAATAGAAAGAATAGTAATCATATCCTAATAACTTTTGGTGTTTAAAAAAATTCTGCAATTGAAATATTCAGAACTTAATTAATTTTAATAATTTACTTTAATTAAATGAACCAATCAAACCAAAGTAGTTAAAAAGATTTACTCAATTGAGCATATTATCAAAAATATAATTATAATTGTAAAACTCCATCGTTAACTTCAGGTGAAACTAAAAATCATTTTTTTTTTAAATTTATGATTTATATAGCAACATATTACTAAAAAATTTGGCATATTATAGACTGGTAGTAGCACACAGAAATAGAGTTAAAAAATTAATAAATTATAAAGTAAAATTATTTACTTTTGTAGTTGAATACTTTTATCATATCAAATTTAATTCGACAATAAATAATTTAAGAATATTAAAAATTAATGATTTTAATTGTTTGTATGGACAAATCTAGTTAAGCTACTTTTTATTTGAATAAGGAATATTTTTTTGATTTTTAAGAGTAATAACTTAAACTAATCATTAACTTAAATATCATAAACTTAAATGAATCATTTGACGTATCGTTGAAAAAAGTAGGTCTAGTGAGGGTTGGCAAAATAAATCGTAGCCAGAAAAAGAACCACATAGTAAAATAATATTAACATGAATATCAATTTCTTCTCACGAGGGGAGACTATAGTGATAAGATCCTTTATATTTATTGAAATTATTGAATCTAAATGAGATAAATATCAAATGATTTGAAAATTCTATTCTAACTCAAAAAAAAAATGCAAAATTTTAGAAGCCACAAACGGATTTGAACCTCGTACCCTAGGCGTTAAAGATCAAGGTGTTACCCATTCGGCAACTATTCGTTGATTTTTGTTGCATGATAAAATTGGCTATTTAAGCTAACTCAAATTTAAAAATTACTTTTTCGACTTTAAAAAAGTAAAAAATGTTAATAAGTATAATATCATATGTCTTATGAACTTTATTCTATGTCAATGAAATTATATAATATTCATGAAAGTCAGTTTATTCCCCTAATAAAATATTTTAAAATAAAATAAAATACAAAACCTAGAATTTTAATAAAAAATAGCATATTTTTAAATACGGTAGCCTTTTGCGCATAGAAGATAGGTCGTCGGGACAAATTTTTTTTTTTCATTTAGTAGTACATAAAATAAGCTTTAATTTGATATATGTTTAAAGGACGCAGTATTTCCGGAACATTTTCAAAAATTAAGTTGAAAAAGTTAGTTTTTGTAAAAAAGTTGCTATTTTAAATCCCCCCTGTGAGCAGAATAAGTGTTAGATTTTCAAAAAAAAATGATATCAAATGAAAGAAAATTACCTAAGGTTTCAATATAAAGAAATATTATTTTGATTAGTTAATATTTGAAAAAGTTATGGCAGTTTTAAGTACAAAAAACATCGTTATAAAAGGTGATTTTTATCGCAAATATTACATTTTTTTTATAATTTCGACAGCCATTTGCACATAGAAGATAAGGTGTCGGGACAAATTTTTTTTTTTCATTTTATAGTACATAAAAAAAGCTTTAATTTGATATATGTTTAAAGGACGCAGTATTTCCGGAACATTTTCAAAAGTTCAGTTGAAAAAGTTCTATTTTTTATACAATGTTTCAAAGTTTGAACCCCCCCTATATAAGGGGAAATTGTCTAATTTTAATAAAAAGTATGTCAAATGGAAGATGTACTTATAATGTATTTAGAAAAAAAAAAATTGTGCTGATACATGCATTTTTCGAAAAGTTATAGCATTTTTAAGTTGAAAATTAAAAATTGAAAATCGAAAATTTTAACACAAAAATAGTGTTTTTTTAACTACGGCAACCGTTTACATGCAGAAGATAAAGTGTCGGGACAAATTTTTTTTTTTCATTTTATAGTACATAAAATAAGCTTTAATTTGATATATGTTTAAAGGACGCAGTATTTCCGGAACATTTTCAAAAATTAAGTTGAAAAAGTTAGTTTTTGTAAAAAAGTTGCAATTTTAAATCCCCCCCCATGAGCAGGTTAAGTGTTAAATTTTCAAAAAAATTATATCAAATGAAAGGAAAATATCTAAGGTTTTAGTTTAAAAAAAAATTATGTTGATTTGTTGATTTTTCAAAAAGTTATGGAAGTTTTAAGAAAAAAAAGTGAAAAAATTACGAAAATTAGCGATTTTTAAATTTGTAATTTTTTTGGATATTTCCCCCATTTGCGGGGAACGAGGGAATTTTTTTCAATTTTTAAGGGTAATGTCTTCAACTAGATACGATTTGTAATCTTTTGACGTATTGTTGAAAGAAATCGGTCCAGTGAAAGCTGTGAAAAAGTAGTGACAGACACAAAAAAAAAAAACACATCATGGTAAAATTAATACCTTCTCAGCTTCGCATCGAAGCTAAAAAACTAAATTATTATGAGGTCGCTTTTGAAACCTTTATCGAAGTTATTCAAGTAAAATTTTTAATTCAATTAAGGTTAAAAAGCGATCTCATAATATTTTTTATTTCTATAATTAATTTTTAAAATATGCTAAAAAATACCTTACAAATGAACTTACATATTTGATATGTAAGTTATCACATATTTGATGTGATAGAAATTGCTAAAAAACGAAATAATTATTTTTCCTAGCTTGGTGTCATTTTATTTTACCTAACCGAAACTTCTAGTCGTAAAGGTTACAGAATATTCTGTTTCACTTACAATTAGAAATTTCGGTATAATGCTATTGGGTGAAATTTTTATTAAGTTACAATTACTAGATTATACAACATAGAAAAATCAATTTACTTGCATAACTGTTTTTCATTTTAATCGGTTTTAAAAACAAGATATTTAATTTCTTTTCCCTATAAACATATTAGCTTCGATGAGAAGCTGAGAAGGTATTAATTTTACCATGATGTGTTTTTTTTTTTTGTGTCTGTCACTACTTTTTCACAGCTTTCACTGGACCGATTTCTTTCAACAATACGTCAAAAGATTACAAATCGTATCTAGTTGAAGACATTACCCTTAAAAATTGAAAAATTTTCCCTCGTTCGCAGTAAATGGGGGAAACCTCTAAAAAAATTACAAATTAAAAAATCGCTAATTTTCGAAATTTTTTCACTTTTTTTTCTTAAAACTTCCATAACTTTTTCAAAAATCAACAAATCAACATAATTCTTTTTTATATTAAAATCTTAGATATTTTCCTTTCATTTTATATCATTTTTTTGAAAATCTAACACAACCTGCTCACATGGTGGGATTTAAAATAGTAACTTTTTTACAAAAACTAACTTTTTCAACTTAACTTTTGAAAATGTTCCGGAAATACCGCGTCCTTTAAACATATACCAAATGAAATCTTATGTCATATACTATAAAATGAAAAAAAAAAAATTTGTCCTGGCACTTTATCTACTATGTGCAAATTGCTGTCGAAAATTAAAAAAAATTGTAATATTTGCAAAAAAAATCAGCTCCTATCGTGATGTTTTTTGTATTTTAAAGTCGAAAAAGTAATTTTTACATTTGAATTAACTTAAATTGCTAATTTTATCATGCGAAGAAAACAACGAAGAGTTGCCAAATCGGTAACAATTCTGTTTTTCTCGCTTAGATACGAGGTTCGAATCCGCTTGTGGAAATAATATTTTGCATTTTTTTAAGATAGAAAAAAAATTAAATCATTTGATTTTTATCTCATTTAGATTCAATAACTTCAATAAATATTAAGGATCTTATCACTATAGTCACCCCTCGTGAGAAGAAATTTCTTATTCATGTTAATATTATTTTACTATGTGGTTTTTTTTTGGCTACGATTTATTTTGCCAACACTCACTCGACCTACTTTTTTCAACAATACGTCAAATGATTACAATTCGTATTTAGTTGAAGATATTACCCTTAAAAAATTCCTTATTCAAATAAAAAGTAGCTTAACCAGCTTCTTCCATACAAACAATTAAAATCATTCATTTCTAATGTTTTCAAAGTATTTATTGTCGAATTAGATTTGATATGATAAAATTATTCAACTACAAATGTAAATAATTTTACTTTGTAATTTATTAATTTTTTAACTCTATTTGTGTGAGCTACTACCCGTCTATAGTATTCCAAATTTTTTTGTAACATTTTGCTATATAAATCATAAATTTAAAAAAAAATGATTTTTAGTTTCACCTGAATTTAACGATGAATTTTTACAATTATAATCAAAATTTATAATTCGCTCAATTCAGTAGATTTTTTTAACGACATTTTTTTCATTAGTTTTTTTTAGTTAAAGTAAATCATTAAAATTAATTAAGTTCTGAATATTTCCATTGTAGAATCTTTTTAAACAACAAATTTTACTAGGAAATGATTATTATGATTTATATTTATGTAATCTATTACGATAAAAATGCAAAAAAAAAAAATAGAACTTTTCTGATAAATCGACTGTAAATAGTAATTATAAAATTTTCTGAGTGCATATTAATCTTAACAATTTAATTTTTTTCTATTTAATAATGTCAATTTCAAATTTGCAAGTTAAGCTAAAAGTATAGTAATAAATTCATTTTTTTTTATTATAAACATTCACTGTAAAGGACGAAATAAAGAAGGTTAAAAATTATTACTTTTAACATATTAAAAATCAATATAACAATTATGTAATATATAATTTTATATTATATTTTTGAATCTAAGAATTACTATTCTGGATATAATTAAAGAAATAGTTGTTGTTGCTTTTGTAATTATCCACCAATTTCTTAGAAGTATACATTATCTACAGATTTGCATCGAAGCGTTTCTTATGATAGTGATTTTAATTACTGTCAGATTAAATCTATACTGGACCCAACTATGCCACGTCCCCACTGTGTTGGTTTTTTTTTTTAATTATTTAGAAAGTTCTCAATAGTTTAAATTTAAAAATGTGATACTTTTTATTAAATTTTTATAAAGTATAATGTTTTGCGAATTTTAAATTCTAAACATATCAAGTGTATACATAAAAATAAAAATAGAATTTTTATTGAACATCTAAGGTCATTATAAGTATATTTTTTATGTGTCCTATGTACTAAGTGTTTTCGTCTATTATAAGAATATTTCAAGTATATTTGTTTTGTATTATTATATGAATGTATAATATATGACCTAAACACTTTCGTCGAATATACGTTCAGTGTTTATTGGGTAGTTGTATAATCTTTAAATAAAATTATTGTTAAACTATTATAAGTAATAAAGGCTCTAGCAAATTCTATATTTTACAAACTATTTTAAATATTTTAAAAAATAGATCAAGTTTTTTTTACATAATTTGTTTATTACTTCAAATAAATTGTTTTACCTTAGGATCTAAATGAGGTGCAGGAGCTAATTCAACAACTTTTTGGTGACGTCGTTGTACTGAACAATCTCTCTCATACAAATGAACTATATTTCCTGCTTTGTCTCCCAATAGTTGCACTTCAATATGTCTTGGTCTTTCGACGAATTTTTCGATAAACATAGCACCATCTCCAAATGCAGCTTTAGCTTCCGAACTAGCACGTTCAAAGTTTTCTTTAACATCCTAATATAAATTCGTTTGAGTTCAATAAATTAAGTTTAAGTTATGTTGCACAACTTACTTCCATTTTTCTAACAACTCTCATTCCACGCCCACCTCCTCCATATGCTGCTTTAAATATCACAGGTAAATCGTGCTTTAAGCAAAATTCAATAGCTTCTTCTGAAGTTCTAATGGGTCCAGGGGTCCCTGCTACAATTGGAACTCCTGCGTCAATAGCTGCCTGTCTTGCAGCTACTTTGTCACCCATCTGTTGTACAACATATGGTGATGGTCCAATAAATCGTATTCCAGCATCAATAACTGCTTGAGCAAAATCTGATCGCTCAGATAAAAATCCATAACCAGGATGAATAGCATCAATATCATTTTCCTAATAATTAAAAAAAATATTTTGGAAAATTTTTTAGAATTATAAAATATTAATTTTTAAATTTATACACTACATTGTAAAGAAAAACAGTATTTATTAGTAGAATATGAATAGAAAAAATCGATACATTGGATTAAAATAGTCTGTAAAGAGAGCGGCCTAGCCCAAGGCTTACTTTTATTTAAATAAATGCCTCGCGTTTGTCAACATGAATAAAACACTGAAAGTATAACTTTGAAATTTGCTTCAATTTATTTAAATTTCACAGTAAACTTTTATTTGTTAATTAAAAATATAAATTTACATATGAACTTTGATTTTGTATCGTAAGATTTATTTTTATTAAAATATATTTCTAATTACAAAAGATATGTTAAATGAAAAAAACAATTACTATTTATTGGTTTAACATTTTATAATCTAATTTTTTTATTTTAACTAACTTTAGCTCCTTATTATCATTAGTATCATACAGAGGCATACATATATAATAGTAATGGTTTGGAGTATAAAACCCAAATTCAGACACGGTTTTTCAAGAAAATGTGATCATTAGAAATAACTATCGTCTTTATAAAAAATATTGTAAATATAATTTAAATACATAAAAAAATCGCCTTTAAAATTTTATTTGAAAAAGATCAGGCTAAATAAAAGTCTTTTAGTGAATATCTACTTGAAATATTTATATATTTCAAAAAAAAACTTAAAATAAAAAATTCCTAAGTTATATACACATATTGTTGGTTATCGAATGATGAGAAAAGCAAAATAATTTACTCTTTTGGGGCACCATAAAACTAAATACATAACTGGGTCACTGAGAATCTGGTAATTTACCGGTAGACTGGTTGCACTTACGCGACCAAATAATAATAATAATAGAATAATTTGACTAAAATATGATACATAATTATTTATTTTACTGCGCTAAACAACAAAAAGTATTATGAACATTTGATTTAATAAATTTCATACCACAATAGTTCATAATGAAAAATATAATGTTACATCATTATAACATTGAAAATATAGTAGATAATAGTATTTTAACGACTTAATTTTAATAAATATTATTGTGCAACATTCATGGGAGTATATTATACAACTGTTTTAACATGTTTCACTCATAAATTAACAAGTCGATACTGTAGTAATTGTTTAAAAAATGCCGTTGCATGAATCATGTAGACCGGCTACCACAGTTTTTTTACAAAATTGAAATGAACACAAAAATATGGTCATCGTTTGGTCAAAAGAGTAGTTATTGACTAAAACTATGTTAAACTCTTGTGTTTATAATACGCCAGAACCTTTCTAATAAGTAGTAACGTTACTAAATTTAAGAGCAGTTTAGTTATAAAAATATTGATCAATAAATACAAATGTTTACAGACGTCATTAAATTGAATTAACATGACTAAAAATTGTTTGTATATAGTAACAAAAATATCCAACTTATTTATAGAAAAATAAAAAGTGACAGGATATTTTTCAAACATTAATAATTATTAATTTTTATAATTATTTTTATCATTAATAAAATTAGCTAACTATGTCATTACAGACTTTATAACATTTATATTATATATGGTAAAGATACATTTTGGAGGCGTAAAAAAAATATTTTTGTGTATATACCCCCAAGAAAAACTATAAGATCACCCCTAATTGTTAATATTTTCTCACGAATCAAACAATATTAAAGTCATGTTTGCTTTTAATAAGTTAAAAACTATACTAATATTATACTGAAATAATAATTCACATATTTATTTACCTTAGCTACTCTTATTATTTCTGGTATATCAAGGTAAGCCTCTACCGGAGCTTTACCTTTTCCAACTAGATATGATTCATCAGCCTTCAATCTGTGCATATGCATTTTATCTTGTTCTGAATAAATGGCTACAGATTTAATACCTAATTCGTTACATGCTCGAAATACACGTATTGCAATTTCACCTATTTATCAAAGTTTAAAAATAATTAAATTTGTTAAAATGTATAAACACTTAATAATTTAGTAAAATTACTATTTACTCTATACCAACCTCTGTTAGCTACTAATACACTTCTGATTGGCTTATATTCTACTTGAGAAGAATACCTTGTTCGACATAAAGAAAGTGCGATAAACTGGGTTCTAACATGGTTCCGAATGGAGCCACTTACACTTGGAATAATCATTGTTATACAGCAATTTTGTAATCTGAAAATTTTACATATTCTTGAAATTTAAAATTAAAAAATAAATTACATTTTTTATTTATTTTTTCAAATAAAGAACTTAGAATATAAACCAACTAATTCAATTTATCTCCATTATTTTTTAATTTTATTTTGCTTATAATTCATTATTTTTACAATCAGGGTCTTGTTGAGGATTCATACTGCCCTTAAGCAATTATTTTTTACCAGAATACTCACATAGTAAAACTCCTTACTTAAGTAGTTTCAATCTAAACAACCGTTTATAAATGTACAGAATCATATTAATAATTGCCTAGCTTTAAAATTGATATTCTAAAATTGGGCAGCTAGTCAATGAACGTATACAGTTTTTTAGAAAATAGAATTGAATGATTATAATAATTTAAATTTGATTTAATTATAATACAACTAAAAATATTAAAATTTTTTATAGCAAACTTGAATTTACTTATTTTTTTATTGTATATTAATTGAATTCTTATGAAAGTAACATTTTGGTTTTAAATTGTTCTTGATATCATATTCAATATAAAAATAAAACTTTAATCTTCAAAAACATTTATAATGAAAAAGAGTGAAATTGATTTAACAAAAAATATACGTATTATTATTGCCTTTTAAAAGCAAAAAATATAGTGGGAAGTTAAACATTTATTTTTACAAAAAAATTATTTTTTAATTATATGTTTAACTATCTTCTTTTTCCTCGCCTTTATTCTAACTACCTGGGATCGGTCACATGCTAAATTTCCACTTGTACATGAGTTTTTACAACATCTAATCACAGCTTAATTTTCATGCATAACTTATGAAAATATACTTGATTATAAAACAATATGAATGTATTAATAATTGTAATTAAATGAACATGTATATATTCTAATTCACAATTATTAAAGTGTAAGCCTATTATAAATCTAAGTGATTCATTGTCAATTTGAACACTTGACCTTTCAAATAACACATAAATATATTTACATGGTACAAATAGTATGTATAAGATTTAATTTTTATTGATTTTAATGAAAATAAAACAATATCTAACATTATAAATCTATGTTGCATTTAATTCGTATTCTGAACTAATTTGTTTTTTTAAATTAAAACACGATTATATAAGCCTTTGAAATATGTCTGAGATGAACAAATACAATTATTCTTTCAAATTATTTGTAAAATTTAAAATAAGTAATATTTTTTAAGTTTTTAATTTTCATTTAATAATAAAATGAAAATTGTTTTTTATAAATAGATAAGAAATACAATTTATCGTTTAAAAAACAGTCCATCAAATCAAATTAACCGTGATGATAGTAAATCGCGAAAGAAATGTATGATAACATTATTATATTAATAATCACATCATGATTATTAAACATTTTATCGTATTAATGTCAAAACTATCTGATACTTATAATCAATCAAACAATTCATTAAATTAGTAAATGAATTATTGTACAATAATATTGATATATAAATAATTATAACTTTTATAAGTTTAGAAAAAATTACTCTATCTCTATTCATTAGCATAATTTTTATTTAAAAAGTTTACTGAACTGATATTGAGCACATAATTTTTTAAGTTTATTATTTTGCCTCCATAACTTCCGTGTCCTTCAAAAGTTCAATACAAATTCAATAACAATTGAAGGTTAACTTAAAATTAACTAGAGATATATTTTAGTAATACGTTTAATATTTATAGGATAATTTTTGAAAATAAAGTCACACACTATTAGTATATTTAAATGGGGTAATAAATGTTTAATTTATTAATAGAAGAAAAACATCGGAAAAGTTGTTACAAATAAGAATATGCTAATGTTCAGTAAATAAAAAAGTAAATATATAACACATTATTAATAAGTAGCTCCTTTTCATAGATTTTCTATAATTGCTATTTATTAATGAAGTACATACTAGATAGAATTATGCAATAAGTGAACACTTTTAGCGACACTATTTAATTTAAAATACAATTAATTAGATAAAAATGCAATTTAATTGTAGACATAATTTGATACTCTATGGTTTCTCTTTTACTCAACCTCTCGACAGTATGAAAACAATCAATTGAAAACAAACAAATATTTACAACAATTTTGACATAAACTAAGTTGTTCATTATCTTTTAATTCAAACTTAGTATTCTTCAAGTTGTTACAAATGTAACAATCAAGTCGGTTGATAAGACATTCAACAACACAATTAAATTTAAGAATTAAAATTGATGTTTTAAAAATCATTTGCTTATCTCCTTTATAAAAAATAATAATAACTAAATAAAGACAACGCTCTTTTAAGTCTGTATAGTGACTTATTAAGAATAATGATCGCACCAGGCGGCAATTTTTAAAGGGTGGTATTAAATTGTTACTTAGCACACATTCTGTTAATAGATAATGGTATAAATTGGTTAATTTTTTTTTATCAATAATATTTTAAGATTGCACTACGCTATAGACAAGATTTATGAATAACAGAGCTATATGTGATATATAACCGTGCCCTTATAAATTACCATGCAAAAGTACCATCATAAAGGATGGTCAACGGAAGGTTAGCTCAGTAGATGGAAAACAGTGATGCAAATAAGGGGTAAGAGGAATAACTCCCTCCAAATTATTAGATATATTTGAATTTTTTTGGTCACCATAACAATTTACTTTGATAGTAATTTTTTTTATTTGCTTACAAAAAAAATGTTATGGAGGGGTGGCAACACATCAGCACCTGTGCGCCAAATTTCTGAAAACGTCTCAGTCTTCTTATAACTTATGACTTTAGACCTTGACAGCTGTATCAGCATAATCTATTTTATTCTCACACTGTATGTATGCATATATTTATTTAGAAAATATTACTAGATGATTATAATTTATGTGAATTTTGTATTTTATTTTGTTATATGTAATATGATATAAAAAATTGACTACAATCTGGATCACATTATATGAACTTTTATTTAACTGTCTAAAGTCCATATAATTGAACCAATGTTATGTATTTATAATTAATTTCTATGATTAATTTATTTTTCAGGTACATATTTGTGCGGTCAAAATCATCAATGAAAAAAAATACGAGTTGGAATAATTTTAAGTAATTTAGTACAGAAGAAACGAAAAATAATATTTTAAGTTTGTATAAATTTTCATGTTAAATAAAAAATTAAAAGGAAAGTGTTCTATAACATCGAATGTTTTTAGTGCATGATTTTCATCGTAATATATAAGAAAAACATCAAAATATTGAAGCTATACCTTGTTATATATTTTGATATATTGAGTTTTATTTTCCAACATATAACATGCTACATAAAAAAAAAGTTAAGAATCTATAATTTATATTCGATATAAAACTATGTCATATCAAGGGAGTGTCACTAATTATCATGTATAACATCCTCATATACTTTTAACATTTGACTTGAGTATTAAGTTTTTTTTAAAGTCATCCGAACAGGCGTAGGTGTATTACACTATCCAACTAATGTATATATATTATCATTTAAGTCCATTTTTAAATAAACGAGATTGCTACCTAAAAACTAATAAAATAAAAATTGCAGTCAGTAAAACCCCCTGCCCAATTTTTAGCTTTGAAACTACCTAACTAACAATATACTGAACAAAGTAGTTCACCTTATTCAATCAAACGGGATTTTGTAAAACTATAGTCGTAATAATATATTATGTTTAACACAATATTTTAATGATTGCAAAAAAAAAAAATTTACAATAACTAAATTTAATACACCTCAATTTATAATTCACATAAAATATAAAAAATAAGATAAAAGGTTTCATAAAAAAAAAAAAAATGGTAACTCCTAACTTTCTCCACCAAAATCAAACTATACACACGTTTTAATTTGTAGAATGAATGAACGTTAAGAAAATACAAATTTAAAAAACAAAGGAAAGGGATATAAAATAATTTTAATGACCAAAAATTAAAAAAAAAAAATTAAGGTGATATTGGATAAGTGTATATTATTATAAGTATTATTATAATATATGAATAAATATCAATTATAGTAATTAAATTTAGTATAAAATTGATATTCAAATTTTTAATATTGTAATTTTTACAGAAATATTATAAAAATAATAAAGTAGTTGTATATTTCTTTATTATTAACGCGTATAAAAATTTAAAGGGCTTAATGCAATACTTTTCAATAAAAAATTTTCGTTACTTATAACAAAGTTATAAGTTTTATACACTGGACTATAAGGAACTTTCATCAGAAACAAAAATATACTTTTCTAAATCAACTTTTCGCGATGTTTTCAAATGTGTAATTAGACTTTTTCTATCACCTCTAAGTTTTAATATTATAACTATAATAATATTATTATAAATAAATATTTACATACAAAAACAAATAATTAAAAACAAAAAAAAATTGTTTTAAATTAATACTGATTTTGATTATTAATATGTTAAAAATTAGGAATATGACATATTTAACCAATTTTTTTAATCCTTTGAAATTGATTTTTGTGAAAATTTATAATTAAAAAATATTAATTTATTATTATAGCTTTTAGCTTAATTTGCAAGTTTAAAATTGACATAATTAAATAGGAAATTTTATGAGAATTAAAAAATTGTATCGTTAAGATTAATATGCAGTCAGGAAATTTTATAATTACTATTTATAATAAATTTATCAGAAAAACTCAATATTTTTTTGCATTTCAATCGTAATAATTAACTCAAATAAAAATAATAGTAATCATTTCCTAGTAACTTTTGGTGTTTAATAAGGTTCTATAATGGAAATATTCAGAACTGAATTAATTTTAATGATTTACTTTAACCAATAAAACTATTAAAAAGTTGTTAAAAAGATCTAAAAATCCATCAATTCAGGAAAAACCAAAAATCACTATTTTTTAGAAATTATTTATATAGCAACATGTTACCATAAAATTTGGAATATTACAGTCTAGTAATAGTATACATAAATAGAGTAAAAAATTTATTAAATTACAAAGTAAAATGATTTAATTTTGTAATTGAAACCTATGATATCGAACTTGATTTATCAATAAATACTTTGAAAACATTAGAAATGAATGATTTTAATTGTCTTTATGGAGACGATGTAATAACTAACTGTTTAATTGATAAATTAGAATTTTTTTTTCATTTTTGAGGGAAATATCTTCAACTAGACACGAATTGTAATCATTTGACGTATCGTTAAAAAAAGTAGATCAAGTGAGAGCAGAGAAAATAAATGATAGTCACAATAAAATACCTTCTCAGCTTTGCATCGAAGCTAAAAACTAAAATATAGTAATGTCTTCGACTAGATACGATTTGCGATATATTGACATATCAATGAAAGAAATCGGTTAGGCGAGAGCTTAGAAAATACGATAACAGACACAAAAACAATTTTTTTTTAAAAAACACATTATAGTAAAATTAAAACCTCCTCTTCGCATCGAAACTAAAATGAAAGACGCACTAATTATAAGGCAACTGCGATTTTGCAAGCTATGTTATTAAATATTTCTTTAATTTAAATAAGTGGACTATTCTATATAATATTTGACTCAAATATAGAATACATTAGATGATTAATTCAAGTTATGGATTTTTTTCAATGTTAGTGTTATTTAATAAAATTTTATGTTAAATTAATTTTTGCCATGTTTAAAAAAAAATAGAATTGTTTAATAATAGCTTTTCATAAATACACCCATGTTTGGTACAAATCCTACTTGATAATGAATTAACACATCTTACCATGAAATTAAAACATTACTAAACTTCGTGTTAATAATACATAATCATAAAACAATAATACTAATTATAGACCCATATAAATTGCAAAAGTCATTAATTTAAAAAGTAATTATTTTTATTATTTGTAAATATTAGTAATTATAATAAATGTTAGAAATAAATTTAGTTGTTATATCAATTAATAGAAAATTATAATGCTAAGAAAATAAAAATTTATTGTGTTTGGAAAATAATTATATTGGTAATAATTATAAATTTAATATCCATTATTTCAAATATATAAAAATAATTCCTTTGGTTTTCAAAATAATAGTAAAAACACTACAATTTGTTTATTTTTGCTAATAATAATTATGACTTTTAAACATGTTATTATTGTTCGTTTGGCTTTTCCTATTCTAAAAAGTAAGTTAAGATAAAAAAATCACTCTGTACATTGAATAAAAATATTCTACTTAATAGTTTTTAAAATTTATTAATATTTTATTATTTTCATTACACACATCTCATTAATTGAATTAAATATTAATTGATGATTGTTGAACATAAAAATTACTGAGAACCATTAACTATTAATATAATATTGAAATATATTTTTTATTTGTCTGAAAAAATAGATTTTAAATATTACTACACGTTGAAATATTAATTTAATTGAATTAATAAAAGCACAGTATCAGAATAATTTATTAAAGAATTCAATTAAAATGAGGGACATTCTATCCATGGGAAAAATTGAGATGTTAAATAATCGCGCTCACGAATGACCCACATAACCTCAAAACTTGTTCACCTTGCGCAACCTTGCAGGTCACAGCTGCTTTACTGTTGAATTGTGATAACTAGTCGCAGTGTCAATGACAATTTTTATTTACAATCAAATCATTCGAAAATTATTAACAGTTTAACTTACTTATCACTACACCCACGCATCACTGTTAAATATAAAAGATATAAAACATTTACTTTTTAAAGTAGAGTACACCAAAATTCAAAAAATCAAATTAATAATAATAATATTATCTACAAATAAGTAACATTTTAAATTTTATTACTTATAAAATATCAATGACTTTAATTTAAAAAAATTGAAGGACTCGGAAAGTAAATAAATAATATGTTAGTTCTAGCAAATTTGTAAAATTGTTAATACATTTTGATCTTTTTATTCAATCTGAAATTTATTACATAAATTTTAGAATACTTACATTAGTTTTTATCCAAATACGTGTATGGCTATCGAACGCGTTTAAACCAATAAAACAACGTTCGACTGCTTAGCGAACCTAATGCCTAATGATTCCTGTGCAGTATTCGATGTACTTATGCAAATGCGTGTAAAACGATAACGTTCTTCAGTTTATTAATTTGATTCCTAATGTACATGTTAGTGGTCACTGATAACCAATAGTGAAAATAACTAACATGGTTTAAGTATTAGTATCGTGACATCACACTTACAATAACCCCCTCTATAATAGTTAACTAAGTAATTTTGGTTCATTAAATAAAAGTCATAATACTCCAAGAAATATTAATTGTCTATAAGTGTATAACATAAAACAGTTATAACATGAAATAAACAAGGCCCAAGGTGATTTTAGGAACACATGTTGTCTTTCGTAAACACTAAGCTGAAATGAAGTAGAATGAGTAAAATAGTGTATCTTGTTAAATAAAGAAATGATGTTTGTCACATAACTTTCGATTCAACAAAAGCGCCATCTACTGTATAGATAATAAAATATTTGCTAGTTACCGTACACACCTTATTTAAAAGAAATAAATAGCTATTTTTCTAAGGCACAAAAATGTACACAATTTATATAAATATAAAAGTTTTCACCGTTTACGTTAAAAGTTAATCTTTACCTGTATTATGACATAATTAATATACAAATAATTATTATAGGATAAGTTGATAGTTAAAAAATTGGTAAAAATTATTCAACAAATTGCTTCAAAACAAACAATAAATATAAATAGTAAAAAAAAAACAATTTTTGATGAGCTGTAGTATAAGAATATTTGTAAATAATACATTTTTATGAGTATTGCCTTCCTGAGCCACCCCTAGATACAGACTTGTCACAGTAGTATAATGTAAAAAAATGTATGGAACTTTTTATGAAATAATTTCCACGTAATAATTTATTATTTACTGTTAATGATTTTATTCTTAATATTTTATCTTCGATGCGAGTGCCATGATTTCACCCGACCGTAATATTTATGTCTAAAATAAAGTGGTGAGCAAAAAAAGACTAAAATATGAGTTTTTAAGTTTTTTTTGACTATGTCTCCCTTTTAGACAAGAAATCATGGCTATGCACTGTGTATCCTATTATAATTTTCTACTAATGCTTTTATTAAAATTTAAAAAAAAAAATACTTTATTTAATATTTTAAAATGTCTTTTAATGAAAAACAATTTCAGACTGCAGTCTTAAATAATAAATTGTACGCTTAATGACATGACATTAACTGTACCTTGTTAAGCTAAATATTAAAAAAAAAATAAAGACTGTAACGAAAATTGAAAAAATATATGATTTAATATTTACTGATATTTTTCCTTCGCAATTAATTTCGCATAATGTTTATATTTGTAACTAATATTAACTTATCATGATAAATTACGTAAAAATTTAATCACAGTTGTAACCATTTTATGTAAATTTGAACTACAATAAAATTATTTAGTGTACTTCGATTAGTGCAATACGATGAATGAATACTTTCAAATTATAATGAGCCATAACCAACTTGAAATTAAATAGTAGTTTGTCATTGTTATCAATGTTATAACGTTTATAGAAGAAAACTCAAGTTACACTAATCTTATTTCATATAACAATGTTTAGTAAACTTAAACCTTTTAAAATTTAAAACTTAACTATTTTATTAGCGATTTCAAATTTTTTAAAAGGATATAGTTTATCTACATCTCTTTATTTACCCATGATTAATATTTCCACGCTAATATTTGCTGTAGTATTACCAACTTCTTTTTATATTATATGTATGTCTTAAATAGAGTTCAGTAAGTAGTTTGGGAAATAAGTTTCAGTTTTTCCTTCATTCATTCATTGTTTCCAGTGTAACATTAATGCAAAAAGAGTTGAAAATGATTACAAGGTTTTTTTAGGAAGGCAATAGGGGTAATTAACGCATTAACAATATTTTATAGTTTTAATGTAGTTAAAACAATTAATTAAGACACTTCCATATAGAAAGATTTTTACATACACCCCTGAAAAAAGTGTTGCAACTACTAAGACAAGGACCCGTGGAACTCCTCCCTTACCACCGTTTTAGCCTTTTTAGTGAAATATGTAAATAAAAATATTATATTTAAAATCTACACATAACAAAAACACTGAAATTTTTAATCAAAATTATTCTAGGAAGGTAGTTGAAGAATATGCATTTACATAAAATTACGGATCTTAATTATTATAAAACTACAAATTAGATTCTAAAACACGCGTGAATAATAAACAAATTTCATTTTGAAGACATTTTAATTGATCTTTTTATATACCTTAAAAAATTACATTATTTGAAGAAATAAAGAATTTATCTATTATCCATAAATTATTCTTACGAATTTATATAAAATTTATGCGAAAAAAATTATTTAAAAATAATTAGTTCTCAATAATATACTTTATATGATTGATATTTTTAACCATATTATAATAATAAAAGTAAAATATTCGCCGAAAACCAGGGGTAAAATTTAAAAAAAAAATCACAAATAATTATAAAAAAAAATATTTAATAAAATAAATATGAAGAATTTGTCAACGTTTAAGCATTTTTTTTATATTAGTTAAATATATACACAATATAACTTATGAATACATAATCTATTACAATTTAACAGTTAATAAAATAGTTATCACGAATTTATTTAACTTAAATTATTCTATACATAACATTATATTAATTATATATAAATTCATGTAATTTTATACTGTATATATATATATATATATCAGTGGCACAGGAGAAGAGTAGTATTAAGTTATAGTATTTCCTCATATCCAACAATATATAAAAACTAATCCTAGGACGCGAGAAAAATATATTACACTAAAGTTTAACTTCACTTTAATTTAAATCTGCATGTGCCACTGACATATCACAAAATTATATAATAGTTGAGATTTATTTTTTTATACACAAAATAATGACCAAACATAATATTTTATGTTTGATCATATAGATTTAAAATAATAGGTTTGTTGCTTAATCACACTTTTTAATAAAATTATAACATAAAATTAAATATTTATAATAGTGATCTACACTACTCAATATTTTGACTTGTAGTTTATGCATAAATTTGTTTACTATTAAATATGATACTTATCATCTGTGATTATTGCTACAACCAGGTAAATTATCCAGATTTAAATTATTATTTGATCGATCTCGTCGTCTTGATTTATTCAAAGTATACGTCTCGGGCTCAAATACTGATGGATATTCTAATGATTCGCTTTCACTACTTTGGTCAGTAAACTAGAAATAAATAATTTAAATTACAATTTAATAGCTAAAAATGCATACATAAATTGTTTCATACCTAAATTTATTTTTAAAGAATTGTTTTTTTCAATTTGAAGATTGGTCATAAAATTTACATTTAAATATTCATATTTTAATTTTTAAAAATCCGAAATATTATAAATATATCTAAAAATACATAGATTTATACCAGAATTAGGTTAATATATCTATGTAATTATTTAAACTTTTACTAGTCTTAAATGTTATATATTAATACGTTGTCTGATATAACCTTTTTTTATATTAGTCAATTAATTATATTTAAGATAAGTTTTGAAGCTTTGATTTTAAAAGAACATTTCAACCAATCATGGGCTTAATTAGAAATTTGAGTCAACCACTATATTTTGAGATCTATATAATATCATTCTTGGTATGCAATATTGAGAAAAAAAAAAAAAAGTAATTTGTTTTTTTTTCGCAAATGAAGTTCTTTTCTTTATATGCAGAAAAAAAACTTCTAGAATTTGCATTCTTTTTTTTTTTTGCGTTTACATAAAATTTAAAGTAATTGTATAATAAAGTCAAAAATCATACAATATTTGGTAAAATTAGACGATTTTGAAGTATTTTTTACACCAATGAAATTTAAGGTCTATTGTCTACTACACGATTAAAAAAGTAAGATGTTTCGACGACTTGTCTTCTATGAGTAATTAGCCTCTAAAAAATAATGATGTAATTCTTGGTGGATATGATAAACCGCTTTAACTATATGAATATGCTAATAATATAAATAACTAGTGATGGGCATTTTCAAATATTTTAAACTATCGTATAACTATTCAAATTGTGTTTATACAACCGAATAGTTTATTTTTAGCATAAACTATCGAATAGTTTAAAAACTATCCGAATAGACTATCGAATAGTTTATAAAACTATTCGAATATATTGAGTAACTATCGAATATTTTTACTATTCGAATATTTTTTGAATGACTATCGAATAGTTCGATAGTTTCTATTCGATATTTCCCATCACTATAAATAACTATATGCTTGAATTAAAATAAAATTTTCAGTAGTAACACTTAAGAAAAGTACCTTACTTTTTAAATAAAGGTTTTTAATATCTTATCATTATAATTATAAGGAACATAATCATCATATTAAATTCTTCTATTTCCAATTTTTTATGACCTAAAAATTCTTACTTCTTTAAACCTATATCAAATTAAAGCTATTACAATGTATTTTAAGATAAAAAAATAAAAACATCAGAAATTTTAATTTTTAGATGTTTTGATTATTTTAGGAAAAAAATCATAACATTTTCGGGAAAAATGGACAATTTTGTAATATTTTGTCACTATGCGACAGAATACTTACATTATTTTAAATTATTTCATATTAAAGCATGTTTAATGAAATATAAGATAAAAAAAGAAGAACGTTCCGGTAATTTATCTTCTATAAGTAATCAACCTTTAAAGTCAAAAAGTAATTAATGATAGACATGGTAAATTAAAAAATATATATATTTAAAATATGCATTGAAATGTTTTACAACAGTAATTTTAATCACTGTCAGATATCAATCAATAATGTTTTAACAAATGTCTCAACTCCATTTTTATGGATTTCTACTGTACTTCACTTTTTATTTTTAGTTCTTTTTTGTAGTTTTAACTTCTCTATACTACTTATTCGCATTCGTTATCAGAATAAAATCAACTAATTAAGATACCAGTCTACGTTATGCGTTTAACAAATAACATTATAGGTAAAACCATATATTTTGTCGCACTCTCAAAATCTGGTTTGTCATTAAACCACTTTATTTGAAATAAATTTTCAGCTAAATAATGTAAAATTATTTTTTCTTTCAAGTTCCTAAAGGTATCAAATAAATATATTTTAAACACAATATAAAATAACTATAATAAAATATTAAGTATATATATATATATATATATAAAATTTACCAAGAAGTAGAAATAATGATATCAAGGTGGCTAAGCTCACAAGCCACCATCTAGTTACGCTAATGCAACTCATAACTCCGTGGATTTAAAGGAAAGTAATTAATTTCTATATACTGTTTAAATTATCTTAAAATTAAAGTTATTGATTAATTATATCAGCTCTGGTATAATACCTTGTAGGTGAGAGTCAGAACACACCTTAAGCACTGACAATAGGTAATAACCTCCAGTAGCGTGCACTAGAAAGACAACTACCTAGTGGGTACAGTTTAATTTTTTAAAAATGTACCACCCAATTTTTTATTAAATAATGATTTTTTCATAAAAATGTACACATCAAAATTTGATTTATTTTCATAAATCTTTCTAAATATCTAGTTTGTTGTAACAAATAATTATTTTCTAAGAGTATATTTTAGGCGTAATTTTCAAAAGTCAAATAGGAACCTATTATTATTATTTTTAAGATTAAGAAATGAAAAACGGTTTAAATTAATGATGGGAAATATCGAATAGAAACTATCGAACTATTCGAACTATAGTGATTCAAAAAATATTCGATAGATACACGATATATTCGAATAGTTTTAAAAACTATTCGATAGTCTATTCGAATAGTTTATACTAAAAATAAACTATTTGGTTGTATAAACACAATTCGAATAGTTATACGATAGTTTAAAATATAGTATATTTTAAACGCGACAACGCGGCAAAATCGACTTCCATTTCGGACGAAGAAAAAACGAAGTAGGTGACTTAATGTTTCATCTGTACGTCGATTTCTATGTTTTGATTTAATATGTTTCATGTTTGAAAATGTACATTCACAAATGTAAGTAGTCCCAAACATGGATAACATTTTTAATGCGAACTCTCGTAAAAGTGGATATTTTAGAATAGGTAATTTTTTCCAAAAGCTTATGTCAATCTCTTTTGTAAATAAACTTTAAAATTATATGTTGCAATTTGAAAATGTAGCGCGGGCCGGATAGTATAACTTATTGAAAAGTATAGGGATAAATATAATTTTTTTATGAGAAATAATTTTTAAATCCTTCTTTTACTCAACATACTTTTTTTTTAAATAAAACCAAATCTCTTAAATATTTATATATATACATATATATATTACACTTATAAATCTTAAAACTTGTAATCAGGATATAAATAAAGAAATAGGAGATCATGTAGATTTTGGAATAATATTATTATTAATAATATTCCACATAAAAATAAAACTTTAATCTTCAAAAATATTTATAATGAAAAAAGAGCGAAAATCTTCTTCTTCCTCACCTTAATCCTAACTAATAGGGGACAGCCACCCTTATCCTAAACTTCCATTTGACACTATCTCCCACATCAGCAGTTTTCAATTCACATTCAATAGCATCTCTCCACATCTTTTTTGGTCTTCTTCTACCTTTTCTTCCTTCAAAATTCATTCCTATAACTGTTTTTACAGCTTTTGATTCTTCTCTCATCATAACATGACCAAACCATCTAAGTCTATTTCCTCTCATCTTATCCACAATTGACATTACACCTATACTCCCTCTTATATGCTCGTCCCTTATTCTATCTTTTCTAGTCACTCCACTCATCCATCTAAGCATTCTCATCTCTGCTACACTCATTCTCTGCTCTACTTTCTTATCAACCACCCAACACTCTAAACCATACATCATAACTGGATTTACTACCGTCTTATAGAACTTACCTTTCAGACTTATTAAAATTCTCTTAACGCATTATACACCATCCACTTCTCTTCACTTAACCCACCTGCACTTAATCCTGTGTCTTAAATCTTCGTTAATACCATTGTTCTTTTTTGCACTGATCACGTCAGTGAGTATCAAATTTTCTATTTAATGATGCCAACATTAAACGTAACATTTGAGTTAAAAAAAAGTTATGGTAAAGAATTCAAACAACTTTTTTTATTATTAACTTTCGTAAAACTTTAACTTTAAAAGGCAAAAAAAAGGTTAAAAATAATATTTGAAATAGAAATTTTGCTTGGATTATTTTGAACATTTTTAAAATTAACATCAATAATAGTTATTATATTTCAATGAAAGTACAGTCATCAACAGAACTAGTCACTAATTGAGGTTGTACTTTTATATGCTATTAATGTTTAAAATTTAAACATATATTTATAATTAATACATTTTTTAACTTCGATGGGAAGCTGTGAAGGTATTAATTTTCCTATGATGTTTTTTTTTTATTTATTTTTTTGTGTCTGTTACCACTTTTTTCATCTTTCATCCGACTAATTTCATTCAAATATATGTCAAAGGATCACAAATCGTACTTAGTTGATTTCATTGCCTTTAACCCTTAACTAGTCACCATCGAATAATTACACAGACAGTTACGTCGGGTCATAGTGACCCTTAGTTTGGATTTTATAAGTTTTACTTAATTTTGGATTAAATTGATTAATAAAAAATAACTTCATTTCATACATTTTGTATTTCACTTGTGTATTGAAAAAAATAATGATACAATCTTAATGAATAAGAATAATAGTTTTAACATAATAAGTATACATAAAAAAAAATTGCTTTCCTTGTTTTTTATAATGAACTTAATACCAAGTATAAAATATGTACAATATAATTTTAGTATTACTTTACTTCACATTTTAAACAAACAATTGCCGAATGAATTTAACAAATATTTTGTTTACATACCTTACAAACATCACTGTATTTATTGTCTTTTGTGCTTGGACAAATATGACAACTTTTACGTTTTTTAGAGTCTCTTATGTTGTCGACTTAATTTGTAACTGGTTGTTTATTGATTCCTTGATTACCCAAATAAATCCATATTTTTGTCTAAGACTACGTAATATGTGAATGTTAATTCCTCTTCTAATTATTTGATCATGTGCAAGTTTTTTGGCAAGATTTTTCAAAAATTTTCTTTTTTCCATTGTTTCTTCCGTGTTAGAATTAAAAATAATATATGCATTTATTGCAGAAACGTTTATAAAATGATTAAATATAGCTAACGGCCGCCTTCTGGTCTTTCGACCAATATTGTAATTGCTACAAAGCTGATCACATGAATCTACTCCACCTTTAGTTGTATTTTAAAAAGTTATTATTTCTGGTCTTTTCTTTTCACCAGTGACATCATAAATTAAATCATCATTATGCATAGTGGAGATAACTACAAGAGACCTAGATTTTGCTGGAACGTATGAAACCATAGATATATTTTTTGTAAATCCAAAAATACTCGAATAAACTTCCCTTTTTCTATTAAGGAGAAATCCAAATGGAATTTCTCTTTTGTTTTTGCGTAAAGTTCTTGTTAGTGTTATTTTATTATATAATAACCAATTTGCCAAAGGTATACTTGTATACCAGTTATCAGTGGTAAAACTTCTTCCACTGCCCATTATTGGATCAACATAACGTTGAACAATACCAAAAGGTGCGTTTAATTTTTTATAAGGACCATCATGTTGTAACCCAGCATATATTTCAAATTTTAACAAATAAAAGGTTTTGCTATCTACCAACGCAAATACTTTAATTCCATATTTTTTTGGCTTGTTTGGTAAATACTGTCGAAAAGGATACCTACCCCTAAACGGAATTAACTGCTCATCTATTGTTGTATATTCGGCTAGTGTATACGCAAGCTCAAATATCGAGTATTTCACGGACAGCTGCAAGTTTGTCAGTTTTTTTTTCTCTCTTCTCTAGTATGTATATTGTCAAAACGAATGCAACGATATAAAAATAAAAAACGTTTATAGGACATTGCTAAAGAAAAAATTGAAGGTCCATCTTCATCCCATAATTCTTCAATATTCAAATGAGCAGCTTGTTTAACGCCAGACATCAATAATAAACCAATAAAAGCTGTAATTTCTGTTATATCAGCTGTATCTTGGGCATCTGTAACTCTTTTATAATTTTTTCGTATTTTCAAAATATAAATATTTGTATTTTTTACTAAAATATCTATTAATTTCTCATCAAAATATAATTTAAACGCGTCGTGTGGTGTTTTAGCATTTTTAGCTACACCTTTCACACCAGGTAAATGAGTAATTATATTATGTTGCCTCGTCCGACCACTCACTTTTATTGGTTTTTTTATCTTTACTAAAATAAAAACTATTTGGTTCACTTACATCATTCACTTCGTCATCGTCTGAACACGTACCTAAATCTGATTCCGTATCATGTTCACTTTCTTCAACATAATCTTTGTCGTCTTCAGAATTATCGTCAGATAATGGCTCTTCTTCTTGTCTCAAAAGTTCTGCTTCTAACTCACTATCTGTGATAAACTTTTCCATAATTATAAAATACTAAAATTGATATAGATTTGGTAACATAAACAATCATGCGTCTGAATTGGTACACCAAAGGTCGTATGGGGTCAATCGTCTTAAAACTATAGCGCACTAACGATCGTCTCAGGTCAAAATCAAGATTTAACTGGTATAATTATAAATATACGATTAATTTTATATCTAACAACATGGACAGATAAATGAAAAGAGATTACATGTATATGGAATAATTCCCAATTAACTGAATCTAAAAATAGCACGTTTGACAAGAAACGTCGGGTCAAATATGCCCGATGTGACCAGTTAAGGGTTAAAAACTAAAAAAAAAATCCTTCCTCCCCTGTAAATGGGGAAAATATCCAAAAAATACAATTTTTTAAATCGGTAAATTTCGACATTTCTACAATTTTTTTTTCTAAAATCAGCCATAACTTATTTAAAAATGAACAAATCAAACAAATTTATTTATATATAAAATTATATATGAAAATCTGACTCTTTAATTGCCCACAGAAAGAGATTTATAATAGCAACTTTTTTACAAAACTACCTTTTTTAATTTAAGTTTTGAAAATGTTCTGGAAATACTTCGAGCTTCAAATATATGTTAAATTATAACTTATGTACTTAAAATAGTTAAAAAAATAATCGCCCCCACGATTTATCTTCTATGTATACACGGCCTTCAAAGTTAAACAAAAAATATTGTTTTGATGTAAAAAATAATTGTTTTTCGTGTTGCTATAATTTGTTTTTATTTTTTATTTTTATTAATATGTCTATATTTTAAGTCAAACAGTAAAATCCTATAGAAGGGCGAGGTAAGTACCCCATTTAACCCCTTTTACAACAAATTATTTAAATGCTAGTTAAAATAATTTGTAACTTTGAAAGTCAATTCAATAAGTATATTAAAAGGAAGGAGGCTGCCCTTTCTAAAAAAAAGTCCTAATTATAAATGGCTTATGATAAATTGAGGTAACAAAATACAAATATAGAGTGGAAGAAGAGGGCGGCATAATAATGTGTAATAATACCAATAACATAACCCATACTTCAACTCAACTCTTTAATTTTAATAGTAATAACTTCCAAAATAGTGAATCATAAGTTGTCATCGACCAGATATTTCCTTAATTAGATTGTTTTTTTATTTATAAGTTACTTATATGTTGCCATTTAAAATATTGAAGTGGACACCCTTATTAGGTATAAAAGATAAATTTAAAAAATTATTAACTGATGGATGAATCAAGAAATATATAAATCCAAAGAATACCAAATAGATTTTTTTAGCATAACTATTATTTTAAGAGAAATCTAGTGGCTATTAATAGAATTACTCTGAATTTCAAAGTCTCAATTTATTATAAGCGATTGATGATAGTTAAAACTTTTTTGGAAAGAGCTACCTCCTTCCTGTTAATATACTTATTAAACTGTTATTAAATGTTGCAAAATATTTATAACTATCACTTTAATTATTTTATTTTGTAATAGGGGGGGGGGGGTTAAATGAGGTACTTCCCTACCACACAAGCAATAACTATACCGCTTCATATAAAAAGTAAATAAATTATAAAAAAAATGAAATAAAAATTATAACAATATGAAAATACGGCAATTTTTTACACAAAAATAATATTTTTTCTTTGTTTACATATAGAAGACAAATCGTTGAGATAAATTTTTTTTTAATATACAAGGTGATTTTTTTATCATAACCCACTCAATTACTTGCAGAATATATATAATTTAAACATTTTTTTTTTCTTTAGTTACACATTATTCTTGAATTATTAACTATTTAAAACTTTTTATGTTCATTCCTTATACCTTGTAAGGGTATCAACTTTATTTTTTAAATAGGAACACATATTTTTAATTTAATAAAACGTTTGGATTTTTAATTCAATATTAAATGGCATTTGAATTTTTAGTACAACTTTATTAGTTTATTAGATATAAACATTTAAAGTTTCAAATTTTTGAGTTGATAAACATGTATAATACACAAAGGATTATAAATATAATAGATAGCTAATTGGATTTTTATGACATTGCTGTCACATTCACGGATTGTTTATTATCAATTATGACTATCAATAGATATACTTTCTGTATCGTCAGTTAGTGTATTTATAAACTCACAACAATGTGCCTTACTATCATTGATAATAACAATAGTAGTAAGGTAGGTAAGATATTATACATGTATATTAACTCAAAAATTTGAAACTTTAAGTGTTTATATCTAAAAAACTAATAAAGTTATACTAAAAATTCAAATGCCATTTACTATTAAATTAAAAACTCAAACATTTTATTAAATTCAAAATATGTGTTCCCATTAAAAAAAACAAAAATGACACCCTAACAAGGTATAAGGGATGAACATAAAAAGTTTTAAATAGTTAATAATTCAAGAATAATGTGTATCTAAAGATAACCAAAAAAAAAAAAAAATGTTTAAATTATATATATTCTGCAAGTAATTGAGTGGGTTGTGATAAAAAAATCACCCTGTATAATATGTAACATAAGTTTTAATTTAACATATTTAAAAAACTCGGAGTATTTTCAAAACATTTAAAAGTTAAGTTGAAAATTTTTTCAACATTTAAGGTTGATGTCTTTAACTAGATACGATTTGTGATTTTTTAACCTATTGTTGAATAAAATAAGTCCAATGAGACCTGAACAAAAATAGTAACAGACAAAAAAATTAAATAAACACACCATCGTAAAACTAATACCTTCTCCGCTTCGAATTCAAGCTAAAATTAGTATTTACAATAACTGAATTTTTCAGTATTATTTTCGATGATTTTAAACCAAACTAAACTAATAAATATTGATTAAATGGTAATTGCGACAATTTCAACTTTTTAGTGTACTTTTATACATAAATATTAAATATAACACTACAATGCTAGTTTTAAATATAGTTAGATTCTAATATGATATTTTATGAGTTCTTTTTTAACTTTGAATATGACGAATTATTTGTTAATATTCTAAAAGTATTTTTTCACTATCAAAAAATTATTTCTAATTCTAAATGGAAATGTATTTTTATAAATTAAAAATATACTTACATATCTATTTGAATATAAGTGATATGGTAAATTATTTGTATTAGTATTTCCATTTTGATCGTTAGATTCATCTAATCCTTCTGTTATCCCTAAAAATTAAAACAGTGTCATATTCAGGATTTTAGGATTGAGCAGCAACTTACAATTTATAGTTAATATGGGCCTTTTCTCATGTAAAGGATATAAAGGACCCCATTATGAAAATAAATACATGATAAAGATCTATTATGGTTTGTAAAAAATTTCTTATTTATATCATTATTCAACACAAATGAGATATAATGATATACAAAACCACATTAACATTTAGAAAAACTCTGCTCTCAATAAAGCACATTAAATAAATATCTGATCTATAAAATTATAAAAAAAGTCTCCCATTTAATTTTAGTTACCCTTAGAATATTACAGATGTGTTACTGTTGTTGAGGAAAATAATTAAAATCCTACTTACATGATGGTAATACACTCAAGTTAGTATTGTGTTCCATGCCAGTTAAAACAGTAATAGGTTGCCTTGATCGTGGTTCACTTTCAGTAGCAATCCTAAACATAAGTTAGTTCATTTCTTATTAATAATATCAGAACTACAATAACAATACATATTAAAATAATTTATTTAATAAAATTATAATACAAAATGTTTAAAATTTTTCTGATTAATTGATGCACAGTATAAAAACTAGGAAAAACAATATGATTCATCAATTTAGGGATTTTTGGAACTTTTATGTTTTACAAGTATAAATTTAATTCATTGGTTAGATGAACAGCAATAGTAATAATTAAATTAAATAACGAGACAGTTTACAGTCTCATTATTTAATTTTATGACAATATATAAGAAATACTACGTAAATAATTTAACAAATAATAGCCAATAGCCATAGGGTAGGAGCAATTATTTTCAAAAAATAATTTCTTTATTATAAAACAATATTTATAAATACCCTTAACTTACTAATTGATACAAAATTTATATATTAATTTTAGTCTCATTGTTTACCTATAATTAGTTTGATCCAAATATTGAGTGTTTTGATCTTCTCTATTACCTTTAATAAAAAGCAAAATATTTATTTTATTATATCATTTATCTATTAACAAATTAATATGAATTACCAAGTGGTGGTGGAGGTGCAGTATATTGAGGTACTCTCATATTTACATGTATATTTTGAATGCGTCTCTCTGCTTCTTGTCTTGATTGCATAAATGATTCTAGAGTAATTTCAGAACTGTTACTAATATCAGTACGTCTACAAATAATATTTTTTTTTAATTACGAGTATTTTCATGGTTATGATTTACTAATACCTAAGGTTACTATCAGATGTTTTGGACACAGAAGCTAATCTATAGTCAACCATGTCGGAAGGACGATTATGGGTAACTTGTGATACTTGAGTTGGAGAATTGACATCTAAACTATTTTATGACAAAAAAATTTATAAATTATTATTATACATTTATTATTAATTAATTTAAATTATAATTAAGTATAAAAATATTTCTTAAGGTACTTTTGATTATAAAGGTTTGCTAATGGTACATCTGATGAATATTTAGGAACTGCAGGAGGTACTCTACGGTAACTACGATATTGAGATGTTGGAACAGGTTCATTTGAATCACGTCCAATCATACCCATTCCAAGAAACTTCCAATGTTTTCTATCCAAACTACTACCTTTTGTTTGATCTTCTTTAGGCAAATTCTTTTTTTGCTGTTTTTTCAATGAACTACAACTTTTATCGCTGTTAAAGAAATCAAAAGAGATATTATACTTAGTTACCCCTTAATATATTTATATATTAATATATTTAATAAAAAATGTACAATTATACAGAGTAAATAAGTATGTTATAACTAATAAAATTTTTTTAAATTATTGATAAGTGATAAATGCTTAAAAATATAATTTTATAATTATTTTTATATGATAGTAAATTAAAAATTCATTGACTAGAGATAAGAATTTTAATTAAAAAAAAATTTAATAATAACCAGTCAATAAGAATAAATATTTTACGAGGTACAGGGTTTAAATACTTAAGATAAGGTGAGTATAGCAGCTAAAGTAACATTTGAAAACATTTTTTTAATGTAAACAGTTCCTTCATTTGCAATAAATATGTTAAATTATTCATTTTTACATCACATTATACATGAAAAAGATTTTTTTATTTTTTTTATATATAAAAGTCTTATACATATTAGACTTACTTTTTAACTTTATTGGAACTATTGTTATTAACATTTGAATGTGAACCCATATGATTAGATATAAAAGAAGATATATTTCTTAAAGCAGAACTTGTAAAATTAGATTCATGAGTTATACCCGGATGTAATGTAACTGACGGTTCTATAGAATCTCCATTTTCATTTATAAAGTCATCTTCCTCATCATCTGTTTCACTAACAGCTTCAATATCTAATAGTAAAAACAAACAAAATTTTAAAAACTATACTACTGATATTTTAATTTTGTATTAACTTATTTCTATTAAATTATTTTATAAGAATGATTTAATGTTATTTTTACTCAACAATAATTTAAAAATAAAATAAGATTTCAATTTTACCTAAATTAGACTTCTTGTAAAATATTTAGAATTACCAATAATTTATTTTTTTCAATAAAGTGATACTAAGGTGCAATAAAGTATTAACATAAAATGTAAAAACTTGACTATCATCATGTAATAATACTATAATAATATAATTAAAAAATTTAAATAACTTTTTTACTAACAGAAAAACTATATTCACTCAAGTAAATAGTTAAAGACTAATGTTTTTCTTTTATTTTAATAGCCTGAAATTTACAGTGACTATTTAGATATTTTTAAATTAAACACATTAAGTCCAGAGTTTTCTTTTTTCTTTTTTGTATTTTTATAATTATTATTTTTATACATTTGTTTAAAATAATATTTAAAACAAATAATATTAATAATTTTTTTTGTTATTACGACCTTTTGATGAGATATTTAATGTTACTATGTGATATTACTAGGATTACAAGGTGTGACACATACTAAAATATAGCGTTATCTTATGGGTACGCAAGGACTTAATGGGTTAAATAATTCGTAATAAAGTCAGTATACAATCTTAACCTTTTTTATTAGTGTATTTAAGGGTGATTAAAGGAGTTATAGCCTTCCTTATTGGCTAATTTTTACCCCTCCCAAAAGTAATAGTCTTGGCTAAATCACTACACTGCTATCCCTGTATAACTTTTTATTGAAAATTATATCTGATTATTTCATTGATTTCAAAATACTCACTTGAGTTATGTCCATCTATGGAAGTGGCAGTTGAAAACCAATCTAACCACATTGTAAGATCATCTGGTGTTTCAGCAGCAAAGTAAAACATAGTTCCCATGTGATAAACTTTAAAAGCATTAGATCTAGATTTAACTTCATCAGCAACTGCTACCGTAAAACCAGAAAGAATTATCATGAGCCGAGCTTTAGTAGACTACAACAAAAAATTAAACTTAAATATTACTTATAACTATAAATCAAGTATTAAAAGGCTAATCTTAAACAAAAATTTTAAGTGTATTATTTCATCAGATAAACTTCTTATAATTTTTAAAAATGTTTTCTTTGTAACAAATTATTGCATTCACTCTATAAATATTTTCAAACTATTCTTATCAGTAAATTTGTTAAATACCGAAGTAACCATCTTGTTGTATGATCAACCTGAGAACCATACATGAAAACACAAAAAAGCTTACTACAACTATTAATATACTAACTAAGATTTTATTTTTAAGTCAGCAAAATCTTAATAACCTTTTCTTTATAACTATTTGAACAGTTGAATAACTAAATTAACTAAAATTAAATGTCACATGTAAAATCATAATACCCCTACATTTTAAGCACCAAAATGCAAAATGTTGTAATTATTTTTTTGAATTGGAATATCTTACTAAAAATTATTGAATCGAAACAAGTTGTATGATATTTCAAAATATTTACAAATGAATTTCAGTTAAAAAATAAATAAATTTTTAAATTTGTACTGTGTAACTATTAATTATTACTCATTACTTCAAAAACTAAATTTCAAATCTGAAAATCTGAAGCTATAATTGGAATCAACAACATACTTCTTATAAATGACACCTAAATATTTTAGACAGCAAAATTTTTATTGACCTATATAATTATATACCTCTTTATTATTGAAACCATAAAAAGTTGTTCCTTTAATAATAAACCATCCTTTGATCCATTGCATGCGAGGTGATATTTTCTTTGATCTTTGATACAACCAACCTTGATACTCACATACTCCTAATTCTTTAATACTAAGATTTCGTCTTTCTGTAAAAAAATATATATATTTTAAAGCATGTTTATAATTGTTTTTTTTTTTATTAGTATATTTACTAGCTATCAATGGGTTTCTTTGATGAAGTTTTTGTCCTTTATTTTCTTTCTTTCCAATAGTTTTAGCTCCAAGCATAGCTCTGTAACTGGTCCTTTTCGGTATTTCAGCAGGTTTGGATGGTCTGGGTGGAGGTATTGGGGGTTGACATTTTTTTGTTTCAGTTTTTTGTCTGGGAAAAGTTGCTGGTGCATTAACAACTGTTTGATGAGGTATGATTGCTGTTGATTCAGAAGGTAGTGAGATGTTATCTTTAGGTTCAACTCGAAAAATGTTGTCATCACTACCACTAAGATCAGTTAATGACAGAGGTGGTAATACATCAGATAAATCAGAAAATGATGTTTTGTCAAAATTAGAAAAATCTTGAATTTTGTTATTTACATCAAATTTCTTCTTTAGCCGATTGATTGAATACTTAGTTAGTTCTATTGGAGTAGATGATTTATCATGGGATAATTGAATAATAACACTATCTGTTTTATGAAGTTCTGGATAATTTTTGATTAAATTATCTGTACAGCTATTATTTTGTTCAAACAAAAATGCTCTTTCTGTTTCAGTAGCTATATTATTGTACTGAGGTTCAAGGTTATAACTATTTAATATCTTTTCAGAAACTGATTCTTTAGTTAAATTTGGATCTACATAATTTGATTTTTCATAAGGTGATTTTTGAAGTATTAACATTGATTTTTTAATTGTATATGCAATGTCTTTGTTATCAACTAAAAATGGAATTTCTGTATCATCAATTTTTATTGGAGGGGGTTGAGGAAAAGTTAATATAGGTTTGTCAGGTCTTTTAGATTTTTTTAAAGAAACATCACTTAAATCAAATACTTCTGAAGTATTATGATTTGGCACATCTTCATTAGACAATTGTAAATCTGAATTAAAGTCTTCAAAATCATTTTGAGAGTTACTGTCAATTGAAAAATCATAAGAAGGAGTACTATAACTTTTATCCAATTTACCTCGTGCTTTAATTAATTTTGAATCACTTGAACTATTTATTTTTGGTTTAGGCATAATTTTTGGTTTTTTACAAACATTTTCAGGACTTGTATTAATTTTCAACTGATTAATACGTTCCTTCAAAGAAATGAAATCATTACTGCATAACACTTTATCTTTAATAGATACATCAGTACTTTTTTTATCCGGCACTTTTAGACTTTCATGTTTTTCTTCATTTGGAGGTAATGAAGTCCAATGAACTTTAGTAGACTTAGAACGCTTACTAAGTTGTATTTCACTGTTAGATTTTTCAGCATTATTTCTAGTGTTATTATATGCATCATTTACTTGTTTTAGCCATAACTGAAATATTAATATATTTAAGAAAAATTTACACATATATTAATTTAAATAACAAAATTTAAAAACTTATCATGCAGATTAAATATAATTTTAAATAATGCTTAATGCCATCCCAAATATAAAATTTATAAAAAAAAAAACAAAAAAAAAGTACAAGGTGGAATAGATCCAACTGACAACTCATAACTATTGATATAATTAAAATTTTGCAGTAATTGTAGCATTCTTAAACTATGTTAAAAGCTTTATTTTTATTATTTACTTTTACTAATAAAAGTAAGTTTTTTTTTAATTTAACATTTTTAATTAAGAGTTTTTCTTACAGAAAATTTTGATGAGTCGATAACAACTTTAGGAATAATACTTATTGAGTTATAAGTATTTTGATATATAGACTATGTATGTAGTGTTATACATATACACTATTACGAGCTAGACCTACCCTCGTTATATATCTACTCCATGTATTAAAATTCTTGTAACTCAATAAGTACTGGTCTTAAAATTGTTATCAATGTATCAAAATATTTTGTAAAAAAAAATAATTATTTAAAAATTTTAATTAAAAAAAAAATTATTTATTTATATTTATTAAAAATAAAAAACAATACATTTTTTTTAAAATAGTCTAAAAATGATAATAAAAGAAATTTTAATTTCAAATATTGAGTTTGACAAGTGTTTCGAGGATTGGAAAAGCATTGGCACAAGTGCATAATAATTAATGAGGACTTTTTTTTAAGGCGACAACATTCATGTAGATGAATAAATAAATACTTTTTCAAAAAACGAAAAGTTTCTGAACACACATTGTATATTTAACAATGCCTAAAATATAAATAATTACCATTCAGAGTTAAAATTTAAAATATTTACTTATCTAATAATAAAGTTCTAAACAATTTTATGTATTTTATATATAGTTATAAAATGTTTTAAAAACTTAATAATCATTAACTAGACAAAATTAAAACTACATTTTTTCAAAAACTCTGAATTATCTGTAGCAATAAAATATTCAAAACCAATTTTTATCTATTTAAAAGAAACTATTTATAAAAAGCCATCAGAACATACAAGTTTACAATAATAATAACTAGATCATACATTAACTACTTATAGTTCATGCATAAATACAAATTAAAAATACTCTGATTTTTCAAGATAATTCAACATGGTCATGTATTGAAAAAACTAGATTACAAAAGAAAGATTAAAATATAAGTGAAGAAAAAAAGATATTTTCATAAAAAGAAAATTGGGTTATTTTTAATGTTTTTTAAAGGATTAAAGAATATTATTTTATCAAAAACTGTATTTTAATTTATAAATTTAAACATATTAAAAATATCATAAGGATAACACTGCATTATATACTATATACAAGATTTGGGTTAAGTTAAAATTCGCATCTGTGAAAATTAAGTAATATTGTACTTAAATAAATATAGTTTAAAAAAACTAAAAAAACACGCTTTTAAAGCACATCGAACTAAAAAGTTAAAAATAATTTTTAGTTTTATGTTATGATAGTAGTTACTATCAATATCATGGTTGTAACGGGTAACGGGAAATCAGGGTTTGATTCTGGGGAGGGAGTCTGAGAAACGGCTCCCACATCCAAGGAAAGCAGCAGGCGCGTAAATTACCCACATCCGGAACATGGAGGTAGTGACGAAAAATGACGATACTGGATTCATCCTTTGTAATCGGAATGAATGAGTTTTATATTTTTAAATAAGAATAAGTGTGTTAATATATATTTTTAATAGTAATTAGAATATATATATATACATGTAAAGCGATTTAAGTACGTAAACGTATCATGCATTAGGTATAGCCGTGTTTTGTGGGCTGGCGGGTCGGACTAACGTTAAACCTGAGGTATAAACGGCGGTAGGAATATATACGTTAGCCGTATGCACGCGGATGATAATGGTCAGTCAAAATAAAAATTTGTTTATATATATATAATATTGATGACACGCACGTGTGTACGGGTACGATAACCAAAAATAAATTTATACAGGAATAGTATTGCCGGCGTGTGATGAGCGAGACGTGGGGTGGGGTGAATGCGTTATGACAGTCTAGTCTAGACGACGGAATATGCGATAACGTGTGGCGTTTGGAGAGTTATAAACATACATACATACATACAGGTAAAACTAGTATAAGCGTGTTAAAAAGCCATTAACATATATATATATATATATATGTGTGTGTGTATGTAGTTGACACAGTTGTAAAAAATATAACTAAAATGAGTAGTTTTATTTATTGAAATATAAATGGCAAATAATTGATTAAACTTTAAACTGAATAATGCATTATGTAATTTTTAAGCGATAAAATAAAATTAACTTTGTAGAAATGTCAAAGAAAAAAAAATTTCATAGAAAATTTGTATAATACCATTTAATTGAAAAATATATGCGATTTTATAGAGTAAAAATAATTACTAAATCCTAAAGTTATTATCACTTACATATTTTTGTGTAATATATTACACAACATTAATTATTTACTACAATAATGCAGATTTTACAAAAAAATGTTTAATTTTTTTTTTACGGTTTCAGAAATTTTAATTATTTAAATTCTCTTGATTTCTATGAAAATGCTATAACATTAACGGAAATAACTTCTATAGCAGTGACTGTCCATCAACGTGTTAAAAAATTTCACACCATCCAATGATATGATATGTATATACTATTTATAACTGAAATTTGACTTGTCAATTATAACCTCACACATTTTTTGTTTTCATAACTTAACTAAGAATTAACTCAGATTGTAATTTAAATAAATAATTAATATATGTACAAATTAAAAAAAAAATTCAGAATAAAAAAAGTCCCTGACATTTTAATGATTTTCCTGACTATATATAAGTTCCTTGACTTATCTCAGTTTTGCAGACTTAGAGAAACTATGAATTTTAGAATAAAAAAGAAAAATTTTAAAATAACAATATAATAGTAAACAGACATTAAGAAAATCAACTTAGTAAAAATTACTACTGACCACACCAAATCTATCAAATAATCTTAAGTCTATTACAACATACCATAACTTTATAATAATGTTCCTCTATATTAGTTCATTATCAAAAATATTACTGTACGATAAAAAAAAGCAAATGAACACAAATAACAAACTAAATAGATATCAAATGTAAGAGACAGATTTTATAAATAAAAAAAAAAAATTATAAAAAATAAAAAACAGAAAGAGATATTGTTCTTGAACAAAAACAATATGAAAAAAGTAGATAATCATTATTACCTGTTAATATTTTTTCATGTTTCTTGCAACTCGTTCTAAATTATTATAATCCAAGAAAATTTTAATGAAGCATCCATAAAGTTACATTGTTGCTTTTCATTTTAATGAAAAAGCAGTTTTAAAAATTTGAGTGAAAAATATTTATAAATAGAATAAAATATTAAAATATAATTGAACTATTTTTTTTCACTGAAAATTAAACTAATACAAATTTTATGTTTGAAGACAGCATGACGTTAAAACTCTCATAAACATCTTTTATTTAGGCACATCAAGATTAACCTGTTCAAAAAAACATCAAACTATAATGCGATTCCTACAGAATTAAACACCAGAATTATGTGTCGGGAAAATCTAAACTGTAATTATAAATAAATATAAATTTAATTTACCACCCTAAACATAACGCATAACACATAACTTGTAACATAATAATTATAAATTATTCTGTGTATATTCTTAAAAAACAATTTAGAAAAATTATATTACAAAGATTTTAAGTTAATTATCAACTATTTATCTCAACTTTTTTTAAATACTAAAAAACTATACAAATTTTTTTGATGAAAATTAGTTTATTTTTATAACAAATTTGTATATTTTTAAAATTTGAAAAATAACAAAGGAAGTTGATTACCTGATCAAAATTAAATGGTGCATGTTTTCCAATTGGACTAGCACCACTTATTGTTGCCCTACGTTGAACTGGAATATGAGGTTTGGGTAAATATAACCTAACGGATGTAGGTGATGAACAATTTGCACTTTCAAGTTCACTTTCATCACCACTACTACTATTACTATGAGAACCAATTTCTGGAGAAATGGATCTGCCTCCTAAATGAATAACTGGTGGAGGACTAAGTAAGTGGTCATTAGAAAGTTGATTTTCTTGGATTTTAGGTGTCTTTTTCTTTTCTTGTCTGCAAATCAAACATATCCTTTTAAACATATTTTTATCCTTAATGATAGTAATAAGAATCTATTATTGAAACAAACTAATCATAATAGGAATAATAGAACCATACTTTGTATTAATGCATTCAAAATTACTAATTTTAATAACACATAAAAGTAATTAAAATGAACAAATATAGTAGTGTACTCAAGGGCGGGCTAAAGGGGTTATATTCTCCCATTGGCCAATTATAAATATTAACAGTATATGTGTTAAGATAGTAAAAGTGTATAATCAACAAAACAAAAAATCTCTACCCCTCTTGAAAAATTCTGCATAAGCTACTGAACTAATATGAACATTTACAAAAATTATAGAAAACTTACTTGTTTACAGGAAAACTAAAATTAGGGATTGTAAGAAGATCACTAGGGCGAGGTGGTGTAAGTTGATCAAAGTATCGTTGTGGATAATTGAAAAGTTTTTTACTCGGAAGACGATATGGCTTCATGTATATTTGACCAAATACTTTACTATGTCGAGGTCGTTTTTTCAAAGTTAAAAATATATCAGTAGATGCTTCTTCTAATAAGGCCATTACTTGTCTTGCTTGCCAACCAACCTGAATTTTATTAATAAATTATTATTTTTATAGCAAATTAAAGTTTTTTTCATTGTTTCCCACTATTTCTCAAGATGTTAACTAAAAGACTTTAGAAGAAATTTAATTATTTTAAACTATACTTGCCACAGTTTGATAATTAACTTGAACAATTTCATCACCAGCTTCAATTTTTCCACATTGATGAGCAACACTATTACATTTTACTTCACCTACCTGATGAACACCATGGAATGATGGTACAATATAAAACCCCTAAAAGTATAAGAAATAATTTCATTTATTTAAAAAAATAATAAAATATCATCAATAAATAAATAATATGAATATAATATTACCAATGATTCGCCAGATCTTTTTTTAAGAGTTGCAACATCCAATGTAGCAGGCTGTAAAATTAAAGAATCAAGACTTTCTTGAATAATATGGTCAGCTAGCTGTGCAAGCTGTTTAGCACTTTCAAAAATATTTTCAACAGGGTTTTCAGCAAAACGATCACGTTGACCACTAGTGACTATTTCAAGAGCTAATTTAAGTAAATTATTTTTCATACTTATATAATGAGGCTGTCCACAAAATGGAGGTCTTTAAAATAATGATAATAAAATTAATAAAAAAAAAAAAAAAAAAAAAAATTAACTATTTCAACATACCTATTCAACCAATTAACTAAAGGTTTTAATGTGGCAACTGTGCTAGCAACATCAGTTAAAATTAAAGTTGGAACTTGAGTAGAAGAATTTAAATGATTTTGCATAATTTCTTTGTACAAATTATGAGCACAGCATGATAATCGTAATGCCAAAAGTTGTACATTTTCCTTGTCCAATTCATAATGCTAGTGGAATACATATAACTACATATTAATTGATAAAAATTTGGCTATTACAAAACTAAATATCATACATTTTTTCAAATATTATATTTTATTCAATAATGTTGATAGAAAAAAAAAAGATTGACAAATATGTGTATGCGTTATTTTGAAAATGAAAATGTTGCTTAGTAAGTAAGTAGATAGCTAATATTATTACCTATATATTAATTAACTATATTAGATACAGCTATCAAATAATTAAAGATTTATTAAATCTCTAAATTCAATTAAAGATTTAGTATTATGAAATACTGGAAAGTAACTAAACAAAATTTTTATAACTCCGAGAACATTTAATTATTAACATAAGAATTTTAAATTTTGGTAAGTGATTAATTATAGTTAATTTGTGATGCATAGACAAATTAACTAAGTTATACAATTTAAATGCTAAGAAGTAAAAATTTTAAGTAATACTGAAGTAATTCACTTATTGTGTTCAGTAACTGGATAAATATGTCCTATTAGCCCTTCCCATTTTCAGTTTTCTCTTCCTTCCAGCGTACATGTGTCTGTAATTGAGTTACACAAATCATTTAAATCTCTCCGTAACAAAATCTCTCGGTCCTGGTGGCCTTCAGGGTGATTATTTATTTAAATTACAGGATGTAATTGTCTGGCCTCTCTCATTAATTTTTAATAAATCTCTTAGCACTGGAATGTTCCCCTCTGTTTTAAAACTTGGCTCTATTACTCCTATCTTTAAGTCTGGCGACCCTTCTCATATTTTAAATTATTGTCCTATTACCATACTTCCTCATCTCTCCAAGTTTTTTGAAACTGTTGTCTTAAATACTATTCGCCCTTCCTTAAACCACATACTCATACCTGAACAGCATGGTTTCCGTCCAAACCGCTCTTTCCTAACATGCAACCTAGTTTTAACCTCTTATATTTTTGAGTCATTTCTTCTTCATAGTCAGGTTGATGTGATCTACACCAATTTTGCTAAAGCTTTTGATCGTGTTAATTACTCCTTACTAATAAGCACCTTGAACCATCTAGGTATCGGTGAACATCTTTTTTTATTGCATCGTTCCTATCTACTGGATTGATCCCAATTCGTTTCAGTCCACGGTGCTTATTCCGATGTCTTTCCTCCTTCATCAGGTGTCCCCGAAGGTGCTGTTCTTTCTCTCCTCCTTTTTGCCTTATTTGCAAATTCTTCCACTTCAATTCTTCACCACGCCAAGCTACTAATTTTTGCCGATGATATGAAACTATATTATCGCATTAATTCATTGTCCAATTGTCTTATTCTCCAATCAGATCTTGAATGTTTAGTTATGTGGGGCGAGTCCCTAGGTCTTTCCCTTAACATTAACAAATGCTCCTCAATGACTTTTTCACGCCAAAGTGACCCTATTTATTTTTCTTATTCGATTCATGATATTCCTCTAAAATTTGCTGGAAATTCTGTTCGTGACCCTTACAGTTTTACCCTTACTCGAAACCTGTGCCCTAGAAAACACATAGAAGAAATTTCTTGCAAAGCATTGAAAATCCTATGGAATCCACCTTCTTCTGGTGCCAGTGATATGTTAGAACGTGTACAGCGTAAGTTCCTACGTTTCGTTTCTTCCAAATTCTCTATCCAACATCCTCCTCATAATTATGTTCCTATTCTTCATTTCCTCAACCTCTCTACGCTTGCTGATCGAAGACATTCTCTAAGCCTCTCATTTTTAACAGGTCTCCTCTCAGATACAATTGATTCCCCAAATTTATTATCCCTCATAAACCTTAAAGTTCCTTCTCGCTATACTCATTCAAATATTCCCTTCCTAATCCTCTATTCTTCCACAAACTATCTCCTCAATTCTCCTATAATCCATATGATGAGAAAAGCTAACACGGACCCCTCCTTTATAATGCCGTAGTTCAAGTTTGAGTTACTAGTTCGATATATTTTATAGTTACACTTATATTTATTTGTCACTTTCAAATTAAATGATCTTTGTGTGTTTACTTAAAACTTTCTGTAATTAAATATTCTTTTGTAAATACTTTTAGCTTCGATGCAAAGCTGAGAAGGTATTAATATTAATATGATGCGTTTTTTTTTTTTTTTTTTTTTTTGTCTGTTGCCACTTTTTCTCAGCTCTCACTGGACCGATTTCTTTTAACAATACGTCAAAAGATCACAAATTGTATCTAGTTGAAGACATTATCCTTAAAAATTTAAAAATTTTCCCTCGTTCCCCGCAAATGGGGGAAATATCCAAAAAAATTACAAATTTAAAAATCGACAAATTTTGTCATTTTTTTCACTTTTTTTTCTTAAAACTTCCATAACTTTTTCAAAAATCAACAAATCAACATAATTTTTTTTTAAACTAAAACCTTAGATATTTTCCTTTCATTTGATATAATTTTTTTGAAAATTTAACACTTAACCGCTCATTACAGGGGGATTTAAAATAGCAACTTTTTTACAAAAACTAACTTTTTCAACTTAATTTATGAAAATGTTCCGGAAATACTGCGTCCTTTAAACATATATCAAATTAAAGCTTTTTTTATGTACTATAAAATGAAAAAAAAAAATTTGTCCCGACACCTTATCTTCTATGTGCAAATGGCTGTCGAAATTATAAAAAAAATGTAATATTTGCGATAAAAATCACCTTTTATAACGATGTTTTTTGTACTTAAAACTGCCATAACTTTTTCAAATATTAACTAATCAAAATAATATTTCTTTATATTGAAACCTTAGGTAATTTTCTTTCATTTGATATCATTTTTTTTTGAAAATCTAACACTTATTCTGCTCATGGGGGGGATTTAAAATAGCAACTTTTTTACAAAAACTAACTTTTTCAACTTAATTTTTGAAAATGTTCCGGAAATACTGCGTCCTTTAAACATATATCAAATTAAAGCTTATTTTATGTACTATAAAATAAAAAAAAAAATTTGTCCCGACGACCTATCTTCTATGCGCAAATGGCTACCGTATTCAAAAATATGCTATTTTTCTATTAAAATTCTAGGTTTTGTATTTTATTTTATTTTAAAATATCTTATTAGGAGAATATATTGACTTTCATGAATATTATATAATTTAATTGACATAGAATAAAGTTCATAAGACATAAGAAATTAAACTTATTAAATTTTTTTTACTTTTTTATTTTCATACTAAATTTAATAATTATAATTAGTATTTATTCATATATTATATTTTAAAATCAAAGAACTACTAATTAGGATATAATCAAAGAAATAAGAGTTGATGTTGCTTTTGGAATAATCCACCAATTTCTCTAAATGAAACACTATCTACAGATTTGCATCGAAGCGTTTCTTATGATAGTGATTTTAATCACTGTCAGATATCATCTATACTTGTCCCATCTATGCCTTGTCTACACTGTGCCTCGACCCCACTGTGCTACCGTTTTTTTCAATTGTTATGTACTAAAAATTTACAAATATCGTATTGGGCAAGTCCCGTTTAATAAATAAATAAATATACTATCTCATACATTTTTTCATAATTTTTTTTAAATACATATAAATGATTGATGAGTATTTTCAGGGAAATAAAATGGATTTTTAATAAAAAAAAAAAGAGCCCTATATGATAAAAGTATAATTTGTTTATGATTGACACATTTTGTTAAGGTGATTTCCTTCCTCTAGGTCAAAATCTTCAGAACTCTCTAAATAGTTTTATAACATTATACATTTTTTTTTTAATTGTATAATAAAATGTTAAAACATAATATACAAGGTCATTCACTTATCAACACTATATTGTTAGCAAACAACATGCACCACGGCACCTCTCCTTATATTTCTCTAGTAATTTCATCCATCACTATAGAGAATAAATAAGGGCTTGAAAAGAACCCTGATGCACTCCTACTCTTACCCGAAAACCTTCTGTTACTCCTCCCACACTTTTTACCCTAGTACAAGTGCTATCATACATATCCTCTATTATATTATTTTTATACACCTTATATAATGATAATCTTTAGACCTTTCTTTCTTACTTTTACAAGTCTATAAATTTCTTTATGCCTTCCTTTGTTCCTAGCTTATCATACAACTGATCATACTTCTTTAACTTCGCCTTACTTACTGCACACTTGGCTTCTTTGCACAAGCGTTTATACTCCATCTAGTCTTCTCTCCTTTTGCTCTTTTTCCTTACTTTAAATTGCTTTTTCTTACTTTCTATGATTTTTTAAAAGTCCTCATCCCACCACCAGTTTTTCTTGTTTCCTGGCATTCTACTCCTACTCTCACCAACAATCTCCTTTGCAGTATTCTTTACAGAACTAGCAAATCTATTTCACACATCATTTATGTCTTCCTCAACATTCCACACCGTCCTCTCTTTTATTGTCTTTACAAACTCTTTTTCATTTTTCCCTTTCAATTTCCACAACCGGATCTTCGATTTTTCCCCGTGTTTCTTCTATTTTTGTTTATTCTCTTTCCGGTACACCGCAACTCCATTATTATCAGTCTATGTTCTATAGTTACACTCTCACATGGTATAACTTTACAATCTTTTACTCGCTTTACGCTCTCTCTCTTCCACATAAAATAATCGATGTGTGATCTATTTCTCCCACTCTTATAAGTTATATAATATTTTTCCCTTTTTCTAAAATAAGTATTAACCACAGCAAGATCATACGATACTGCTAAATCCAGGATTCTTTCTCCAGCTTCATTCTTCCACTAAAAGAATACCCTCCAAGTACTCTTTCATATCCTCTCCTCTCATTACCTACATGTCCATCCATATCTCCACATATCATCACATCCTCATTGCCAGGTACCCCTTGTATCACCTCATCCATCACTCACCAAAACACTTCCTTGTCTATTTCATTACATCCCACTTGTGGTGCATAGGCACTTATTACATTCAGCACTTTTTCTTCGAATATCAATTTTACGACCATAATTCTGTCACTTTTTCTAGCTACTTTACTTTTCATCTCCTCATCAATTATCATCTCTACACCATTCTTTGTACTAGACTTACCTGAGTATATTATTTTATAACCCTCACCTATTTCCCTCAATTTCTCTCCTTTCAAATTAGTTTCCTATCAGATAATATTCCAACATTCCAAGTACCTATTCTTACTTTGTATCTATCTTTCTCCCTTATACACGAGTTCAGCCTAGAGTTAAGTGGTGATGTCCCTACACCGTTGACACTACAAGTGTTGGGTAGACCTGTACACATGACTGGTGAAACAGCTACTGAACAAGTTGGCTGGTAACAAACACTTTATTCCTTAGGGCTTCTCCGTTTTTAACTACTTTATTCCCTCTCACCTGTTGTCCCCGCGTATATCCGAGATGGGACAATTCGCCTAAGTTTTGTTCAGGACATCTTATACTATTTGACAAAAATTTTTACATCAGCTGTTGACCTGACGCAACCTCATTAGTCTCCTCTTACGACTGGCAGAGGGGCCGTTGAAGTATTCTTATTCCCTATCCACAGGTATAAATATATTAAGCCGTACTCTTTCTCTCATCTATACATACATATAATTTAAGGGACAAAAATAAAAAAAACTTAAAAAATAAAAATTTTAGAGAAACAATGAACTAAAAGAAACAAATAAAAAAACTATTAATATTATTTTTATTTTTCTAATAATTGAGTGGATCATAGTGAGTGATTTATTCTGTATGTTTTTACAAATTTATACACTAATATAATGTAATTAAAATTAAAATGTAGAATATATAAAAAATTATACCAACTACCTAGAAGTCAAGACAAGTTGGTAGAATGTTATACTAAGTTAAATACTCAAAGTTGGAAAGCATTAACTAGCTTCAAATAATATTAAAAGTAATACAAAATTTTATACTCACAAAGTTTCTCAATAAATCAACTGCTTCTAATATTAATTCTTGGTGTCCTATTTTACACACACCAATTTTATCTAAGTCATTTGGTTGCATATCTAAAAGTTTTTGACCATTCACATCAGTATCAATGAAATACTTAATGTATGGTAAAATTACACTGTCTAATCCTAGATAGATAATTCAAATATTATAATTTGAATTTATTAGGAATTTACACAAATCTCTCAACAAACCTTTAAGCCAATCAGCTACTTGATCAGACTTCCAATCAGCTACATTTACATAAGCCATTGTACAATAATTATACTTTTATCCAAAATTAATATGAAATTAAATTTAGGGTACTCGTATCACTATGTATATAAATGTATAAATATTTTTTTACTAGATCGACATAATTTAAATCATCAAAGTTATTACTTTAATACGTAATAATAAAAACATATAAAATTATTCTTTAAATATAACATTAATAATAGTTGCAATATTACATAGGTTAAAAAGAATTTACTTTATTTACATATAATAATTGAACTAAATTTACAAGTAATAATTAATGAAAAACTTTGCAACAACAAACAAATAATATCTTCAGATAACACTCAGATATGCTACTTATGATATGAATATATATATATATATATAATTGGGAGGTTCAAACTCATTATCACAACAAACAGCTGCACACTTATCGTCCTACATATTATTGGAGTCTGTGATCTAAACAAACTGACAATAATGTAAATTAAATTAAATTTTATATACATGGATAAGATATCATAAAATTTAAATGATCTTTTTCTGATCATAACTTTTTTTTGTTATAATAGCAACATGAAAATGAAAAAAAAGTCTTTAAAAAAATTAATTTTGACAAAAAAATTGTTCATTTTTTACCTTTTTAGCTTCGAAGCAAAGCTAAAAAGGTATTAATTTTGATATGTTTACTTTTATTTTTTGTGTCTGTCATTACTTTTACTCAGCTTTCATCTGACCAATATTTCTCAACGATACATTAAAAATCATATCTAGTTAAAGAAATAACCCTCAAAAATTAAAAATTATTCCCTCATTCACCGTAGATAGTGAAATCCACAAAAAAATAAAAATTTTTAAATCGGTAAATCTCAACTTGTTTCTTAAAACAGTCATAAATTTTTAAATAATAAACAAACCAAAATAATTTTTTATTTAAATAAATACATTAGGTATTTCCTTTACATTTGATATAAATTTTAAAAAATCTGACTATCTGTCCACAGTGAGGATTCTAAATTACAACTTTTTAACAAAAAATTAACAATTTCCACTTAACTTTTGAACATATTACAGAAATACCCATAAAAATTACGATTTAATCTATAAATAACTACATTTTTTTAAAAACTCTTTTACTTAAATATATCATAGTTTTTTTGAAATGAATTAATCAATATAAATTTTTTTTCTTATAAATAATTAAGTTATTTCCTTTCCTTTGGTATATTCTTTTTTTAAATTTGACTCTTTACCAACCTACAGGGTGATTCAAAATAGAAACTTGTGCGAAAGTTAACATTTTGACTTAACATTTGAAAATGTTCCAGAAATACTGCGTCCTTTAAACATATGTTAAATTATAGCTTGTGTAAAATACTACAAGTTAAAAAAACTTGTCCTGATGATTTATCTTTTATATGTAAATGGCCACCGAATTTAAACAAATAATGTTGTTTAAGAAATATAATCACCATTTTTCAGGTTGTTATAATTTTCTACATATTTTTTTCAATTATTCATGTCTATATTTTATGGCAAACAAAATAGTCAAATAGAAGGAAGAGTAAGTACCTCCATAAAACCCCTTATTTTACAAAAAAAATATAATAATAAAAGTGATTTGAGAGTTAGTTATAAATATTAAAAGATGGGATCTTTGCAACTTTTGATACTTAATGTCAATTCTTTAAGTATATTAGAGGGAGAGAACTGACCTTTTCAAGAAAATATTTTAGCTTCCAATGGCTTATGATAAAATACAATTTCAATTTTATAACTAAAATAATCATGAAGGTTAGGATAATCGAATTAAAAAGTTTATTTTCTTTTTGTTTTTTTTTTCTAATTCTATTACTTAAAACTGCGATAATTTTTTGAAAAACTTATTAGTAAATTAGGCAAATTAGTACAAATTTTTTCATACGACATACTTTTTTTTAAATCTGACCCTTTTTTCTTATAACAGAGAGGTTTAAAACTCGAAACATTCGTATAAAAAATGGTACTTATTTAACTTAACTTTTGAACATATTACAGTATTCTTGCATGCTTTAATAATTTATTAAATATTAGGTAGACAATTATTAATGCCTTTACTTTAGGTTATTTAGTGTAGTCATATAAATGAGGAAGCCATGTGACCCCTCTTTTACAAAAAATAAGATTTTAGTGTTAATTTATACAACTTTTAATGTGTATACAATAAGTATGTTTAGAGTAAGGGGCTTTCCTTTTCAAATAAAATATACTATTTGATAGATACAATATTTTATTTGAAAAGTGCTTATGAAAAATACAATTTTAATTTTATAATTGAAATTATAATTAACTAACAAGAGTCAGAATAATCAAACTTTCTTTTCTTTTTGTTTTTAATAAATTCATATTTACAATTTTGATGAACGTTTGCCATAGAGTTGACAAAATATACAACTACATTATAATTTTTTATAATTTCTCCGTAAAAATTACAATACTAAACTTCTATTATGTAAATAGTAAATCATAAAAGGTGTAATTAGATTATATTAAGGAAATAGAAGTTGATATCACTTTTGAAATAAACCAACAAATCCTTCTAATAATTAAACACTATCTACAAATTTGAATCAAACATTTTTTTATGGTAGTGATTCTATAATTGTAGTTCTTAGAAAAAAAATTCCCGATGATTGTTCTACTATGACAAATCGATTGTCAAAGTAAAAAAAAATTACAATTAATTTTTCAATTAAGCAAATAATTTAATGTATAAAATTTTAAAATATAGAAATTAAAAAATTACAAACAGATTATTGTGAAATTTGATTGGCATCGAGCGTTTTTCATGAAAGTGATGTTAATTACTGTAATATATCATTTATAATTTTCTAAACTAAGCTGTCACCATTATTCCGTGATCCTTCTGTGCTGGGTTTTTTATAATATATAGAAATACAAGATTTTTTAAACAATTTTGGAGTAAGACTACAGAAATTTTTAATAAGGCTGACCTCTTCCTTTTCGGTTTAAGCCTATGATCATCGAACATTATTTTTAAAGTAAATATTTATTTAAAAAATAAACAGATATATTCATGTATATAGAATATTCACAGATTCTGTAAATATTCTAAATAATACAACATTCCATGAAAGCTTAACACATTCATTTTAAGTAAAAAATTGCTTTAAAATTCAAAATTGACCAAGGTAGATATACTTTTTTTATAAATAGGTTTGACAAATAACCGTTATCATTTACCAGCATGTCAGTGATAATATAGTCTTTATCACAATTCGTGGTTGAAGACGTTGCAAATTGGAAATTTGGTGGTATGTACTGGTGTATTAAATTTATGAGAAGCAGTTGTATTTTTTATCTATCATTTCTATTTTTATAAGACTTTGTTTGTAATCTATATGCATTAAAAAATATATTATAACATTTTATAGTTTATGTACAAAGCATGACTATGTCTTTAACTGAAAAAAAAAATTTGATTGTTCGCAATCTTCAAGAAGTACTAGGAGATGAGAAAATCGATGCAATTCTTAAAGAAAGAGATCTTAAAATATATTGGGGTACTGCTACAACAGGAAGACCACATATTGCATATTTTGTTCCTATATCCAAAATTGCAGATTATTTGAAAGCTGGATGTGAAGTATGTTTGTATAAAAGTTCAATATAAAAACTTTATATATTTTTTATAAAATTAATTTTTTTAGGTTAAAATTTTATTTGCTGACTTGCATGCATATTTGGATAACATGAAAGCTCCATGGGAACTTCTAGAACTCAGGGTGCAATATTATGAACACTCAATTAAAGCTATGTTAACTTCAATAGGTGTTCCTTTAGATAAGTTAAAATTTGTGCGTGGTACAGAATATCAGCTTTCCAAGTAATAATAAATGATAAATTATGGTATCTTTTTTTAATAATAAAAAAAGAAAGAAATTATTAACATAAATACTTTAATAGAGAATATACAATGGATGTATATCGTTTAAGTTCTTGTATTACTGAACATGACGCTAAAAAAGCTGGTGCTGAAGTTGTAAAACAAGTAGAAAATCCACTGTTGTCAGGATTGCTGTATCCAGGTATTTTTTATTATTATGTCTAAACTACATCCAAATTATTATTATAAATAATAAAAAAATTTTATTCTTAAAATCATGAGTAAAAGTTTAATGATAATGTCAATTTTTCATTTATGAATCATTCTTTATCCATAGAGGTTAGTAATTCAAATGTGAGTTTTATAAACTCTTTCATTTTTCTTATATTCTTTATAATTTTTATTTTATAGGGTTGCAAGCTTTAGATGAGGAATACCTGAAAGTCGATGCACAATTTGGCGGAGTTGATCAACGTAAAATATTTACTTTGTCAGAAAAATACTTACCTCAAATGGGATATACTAAAAGAATACATCTTATGAATCCGATGGGTAAGCTAATATAAAGTAATTTATTGCAATAGTCCTACATTCTTTAAAGAGAAAAAATTGATTTTCCGGACTATTTAAAAATAAGTTTCTTTATTCCAATATTTAGTTTATCAAAAATTGAAACATGGTAGTTTAGTGATTAAAAAGGCAGACAAGAACTACCCATGCACCTAGATCTATTGGTCTATTGCTGTGCACCTTATACTGAAATATAATAATTTACTCTTTTAATCTAAGTATTAACCCACTGAAATATTGTTATCACTGTTTAGTATACCTAAAACTATTTATATAGAACGTTGTGTAAGGCCATCCTCTTTATGTTTAAGCAGTCCTTAAAATTATCTCTCTGGTGAAATTAAGTGTGTCTTTGGGTTTTAGGTTTTATTTTTCAGGAAAAAAATTTCCAAGTGCTTAGATTTTAAATATATGATATATCACAGTTCAGATTAAAAATATAAAACTAATAACTTTGATTATATTGCTTTAGATACTGCTTAATCTTAGATTAATGACCACTTAAATGTTTAGTCACAAGCTTATAGTATACTATAAATTTAACTTGATATTGAAAAATTAAAAAAAAAATAGTCAAACTAAACTATGTGTTTCTAAATTATTAAAATGTATATTAAATAATTGACCAAAAAATTATTTTAAATAAATCATCTCTACTCTAAGCCTTTTTTTGGCAATATCTAGTTGGAAAAATATTATGATGTTAGATTCTATTCATTCACTCTTTATCCTTTCCTTAAAATGATCATAAAGATGAAAGTTAGTAAAAATGTGGACACAACATTAGTTATATATGGAACGTAATAAAATTATCATGAGTATCAGGTCACAGGTAACTGTATTCAAACAGTGCGCGTCGTACATCCGTAGGTTCAGTGTTGCACATACACACATAATTATTTATTAAATTGATATATATTTCCTACCACCTTTGATTCTCATCCTAAAAAACCATAATAATGAACACACTGTCAAGTACCCTCTCCCATGTGTGATCAAGCCGGCATAAGAAAAAATCATGGTTATGTTCAAAAAAGAATTTCTCATCATCATCATCAACACATCTATACCTTTTGACCTAACATCATCATCTTTGTCAAATTTTTCTGTCTGTTGCCGTCCAGTTCAAGGATGGAGTAGAATTTTGTCATTTTGGCTTGGCCATCATTATGGCACTGTATAATGATCACACGATTTGGACATCTCAACAATAATATGGTATATCTTCCTTTGGATTTTTTTTTCTCTTTGCACAATGTGCTCATGTAAAATTATTTATGTTATCTTTTATTTGGTTAACTGACCACACGGTATGTTTTTTTTTCTTCTTTATTAGTTACTGACTATATAAATTTTAATTATGGTCAAGTCTTTCCCGTTTCTTTGATTATTCTTTCGTGACCTGACAGGTCCTCGGGTGTGGTCAGGGTGGACATGGTGAACATCTCAATGGGTCCCCTACATTTATGTAGGGAATACCCATTGACGTTGGTGACATGTCCATTTTACCCTGACCCATGCGTTGGATCTGTCATGCCCAGGTTACCCTACTATTTTATTCTGTTTTTCTTTTATCTTGTTAGTACATTTTTAAATAAATTATTTAACATTATGCCTAAAGTTATTTATCCAGAATTTGGTATCTCAGCAAATTTGTCTGATAATGAACACTTAAATAGTGTCTAGGTGAGCACTACATATGAATCATGTATCGTTACATTACATAGAAAATCCAGAGGCCGTTCTGATGCCTGAATGTCTGTAGACATTTAATTTTAGATTAGTGCAATGAAACACAATTTACTGTTTTACAGTTATATGTGGCAAATGCTAAAGTTTAAGTAAAATAAATAATTTATGGGGCAAAAATATTATTAACTGAATCATTTTGGAATATACTTGTGGCATATTTATTATTTTATACATCCTATTAATCCTATAGTTCCTTGGGAATCATTGACCTTAAGTTAATTGTTCATAGTGTTTTCTTTTTTTACATTATGTGTTTAACATAAAATTTGGTATTTAATATATATATATAGATTTTTCTTTCTATTATTTTGTGATTATATATATAGATATTCTTTAGTAGCATGTTTTAATTTTTCAAGAAATTGTATTTTGTTATGATAATTACAAAATTAAATCATAATATTTAATAAAATCTAATCATTGTTATCTTAAATTATTACTAGTCTTCATAACCTTTCCCCATAGGATAAGGTACAAAATCCCTGGTGCTCCGGCTTTGCCTCGGCCCAGGGTGGACCAACTCATTGGGTTCTTGTAAAGTGAGGCTGATTTATATTAGTTTGGCTTACAATATGCTTAAATATCTAATAATTATAGTTAAATTATTTTTGTATAAAGTAAGTCACTTAATTATATTTATTTTTTTTTAATTCCTAATTTGCTTTTTTAAACCATATTTGTCATTTTTGACAAAAAAAAATTAGAAAACTCATTTGCAATTTTGTAAAAATATTTTTGAAGAAGGAGAATGTAGATGTAGTACTCTCAATATTTTTTTGTGACTCAATACTTATAAAGATGTCTAACTTTAAAAAAAAAAAATTTAGTTCCTGGTTTAGCTGGTGGTAAAATGTCATCATCAGAAGAAGATAGTAAAATAGATCTTCTTGATACTCCAGCAACTGTAAAAAAAAAGCTAAAAAAAGCCTTTTGTGAACCAGGAAATGTGGCTGATAATGGACTTTTAGCATTTGCTAAACATGTGATATTTGGTCTTTTCAAACCTGATGAAAGTAAAATAATATTAATTAATTTTAACAATAGAATTATATTTTTTATGAATAACATTTTTTAAAGAATTTAAAGTATCAAGAAACGAATCTAATGGTGGTGATTTGAATTTTGGAACCTATGAAGAACTTGAATTGTGTTTTGCTGAACAAAAGTTGCATCCAGCTGATTTAAAATCTTCTATTGAATTTTACATTAACAGATTACTTGATCCAATCCGAAAAATATTTGAAAAACCAGAACTTCAGCAACTTGTTACAAAAGCTTATCCACCTCCTGTAAAAGCTACAAAAGTTTGTAAGTAAAATCTGATTTGAAATTATACTAAAGGGTAAAAAATAAAAAAGATGTTCCAAACTATTAGTTTAATTAATTAATCAATTTTTTAGCTCAAAAAAATGGGATCAATCAAGAAACTGATGAGGTGTTACCCTCTCGATTAGATATACGTGTTGGTAAAATAATTGAAATATCTTTACATCCAGATGCTGATTCATTGTACGTTGAAAAAATTGATATAGGTAAAAATATTTGAATTAAATATTTGTTGGTATCATGATTATTTAATTAGTTTAAAATTTATTTTGAGAGTAACTAATTTTAAAATTAGAGCTCTGTGGTTTACATATTGATTAGATAATTATTCAGCATCAAATTTATTTATTCTATACATAAAATATATTGCAAATCCTAATAATATTTGAGCTAAATAGTTTTTAATTTTATGATAAATATTATATTTAATTACTTTTTACTCAAAATCTTTGTACACCCTTGTTATTTAATAAAATTGTGTTAAAAATTGTTATTATTTTTATTTAACATAAACAACCTATATAATTTTTTGTACAGTAAGCTTATAAGATTAACATTTAAATATTAGTTATTTATTTCTTATAAATATTTTTTTTTAACTTCGATGTGAAGCTGAGAAGGTATTAATTTACCATGATGTATTTCTTTCCATGCGAAGCTGAGAGGTATTAGTTTTACTATGATGTGTTTTTTTTTTTTTATGTCTGTTACCACTTTTTCTTAGCACTCACCGAACCGATTTCTTTCAATGATACGTCAAAAGATCACAAATTGTATCTAGTCGAAGACATTACCCTCAAAAATTGAAAAAATTCCCTCGTTCCCCGTAAATGGGGGAAACCTCCAAAAAAATTACAAATTTAATTTGAATTTGAATTTGAAAAAAGATATGACCTCTGGATTGTCTTCATAGTGAAAATGCAATAGTATTTAAAAATATGCTACTTTTGTGTTAAAATTCTGGGTTTCGTGTTTTATTTTATTTTAAAATACCTGACAAAAGGAGCACATTGATTTTCATAAATATTATATAAATCAAATTGATATAGCATACAAAGTTAAACTTATTTAAAATTTTTTGTTTTTTTTAAGTCTATAAAAATAACTTTGAAATTTGAACTAGCTTAAATTGCCATTTCTCTCAGTCAATGTAAGCGACATACAGTTTCTAAGTCGGTAACACTTGTGTCTTACGCGCTTGGGGTACAAAGTTCCAACTTGTGTATGGTGAGGAATTTTTTGCAATTTTTTCTAAATTCTTTTTAAGTTAAAATAAATTTTCAACTCCTTTGATTTTGATTTCATTTAGATTCAATAAGTTCAATAAAGATCAAGAATCCCTTCACTGTAGTCGCTCCTCACGAGAAGAAATTTCTTATTCATATTAAAATTATTTTACTATATTTTAGGTTTCAGTTTCAATGCAAAGCTGAGAAAGTATTTTTTTGTGACTATTATTTATTTTCTCTGCTCTAACTTGACCTACTTTTATCAACAATACGTCAAATTATTATAATTCGTATCTAGTTGTAGATATTACCCTCAAAAATTACAAAAAAATTCTAATTTATCAATTAAACAGTTACTTATCCCATGTTCTCCATACAGACAATTAAAATCATTAATTTCTAATGTTTTAAAAGTATTTATTGAGAAATCAAGTTCGATATCATAGGTTTAAATTACAAAATTAAATCATTTTACTTTGTAATTTAATAATTTTTTTACTCTATTTGTGTATACTATTACTAGACTATAATATTCCAAATTTTATGGTAACATGTTGCTATATAAATCATTTTTAAAAAAAAGTGATTGTTGGTTTTTCCTGAATTAATGGATTTTTAGATCTTTTTAACAACTTTTTTATAGTTTTATTGGTTAAAGTAAATCATTAAAATTAATTCAGTTCTGAATATTTCCATTATAGAACCTTATTAAACACCAAAAGTTACTAGGAAATGATTACTATTATTTTTATTTGAGTTAATTATTACGATTGAAATGCAAAAAAATATTGAGTTTTTCTGATAAATTTATTATAAATAGTAATTATAAAATTTCCTGACTGCATATTAATCTTAACGATACAATTTTTTAATTCTCATAAAATTTCCTATTTAATTATGTCAATTTTAAACTTGCAAATTAAGCTAAAAGCTATAATAATAAATTAATATTTTTTAATTATAAATTTTCACAAAAATCAATTTCAAAGGATTAAAAAAATTGGTTAAATATGTCATATTCCTAATTTTTAACATATTAATAATCAAAATCAGTATTAATTTAAAACAATTTTTTTTTGTTTTTAATTATTTGTTTTTGTATGTAAATATTTATTTATAATAATATTATTATAGTTATAATATTAAAACTTAGAGGTGATAGAAAAAGTCTAATTACACATTTGAAAACATCGCGAAAAGTTGATTTAGAAAAGTATATTTTTGTTTCTGATGAAAGTTCCTTATAGTCCAGTGTATAAAACTTATAACTTTGTTATAAGTAACGAAAATTTTTTATTGAAAAGTATTGCATTAAGCCCTTTAAATTTTTATACGCGTTAATAATAAAGAAATATACAACTACTTTATTATTTTTATAATATTTCTGTAAAAATTACAATATTAAAAATTTGAATATCAATTTTATATTAAATTTAATTACTATAATTGTTATTTATTCATATATTATAATAACAAATCAAATAACTAATCGGGATAAATTTAAGAGAATAAGAATTATTGTTGCTTTTTAAATAATCCACCAATTTCTTAAAATTAAACAGTATCTACAGATTTGCATCGAAGCGTTTCTTATGATAGTGGTTTTAATCACTGTCAAATATCATCTATACTTGTCCCAACTATGTCACTTCCATACTGTGCCACAATCCCACTGTGCTTCCGTTTTTTAACTATTGTTTATGCAACTTTTGTAACAAACAAAAATTTGAAACCAAAGTGCGTATTTATTTTTTTTTTTTTAATAATTAATAAATATACAGATTGACTCATTAAGGATAATATATTCATTTTCTTGAAAACAATTTATCATTTTTCATTTTCTTTAAGGAAAATATTGTTTGATTGAAATAACTCTATAATAATATAATATGTATATTAATAATTTTTTTGTGTTACTATTTTTTTTTTCAACAAGTCACGATACCATTTGCTTTTAGATTTCGGTATGATTTTCTGGGAATATGGAAATAGATGGGTCCTTTATTAAGGAGTTAGAATGTTTTTGAAGTTTTTCAGAGAAATTTGAGTAACAAGTGTGTGCTTATTTCCTAAATGTTTTATAGGGTTCTTCAACCTTTATTTTTGTATGAAGGGATAGTAGGAAAATGTCATTATAAGTATAGACCATAAGTTCTAGATTGACAAATAATACTAGTATAGGTCATTTACTGGATTTTTTAAGAATATTTGTGACTTGTTTAACTTCATAATGACGCACTTCAAGTTCAGTAATGTTGCTGTGTGTAAGTTGCGAATGATGATACGTAAGGGTTTATCTTCTTTTAGATGATAGGTTCTGTGTTATCGTCTTTTAGTTAATGAATTAGAGAACTGTATGATTCAGAGTTGTACTGTATTTTCATTTGATCAGTGTAAGATTTGCAAAAAAAATTAACAATGTCAATTAATTCAATGAAGGCTGAGCATAAACAAGGTAAGTCAGTAACACCTTCACAAAGATCCGTGGAATTGGTTTAATTGGATTGTATGTATTGTTTGCTTCAGGTATTAAGTTATGTGTAGACGATTTATTTTCGTTTGGTTTGGTTTACCCTAATACTTCAAAACAATTGGAAAATGAAAATAATTTGTAATATTTTAATTTTGTGTGTTAGTAGGTAAACGAGATTCAGATGAGTTTGAGTGGTTTTTGTTTTTTTTTTACCTTCCAGGCAGATTGTTAGTCAGATCTGCTTTATGATTGAATTATTGTCATAGCTAATTTATTTAGCATTATAATACCTTTTGGTCATTAATATAAGATGTTTATTATCCGATAACTATATATAAGTATCAGATGATGGTTAAAATTATAATAAATATTGAAATTACTTTGCCCTCTTGAGGTGTTTTGAATTTATTACAGGAAAATTTTGTAACACCAATCGAGATGGTTACGATGCAAATTTCGTCCTCAGAGATTGTCCTGTAGTATATGAGTAATAAAAAAAGTTAAGCTTGTATGAATAATGTGTTTATATCACTAGTATGCGCGAGTGAATGTTATAAATTCACAAAATTAATAATAAATTCAACAAAACACTTTTATACATTTTTAAAAATCCTCTTAAGTGTATTAAAACTTAATTAATTTAAGATTTATATCCAAACGTATTAAATAATAAATATTAATGTTTTTGATATAATAAAATGTCAAGTAAATTTGTAGGTTTATACTTTATAGGTTATGGTAAGAATTGTAGTTAATAAATATCATCAAAAATGGAAGTAAAATATGTTATATATGTGTATTGTTAAGTCTATTTTACATTTATATGTACCAAGGTTATTAAATTTTATAAAAAAAAATGACTTATCTAGGTGAACAAGAACCACGTACTATAGTTAGTGGTTTAGTCAAGTTTGTTTCAATTGAAGAAATGAAAAATAGAAACGTTGTTGTATTGTGTAATTTAAAACCAGCAAAAATGAGAGGTGTGGAATCTTGTGGAATGGTTCTTTGTGCTACTAAGTATATTTTCTGTAGTATTCCTTAAATTATTGACATTTATTTTTATTTTTAATAAATTAAAAAAAATATAATTTAACTGTTATGTTAAGCGAGCTAGATGGAGTAAAATTTGTTGAACCCTTGGAACCATCAGAAGATAGTAAACCGGGTGATAGAGTAATAATTGAAAGTTATGAACAGGGTGAACCTGATAAGATATTAAACCCTAAAAAGAAAATTTGGGAAAAATTACAGGTGATATAAAAAACATCAGTTGTGAAAAATTTTTATTTTAAACTAAAAACCAAAACAATTTTTTTTATGTGCGTGTATTTAAACATTAGGTTTTTAATGATAAATAATTTTTAGGTTGATTTAAAAATGTCTGACAATTGTGAAGCACAATGGCAGTCAAATTACTTAATTACAAAGTATGGTAAAATAAAATGTAAATCATTAAAAGGAGCACATATTTCTTGATGTATTAATTTTTGTAAATTTAAAATTATTTTATTTCCAATATAAAATTTAACAAAAAAAATTACATTATTTGTCAATAGTATTTTATTTATTTAATTAAAAGTAATTAACAATTATTTGTATATACTAAATATATTACTTTTTTTTAATTTAATTTATTATTGAATGAGTTTTAACACTCTGGATATTAGATGTATCAGAATAATTGTCTTCTTCATCAGATAAGTCATTCAGTTCAGTGTCATTATTTAATTTTGTTTGTTCAAAACATTTTTCCGATAGATTTGTTTTAGCTTTTATATTTTTAAATATTTTTTCCAGTTCAAATTTATTTGATAATAAATCAGTTGCTTCTTGATTATATTCATTAAATTGATAGTCAATATTTTTTTCAATGTTTTCTTTACATTGTTCTTCTAACTGACATAATGTATTTGATGGAGATATATTATCTATTTTTTTAAATTTACTATTGGATTTTTTTATGATCCTGAAAAATAGCAAGTGCAAAATTAAATTTAAGTATAAAAAAAAATATTTTAAATATTTTTTTTTTTTTTTATGGAAACAAAAACTTTTTAGGTTTTGCGTTGTTTATTTATAAATACGAAATTCAATTAACCTTCTTCATCTATTTTTTAAATCATCAATAATCTGTATATTAATGTTGGATATTAATAAATATTACTTAAGATAATTTGTATAAGAAATTTAAGCTTGAAACATATTAACATTATTAATATTAAACATAATTATTTTTCTAAATAGACAATTTTTATGAATGCACATCATAGTTAAAACATTACTATGATGTCCGTTTTATTTTATGTCTGTTAAAAATTTTTTTAAGCTCATTGGACTTATTTTGTTGATATATGCATCAAAAGATCTCAATAAAACAAATAAATATATAATAATATAAGTAAGGAATTCAAACAAAAAAAAATTACCATTTACATACCTAAAATGCATATAGGAAAAATAATTTTTTTTACAAAACAAACTTTAAAAGCTTTTATTTGAAATAAAAATACAAAATGAAATATTTTTTAAGAAAAAAAATCTATTATATTTTTTGATTTGATATAAAGCTGAGAAGATAATGAATTTACCATGACGTGCATTTTTTTGTCTATCCATAAAAAATTTTAGTTTGCGCTGGGACAGTTTTATATGATCTCTATGTTAAAAGAATTGAATTTGATCTAGTTGAAGTATCACCTTCAAAGATTGTAAGATTCTTCTCAATTTTAAAAATTTTGATTTTTAAAATAAAAAAAAATATTTGATATATATTTTTTTTAATTACTTTATTTTCAACTACTAAAATAATTTAACAAGTATTTAATATTTTAGTAAAATTTTAAAATATACAAATTATTGTAAAATTTAACAGATTTGTATACAAGCATTTTTTATATTAATTATGTTAACCATTGTCAGTATATATTATATATAGTAGACAGACCTCACTGAGATAGAATTTTTTTTATTTATAGTGTTTTTATTTGCTATTACTCAAATAAAATTTTAATTAATTTATAAATCAATCTATTTAAATGAAAAAACTTTAAATTATTATATATAATGTTAAAATTGTAAATACTCATTATCAAACACAAATTGAACTGGTTCACTATTTGTTTCAAACCGTTCTTGGCTTGTTAAATCTTGATACAATTTGATTTTTTTAGTCTTTGATTTATTTTCTTTAGGTAAAATTATCAAGTCATCTTCTTTTGGTTCTTTGAAGTTATTTTTTTTTGTGTATTCATTTGTCTATGGTCAATTAAATAAAAAATATAACACATGATATCAAATTTTAAAGTATTAAATTACTTTTGATAAAATCATAAGTCTTTTAGTGAACTCTTTGATGGCAATTTCTTTATTATTAGTTGACTTTTCCATCACCAATAGTTTACATTTGAGATCCGAAATAGTGTCTAAATAGTCCCTTTCACGTTTATTAAACTTTTCTAATGAATTGCAATTATCTTTTAATTTCCTATGAATAATACAAACATTTCAATCTATAGTAAAATTTTATTTAAGCTATTTTTTTTTTATTGCTTTTATTAGTCTATTAAGGATCATAGCAACCTCCCCTAGGAGGAGGTTTTCTTAACCATTTATACTCCAGGAGGGGTGGTTAATCCGTCGTCGGAGAGTAAGATGGCAACTCCAATTACCGAACTGATCTCTCGTTCGGAAAATGAAGCTGTCTGTGACCGAGTTTTGAACCTGAGGCAGTGCGCATTACTGACTCGGCCACACCGTCCCACAAGCTTGTTTAAGCTATACAACCAAAATAATTCCTTAGAAACGTAATTTTAGTAAATTTATTTTGCATTATTTGATAACACATTCCAAATTAGATTATGATGCCATAATATGTATGTTCAGACAGTATATATGTAGGTAATAATATAACTTTTCGTAATCTGGCATTTTTGATAGACCATAATTACTGCGCTACCATATCACCTAGTACTATACAGTGCTTTTTTAATTCTCTTACATATTAATAATCTTAAAAATATGTTATTAACTTGTTGCCAATAATTTAGTTAAACAGGTTTTTCCCAAAAAATATTTATATAAGCAATTTTTTATAAATTGAAAAATTATTTAATTATTGAATTTTATTATGTGTAGTTGATAATACCTAATTAATTCATCTCTTTCAGAAGTGACAGTTAGAAGCTTTTCTTCTGCTGATTTCCATTGTTTTGTTAGTAAGGTATTATTATTTTCAAGATCAGATATTTTGTTAACAAGTGTTAAATAAGTTTTATCCTGTGAACATTCCAAAATAACTTAGTAAAATATCATACTTAATTTAAACTTAAATATATATTACAAATTTATTTTAAATAAAATAAACGAGCTGCCTAAAAATTATAATTCTATGAGCATTTCACATTATTAGTTATTGTATGTATAATTTAATTAAAAGATCACAATTTTAAATTTTTTAATTAAAAATTAAATAATTAGTTTTAAATTATATATAAAGAACTTTTATTACTCATTTTAAAATTATGTCATACTGAAGATAATGCGGATAATTTAATAAAGGTGCAGTGTCAGATGTATTTTGTAATCAAATTAAGACTAGATCATGGGCTGCTACATTAGCTGAATAAGATTAATTTAGTAGATGGAGATATTATTCCTCTCACTAAAATCAATTTTACAATCTATCTCAAAAGATAAAAAGGTAAAGAATGTTTTATAATGCATAGCTCTTTTTTCTATAGAAATTACAAATAAAATTATCTCTATAAAGATGTATAATATTAATTCATAGTCAAAAACTATGTAAATTTTAGTTTTATTTTTAAATAACATCGATAGACATTATTGAAAAGTCACCCTGAAGTTTATAATAATATTATAACCTAATATTAAAGAAAATATTTTTATTATAACAATTACTTATGATAAAATTTTTTTACTTTTAGTTTACTAACTTTGTTTTTATCATTTAAGTTCTCTAGAAAATGTTCACCTTTGGTTGGAATAGCTGAAAAATCATTTATTTTAATAAAATTTTGGTTAGTTAATTCTGAATATTCATCTACAATTCTTTCCACTACAATTTGCATATCATGAACAATATTTGTAAGATCTGGATCTAAAAATATGTATATTTAATATACATTTTACATAAATAAGTACAATCAAATACTTTGAACTTTAGGTAAATGACTGATTTCTCTTAATAAAAATTGAAGTGTTCGTACTGGATTGAAAATAGAAAGTGAAGTAGAACTTTGACATATTTTTGAAGTTGGTAATATACATTGAACACCTTAATTTTGTTTAAAAAATTATAATTAAAAAATAAATTTATAGATAATGTATTAAAAAAACCTACTTTTTGAACAATTTTGAGTTGATGAACTTTTATTTTGCTTTTTGCTCTCCAAATTCTTAGTGCTTTTGCAAACTGATTTTTTTTGTAATAAATTACTCCATGTATTTTTTTTCTGTTCAGAATAATTCTTAGGCTTGGATAAAGTACTCATTAAATTTTGCTGCCTATTTAACTTGGACTCCATATTATTCAATTATTTCAACAAATTATTTATACATTAATTAATTTGTATAATTAAACTGAATGTGTTCTATCAAATTAATTTAAGTAATAATTAAGTTTATAAAGAAAATTATTAATTTGCTAAATCAAAGTAAAATGAAGTCATTAAAGATAAAAATTGGTTTCATTAGAAAACTAATCACTACAATATAAAATGAAAATATTATGACAGAGGTAAGTTTCAATCATCAATTTCACTATATAAAAGTAAAAATATTAAATAATTTGTTAATTTCATTTAAGAGAAAATATGATTTAAAAAATATATTAATATATTATAATTATGTTTTGATAAGTTCTAATTCGAAATTCGTTCACATTGAATTTTTAACGTCTAACAAGATAAAACATTGTAATAATAATAATTTAATTACCACGACGTTATATCTTATCATTTACGTGTGTTATCATTGTTATGTTAGATGATTACTACGAGTTTGTTTATATAGATTTATAACCGTAGCATAGATTAAATACACATAGATAGGCCACGGCATTCAGACAATTGGCAACCGATTTTTTGTTAATTTATACCCGTAGAGATAGCGCTATATATCCTCTTGGAAATATTAAATATTTAATAATAACTGTCCAGTTTGCTGATATTCAAATAATAGACACGATTATTGATGTACGACTAACATCGTTAGCGCAAATTAAGATAAGAATTAGTTAATACTAAAAGGCGATTGCTATTTGATTTAAATGAAACTTTTCGTTTTAAATACGAATTCGATAAAATATGTGTTTTTTATTTTATTAATATTGATTAAATTTAAATATTATTTATTTTTTTTAATTTTCTCTTAGTGTTGAAAATCTTAACTTATTACATAACAATTTCTCGCTACCGATTTGTCCACTGTCAAGATTTTTATATTATTTGGTGTTTAATTTCTTAACTTACCAGTAATCAAGTCTAATAAAGATATTTATTAATAATTACACATATTATAAGGTTTTCATGTATAAAATTAGTAATTTATTTTTTCAAATATACAATGAAATATTAAAAAAAAACAAATTTTAATAATATATAATTTAAAATATAAAATATAGTTTAAAATATAAAAATTTTAAAAACAAATATTTTAGAAAAAAATATTCAAACAAATAAAGCAATTTTAACCGAAGTTCAGATCACTAAAAATGATAAAATAAGAAGTTAAGATATGTTTTTACCGCAATTAAAAAAAATACACTTATTTTCATGTTGTGTACTCATTGTTATAATTATAATTATACAGATAATAATACAAATAAATATATTAAATGGTAAAACCACGCAAAAGGGACCTTAGTCTTCAGTACTCAAGTGAAAATATGAATAGTGATTATGAAATAGGGAAGATTTTTTATCTAGTTGGATATTTTTACATTGATAGGTTTTAAAAACAACACAAAAATACAAAATAGGCATGATAATTCGTGTTACAATAAGATGTAAACATAGCTAATACATCCTGTTTTTAATGCAATTCCAAATATAATCCTGGCGCCGAGATATCGTATTATTAAATCGTACTCTTTTACGTGGTCTATAGTACAATTGTTTTACGATCTCTCAAAAAGTGTTAAATTTTATTTTTAATCGTGTTAAATTTGTAGGGTCACATGAATTCATGAAATTAGGCTTGTCAGAATCTATCATTAAAGTAAAAATGACCCATACTAATTATACAACTGGAATTATATCTCTAGCTATATATATGATCTTATAGTAATTAAGAAAATGTTTTTATTGGAAGTTGTATAACATAAATCAAAGATAATTATGCAATCATACCGATTTTAAACACATCAGAAAAAGATGTTTCGATTTCTATAAATAATATTAAATTTTATTTTTTATCACAAGATTTCGTGCTCATAAATAATATGTAAATACTATCAATTGTAATAATGTTAATGCTAATAATAATAATAATAGATTAACTCTTTTAAATCAAAACCTTAAATTAAATCATTTAAACGGCAAAGAAAAGTCGTCTATTAATAATCTATACAATCAATTTAATGATATATTAATTTTATCCGATGATAAATTATCTTATACTAATCAAATTGTACATAAAATAATTACTCCTAATGCTCATCCAATTAATATAAAACAATTGATACCCTATGTGTCATAACGAGGAAGTTGATAAACAATTAAAAAATCTTTTAAAGCAAGGTAGCATTGAAAAGTCAAATAGTCCATGGAACTCGTCTAGAATTCTAAATTTTATAAAGGAATATATATATATTATGTTTTGTCTGTTAATAAATATTTTTTTGATTTGTTTTATACTCTTTTTTTATTTTCATAAAAATTATAAATTAATTGTTCAAAAAAAGAGTTATATAAAAGATTAAATAATCTGAATTATTTTTACCATGTCAGAAATATTTATTAACGATATTTTTTAAAAAGGCACTAGTATAGAATTTACTCAATACCTACAAAAAAGAATGAACCAATAAGTTAATACTTATTTGAGTCATTATGATATCTTAACTATATGCTATGTTAAGTGGAAAAAATGATACATAATAAATGTATTCGTAAAAAATTATAATGTTATATTTATGAATAAAATGAAATTACACCTTTCAGAAAAGCTAGATACAAAAATAGTGCTTATTATTTAAAAAAAAAATGTATAAACATGCAAAATCATGTTTGAGTATCGTATTACTGGCTTGTTAAATTAATTAGATTAGAAACATAATTTTAAGTAAAAATTAAATTAAAAGCAAAGTATCAGATATCTTATTTTAACAAATTTTAAAATTTTATATTTTTCATAATTTCAGAATGTTTAGAATTTATAATACATGATTTCAAAATAGGTTATTTTATGTATTTATGTTATTTAAAATATGTTACATGTTTATATGTATGAAAACACTATAAATTATTTATTCTATGTATTATTGTTTTGTATTAACATATATCAGTTTGCTGTGTATCCTATTGTGACTCAAATGTGTTATGTATTAAAATTTTTGAAATAATATTTTAGATATTATTTCTCTTTAAGGGCGATGGTGTCGTGAACCCATAATTATTTTGTAAATTTTAGTTTTAAGCAATTTATATGCAACATTATAATTACTATAAAGTATTATAGTATTAATATTTTAATGATTATTTAATGAAAAATGTAAATATAAAAGGAGCCTTGACCATCTTCTCAGTGGTCAGTGTTCTATCAGTGAATGTTATATTATAATTAGTTATTACTTTGACTCTTCCTGACAACACTTATCCGCGTTGTCAAATTGGACTTCGAACACCCAGTTTACCACTTATTATTTGGCATCCCTGAAAAATTTGGTTTCAATTGATTACCCCATACGTAGGTAAATTTAATGGGATACTATTCTAAAATAAATGAAATATTTGAAGCGGACTTAATAAAAAGAAAGCCATTTATGCACATCTAATAGTCCATAATAATAATATATTTTATTATTGTGGACTATTAGATGTGATTATTATATATCTTAATATAGTAATACAAATACAAAATAAGTATAATATAAAAGCTTTGTGATATTGGGGCACAGCTCACATTATGATTTTTATCATAAAGATTTTTCAACTCATCCTAATTACAAAGTTATTTATCTGCACTGCTTTCTGTTTAAAATAATTTTTAAAAATATTTAGAGACCAACAGTTTAGTCTTGTACTGTAATACCACATTTTATATCAAAGTTCTGTTAAGGATTCTTAGTATAGTATTAAAATAAAAAATTAAATAATATTTCAATGAAAAATAATTACAAAGAGTTAAAATCATAAATAACCTTACATTATGTCATAAAATGCAATTAACGTGCATAACAATAACAGTTTAATTATGTGCATCATACATTCATTTAATAATTATTAAAGATTTAAAATACCACGTATATTTTAACCAATAGAAGCACTCAAAATTTACGCTATCTATCAGCATAATCGCCTGCGTCCAGTACATCGTTTCCCTGCGACCATTCATGATAAAAATTGGACTGCCAAAATTGTGTACGGCGTGGTCTATCTATGTGTATTTAATCTATGACAATCTATTTAATCTACAACCAAATATAACTTGGAATATTAACATTTATGTCATTACTTCGGATTTTCAAAAATCATCATTCTCACTTCGATCATAAAAAATAATTACGTATCATTAAATTATTGTCACAAATTATCAAGAGTACATTTTTCTTCGAATATGATGAGACAATTTTTGAAACATTCACCGAGTATTTTGAAAATAGCTCATCCGGGTGAATTATTTTCTAGCTATTCTACACGGAGTGTTTACTTCTAGAGATTGAAGATCCTCATTTCCCTAAGAGGTTGCTCAAATCGGTTATTAAAGAGCCCAAAAAAATATTAAAATCACAAAAAAAAGAAATTATTTAAAATTTGTTTAATTAATTGTTTTTTGTTTCACCCCTTATTCGCCTTTATACCAACTATTTGCAGGGCAAATCCCGTCCCATTAAAATCTTTTAGATTACTGTAAATTAAAGGTGACTGTGTCGTAAAAAGCTGCATAATGAGATATAAAAACCCAAACGAGGGAACAATGGAAATTTTTTCAATTTTTAAGGGTAATGTCTTCGACTAGATACGATTTGTGATCTTTTGACGTATCGTTGAAAGAAATCCGTTCGGTGAGAGCTGAGAAAAAGTGGTAACAGACACAAAAAAAAAAAAAAATAAAAAAAAAACACATCATAGTAATACCAATACCTTCTCAGCTTTGCATCGAAGCTAAAAAACTCAGCACAGGGGGATCGCGGCAGAGTGGTGCCGTGGTATAGTTAGATCAAGTGTAATGATATCTGACAGTGATTAAAATCACTATCTAAAGAAACGCTTCAATGCAATTCTGTAGATAGTGTTTCATTTAGAGAAATTGGTGGATTATTCCAAAAGCAACATCAACTCTTATTTTGTACTTTCATTTTCAGAACAGTACATTATTAATCATCTTTTTTTTCTCATCTATGATGTATGAGTATGAGTTTATCGTTTAAATTGGGATTCATCTATGACAAATAAGCTGCCCAACGTATACTCAACGCAGTTACCAACATTTTTATCAAAATTAAATTTTTTACATAGTCCCACGTATAATAACCTGCTGAATTTTTTTTTAATTATTCTATAATATAAACAAAATTATTATAACTAGAATATTAATAATTTTTGTGTATACCAGGGGTGTATTTAAGGAAGATATGGGCCCCTCTTGAACCAGTTCTATTAATATTTTTTAGGCAACTTCTAATAAATAAGGACCTAATGTCCTTTTTTTTCATCATTACTTTAATTTTTAGCAAAATATTCTATAACATGTTTAATAAAGTAATGTAGATGGGACAAGTATAGATGATATCTGACAGTGATTAAAATCACTATCATAAGAAACGCTAAGATACAAATCTGTAGATAGTGTTTCATTTAGAGAAATTGGTGGATTATTCCAAAAGCAACATCAACTCTTATTTCTTTAATTACATCCTGATTAGTAGTTCTTTGATTTTAAAATATAATATATGAATAAATACTAATTATAGTTTTTAAATTTAGTATGAAATTGTGATTCAATAATTTAATATTGTAATTTAAACGGAGAAATTATAAAAATAATAAAGAAGTTATATTTTGCTTTACTTTTACGTGTTTAAAAATTTAAAGGGCTTGATACAATAATTTTCAATAAAAACTGTTTGTTACTATAAAAAAATGCATTGGACTACAAGGAACTTTCATCAGAAGCAAAAATATCCTTTTCTAAATCAACTTTTCGCGTTGTTTTCAAATCTGCAAGTAGACTTTTTCTATCGCTTCTAATTTTTTATATTATAGTAAAAAAAATGTGATATAATACCATAACTTTTAGTTCAATTACAAGTTTAAAATTGACATCTAGGCCAGTCAACAAAGGAAAAATTGCGGAAAAATTCCCAACTAAATTTTGTTTTTTTAAAATTTAAATTAAAATATGTATAATGACATACTAATAGTCCTCATCGATTGGAATTGAGCTTTTTTTTTACAGCCTCGCAAAAGTTCAAAAATATGAGCTTTTTAATTTTCTCAAAAAATATTTAACTTACAAAAAAAAGTTTCGTACAAAAGTTGTTTAAAAGACAATTATAAACAAAAAAATTATCTTATATTTTTTCATTTAAACAAATATTTTTCGAGTTACATTATATTTAATATGAGTACTAAAATTTATATTCCATTTTTTTCATTTTACGGTTACTTTTTATCATGTTATACTTACGTTAGACACAATGTTATAAATGCATATGTGTGTATGTGTGAGTTTATTTATTTATTGTATCATTAAAGTGTAGTGTATATTNTGAGTTTATTTATTTATAGTATCATTTAAGTGTAGTGTATATTAAAATACAACCGATAGAGTAGGTAATTGATTTGACGCTATATTGTTTAAACCCAACTAAACGTTGAATTGTACATTCCCAAACAACAATCATATTATGTCAATTGCCACCGGAATTTCTGGTAATCTTTTTCTTTTTCTTTGCCTTAATCCCAAATACTTGGGGTCGGCCACCCTTATCCTAAGCTTCCACCTGACACGATTTCCTACGCTCACATCAGCTGTCCTCATGTCGCCTTCAATAACATCCCTCAATCTCATTTTTGGTCTTCCTTCAACATTCATTTCTATAACTTTTCTTACAGCTTCCGATTCTTCTCTCTTCATAACATGACTAAACAATCTAGTCAATTAAGTCTATTTTCTGTCATCTTATCCACGATTGACGCAACACCTATGCTTCCTCTTATATGCTCGTTCCTTATATTTTTTCAATTTTTTTTAATAAAAACTGCCGTAACTTTTTCAAAAATGAACATATCAATATAATTTTTTTATATAGATGCTTGATGTCTTTACCTATCATTTGGTATATTTTTTTTGTAAATCTGACCCTTTTTCTGCCCACAGGGGGGAATTTATGACAATTTTTTTACAAAAAATTAACTTTTTCAACTTGACTATTGAAAATGTTCCAGAAGGTCTGACACTTTTATATATATCTTAAGTTAAAGCTTATGTAATATACTTTAATTTGAAAAAAAAAATTTGACCTCTGGACTTATCTTCGTGGTGAAAATAGCTATGACACGGCCCGCGTCGCTTCGTTATACACGATGCCCCGCGACTCGTGCCACCTTTATCAGCCGTCGCCCTACTATGAATATTTGACTGACCAACACCGCGTGTTATACGCTACGGTGCAAAGTCCAGCAAATGCCGCACGGCCGACGACGACCCGCCGAAAATGGTGCGAGAGTCTTCCTCCCGTTGTGAAAGCGACAACGTCGACAGCCGAACCGCACCCGCGCACCGTCGCCTACAACGCTGCTAACCATTTTGCCGTCCAAGGATTACGCCGAACATCGCGTCGTCGACGCCAGCGAAAGTGCCGCGATATTATGCGAAGATTATTATTACTGTGTTTATCTTTTCGGTTTGTTTTATTTTTGTTAACATAATCTGTTGTCGCTCATTTAATAAACGGCCCACGGTTCTCTACCCTCAAAACCAGAGTCGACCACCTTTTTTGCTACGTGAGTCGTGTCAGCTACCAAATGCTATTTTTGTGTGAAAATTCTCGATTTTTTTTTTTACATTTTTAACTTTATTATGCTATAACTTTTTGAAAAATATATGGATGAATACAATTTTTTTATGAGAAATAATATTTTTTAATAATCTTTTTTTCATTCGACATACTTTATCTTAATCAGGATATTAATAAGGAACTAGCAGATCATGTAGCTTTTGGAATAATACACCAATTTTTTTAAAATTAAACACTATCTAAAGAATTAAGTAAAATTAAAACTATATTAAAAATATTATTAATTTAAAAAACTAAAAAATATTAAAAATATTAACTCAAAGCCACAAAAATTAATGAAAAGTCGCGGATACGTATTTCGGAAACAATGTTACCATTATCAACGCTAAACACATACTTTAAATTTTGAAATTTTTTATTTAACTTTTCTTTTTTTGTTTTAAATTTATGTTAAACCACTTGGTACATCTTCAGCTCGAAGATGTCCCACTGTGATTGACTCAAAAAATTAGAGAGTTTTAAATGTAATTGATAAGCCCCCATTTCTAATCTACTTCTATTGCGATAATGATTTATTATTTCTAACTTAAGAAATTTCTCCTGAGCGAAATTTATTGACTTGTAAAAATTAATATTATTATTGTTTGACTTACTTGGTAATCTGGCAAACTTCGGAGTCATATGGAACTTAATACATTTTTTGAGAAAAAATATATCAGCTCCAATCAGGCGTACTTTCGTCTTGATTTGCATCAGTTTGTTTAACTCTTTATTATGATCAAAAGGCCCGAACGCCATAATTATATAATAAAAATTGATCACTTGTGGCTAGTTAATTAAGTAAAATTAAAACTATATTAAAAATATTATTAATTTAAAAAAACTAAAAAATATTAAAAATATTAAACTCAAAAGCCACAAAAAAATTAATGAAAAGTCGCGGATACGTATTTCGGAAACNACACATACATGAGTATGTGTTTATCGTTAATAATGGTAACATTGTTTCCGAAATACGTATCCGCGACTTTTCATTAATTTTTGTGGCTTTGAGTTAATATTTTTTAGCTTTTTAAATTAATAATATTTTTAATATAGTTTTAATTTTACTTAATTAGCCACAAGTGATCAATTTTTATTATACTATCTAAAGATTTGCATCGAAGCGTTTTTTTTTTATAGTGATTTTAATCACTGTCAGATATCATTATACTTGATCCAACTATGCCACGTCACCACTGTGCCGCGACCCCCCTGTGCTGGGTTTTTTTTTTTGTTGTATTTTATTAGTCATTATGATAGAATCTTTTACGTGAGCGTTTTAGAATGCGCAAGAAAGTGGTTTAATTTTGTGTATGTGTATTGGTGGTATATTTGTATAAAGTATATATAATATTTATTACATGTATTAAAATGTGATACTACACCATGCCGACGATTTAAAAAATATGTGGAGTTGTTATATCATATAATTTTGATGTATTCTGTCCAAAAAAACAAAATTTTGGTCCCCTCAATTAATAATTTATAATATTTAAATTTGCTATCGAACCATAGTGCGGCGTGATATTGTTAGAATAAAGAAATTAAATAGAGACTACTCACCTACTAAGAAAACTCACAATGGATTTTAATTATTAAATAATCATATAAATTTTATTAGATTTGTTATTAAAATAAATTGAAATAATTAAAACAGATGTGTTGATAATTAATTAACTTTAATTGACATTAATTTCCTTATAATAATAGGAAAACAAAATATTATTATATAATAAATAAATAAATGGTTACATCAAAACAAAATTCACTTCAATGATTTTAAGTCTCAAATAATTAAAAAAATATTTTAAGTACAAAGAAATTTGATAAAATGAAGTGTTTTTAAAATTGAAAAATCAACTAAGTTCCAGAAAGAAATATCTTGAGTAGTACGATTCCTAGTATAATCTTGGAAGTGAAGAATATTAAATCAAATTGATTAATTATGTTAGAAATTCTATATGTAGGCATTACTTTAAAATCTGTATAATAATTAGGTTTATTTCCACAAGTAGCTGATTATATTGTGTTGATTATATTGTTCTATTTTTGAAAGAGAACCATTTTTTGGCGATCTTATATATTTATGATATCAGGAATTCATTTAAAAGTATATATAAAAAATAATCAGATAAATTTAAATAGTATAATAATTTAAAAATGCCTATTATTATCTTTAAGATATAGTTAGTAAAATTCTTAGTAAATTACTTCTTATTATCCTAGACATCTTCATTAGCGTCATCATTTTTGTCGCAGTCTTTTACTTCTTTTATTTCATCCTCTTTATTTTTATCATCACTTTCTTTTTTATTTTCCTTCTCATTTTGAGCTTTCTCTACAGTTTTATCAGCGTCTTCTTTTTCATTAACTTCTTCATTTTGATCAATATCTTCAACAAAATAGGTTTCGATATTAGCGTCTTCTACTTCATCTTCATTCAATATGTAATCTATTTCAGGAAGTGTGTCGAAACTCTGTTCTCTAGAGAGATTACCTTCTGTAGTTGTGTAGTAACTTTCTGTTTCGCTGACTGTACTATCATAAATGGTTAAATCCTCATCGACATTTGTAAAGAAACTTTCTGCTTCGCTGTCTGTACTGTCATTAATGGGTAAATCCTCATCGATATTTGTAAAGAAACTTTCAGTTGAAGTTACTCTTGATAGGTTATCACCACTATCAGATATAATGGAGGAAGAAGGAGAACGATTTTTTCTTAGCCCAATGTATTTATTTTCTTCATCATTTTTAGCTTCCTCAGAATTTTTGGCTTCCTCATCATCTTTAGCTTCCTCATTATCTTTAGTTTCATCATCATCTTTAGCTTCTTCATCATTTATAGCATCCTCATCATTTTTAGTTTCATCATCATCTTTAGCTTCCTCAGAATTTTTGGCTTCCTCATTATCTTTAGTTTCATCATCATCTTTAGCTTCCTCAGTATTTTTGGTTTCCTCGTCATCTTTAGTTTCATCATCATCTTTAGCTTCCTCAGTATTTTTGGTTTCCTCGTCATCTTTAATTTTCTCATTATCTTTAGCTTTTTCAGCATTTATAGCTTCCTCAGCATTTTTAGATTCTTCATCATTTCTAGCTTCCTTGTCATCTTTAGCTTCTTCAGCACTTTTAGCTTCTTCGTCATCTTTAGCTTCCTCAGCATTTCTAGATTCTTCATCATTTATAGCTTCCTCATCATTTTTGGTTTCCTCATCTTCTTTAGCTTCCTCAGAATTGTTGACATCCTCATCTTCTTTAGCTGCCTCATCATCTTTAGTTTCATTATCATCTTTAGCTTCCCCAGCATTTTTGGTTTCCTCGTCATCTTTAGTTTTCTCATCATCTTTAGCTTCTTCAGCATTTATAGCTTCTTCAGTAATTTTAACTTCTTCATCATCTTTAGCTTCGTCAGCATTTTTAGATACTTCATTATTTCTAGCTTCCTCCTCATCTTTAGCTTCTTCAGCATTTATAGCTTCTTCATCATCTTTAGCTTCCTCAGCATTTCTAGATTCTTTATCATTTCTAGCTTCCTCGTCATCTTTAGCTTTCTCTTCTTTGTCTTCTTTTTTAGCTACATCATCTACATTTTCATCATTCTCTTCATTTTTTTCGTCGTCTTTTTTTTCAATAATTTCCTCATTTTGATCAATATCTTCAACAAAATAGGTTTCGATATTAGGATCTTCTACTTCATCTTCATTCGATATGTAACCTCTTTCAGAAAGTGTGGCTAAACTCCGTTCTCTAGAGAGATTACCTTCTGTAGTTGTGTAGTAACTTTCTGCTACGCTGACTATACTGTCATTTCTGGGTAAATCCTCATCGACATTTGTAAAGAAACTTTCATTTGAAGTTACTCTTGATAGGTCATCATCACTATCTGATATAATGGAGTAAGAAATAGAACGATTTCTTCCTAGCCCAATACGTTTTTTTATTTTTGTTATAACCTTTTAAAAATTATAAATATATATATATATATTATATATACAGGGTGATTATTTAATTATTGAAAAAATGACTTGTGGATAACAAATTTTGGACCACTATTTTGAAGTTATATACATTTTTGTACCTAGGCAAGGGAAAGTGAGGTCTATAAATGTCTAGCTATTAAAATAGCAGCGTCTACGCTTTTCTTCTAGTCATTACATAAAATTATTTATAATTTATACAAAACAAGTCATACTTTTAATTATATCATTATATGGTAAATGAGCACTAAAAATATTAAACATGGGATGAACGTAAAAAATACTTCTTGAATGGTAAGTTAAGTAAAATATGTTACTAAAATAAACCAATAAAAAGGTTATTAATATTATTTTTGTCTTTCAAATAATTAAGCAATTCATGATAACAGCATTCTGTATAATTTATTAAGTATACTACCCCCAATTTTTTTGTTAAACAATGATTTTTCATAAAATTTTACATAAAAAATTTTTATTTATTATTTGTATCATAGTTAATACTACATTTATTTCAAGGTAAAATTATTTCTATGGGTAGTTTTCAAGAGTAAATTTCTAAGTTAAATGGGGACTTATTGTTATTTTTGTACTATTAAATAGTTAATTGATTAAATAAAATTTAGTGGATTTTTTTAGTATTACTAACTGATTTAATATAATATTTATTTTTAAGTAAAATAAATACATTAAAATTCAAATTTAATCAAATTTCAAAATTCTTTAGGAATTTAATCACTTAACATTAAGAGGATTTTGCTAAAAAATAAATTTTTTATTATTAACTCTAAAAAATTTTGAATGTTTTTAAATTTATAATTTTTATAATATCGTTTTTAGAATTATATCCAAATAAGTTTTTAAAAAGATAATAACGAATAATATTAAGGTAATTATTTATTATAGGATTTGTCTAAAAAGGTGGATCATCTTGTATATATCTTAGTTTATAAAACTTCTTTTTGGTTAATATTTTACATCTTGTAAGTGTGTCTTAAATAATTTATTTTTGAATGGCAATTTTAAATTTAATTAGCCTGTCTTTCTTCTATATTCCCACCTTCATCCAAACTACTTAGGGTTGGCGATCCTTATCCAAAATATACACTTAATACCATCACTCATATCATTTACGCTCACATCAGCTGTCCTCATATTACATTCAATAGCATCCCTCCATCTCTTTTTTGGTCTTCCTCTACCTCTTCTTCCTTCAAAATTCATTTCTATAACTTTTCTTACAGCTTCCGATTCTTCTCTCCTCATAAAATGACCAAACCATCTAAGTATATTTTCACAAACAGTAGTTTACTTTTTACCATCGTCGTGATCATTACTCTTTTGTCTTATATTTAATTAAATTAGCTACCACCAAAAGAGTGTGTATGTCGTCATCAGCTCTTTGTTGGATTATATCATCTTAAGGTGTTTAGTAGGTTGTATTGTTAATTTATAATTTACATGATAAACTATTATTTCGTTGCATAACCAAGAGTGTTTTAATAATCAAAAATTTATAATTTTTTTTTTTTAACTGAATTTTATAATTATGTAGAAGTACTCACATTATTTGGTACTTCTTTTATTCTATGGGATTTCATAAATAGCGTTGCGCATGCACTTATTGTTTGATTGCACAACTGTACCGAGCCAAATTTAGCTAACTGATTTCTATTGAGCTTACTACGAATATATTCAACTATTTCCTCAACTATTTCCTGTGCATTTTTTTTTTTATATTCGAAAAGGTACATGTATTCTCTGAGCATTTCTTTCATTTCATAGTCAAATGAACTTCCTATAATTATAGAAAAAAAGTTTTTCATAAGAATTTTAGCACAAATTATATTATTTATTTATTAGCATATAAACCATAAAAAAGAAAATAATTTTATATTACCTATTATAAAAATTTTAAAATATAAAACATTGAATTGGTGACAGGACGTAATTTAAGAGCATAAATTTAATAGTTAATTTGTCTGTTTCATAAACCATAATAACTATTTTAATAATACATACTTCTTAATACTGTACTCACTTTATACAAAAAGTATTTAATTTTGTATTAAATGAAATTGTAAAACTTGTGATATGGATACAGTTCACTGTATACAAAAATTAAACAGAAAAAGTTTACTAATAAGTTTAATAAGTAAAGGATTAAAATAATTTAGGTAAAAATTTTAGTAACATTTTTCGGAGTAATTTAATCATTCAGTTTGGAAAATAAGTGGTACAAATGTACTCAATAAAATTTCATATTTTTAAATTAATTGGATGGCAAAGTTTAGACTATGGCCGTCTTTAGATATTTTGCATTGTCTATTTGTAGGTTATTTGGGTATACGTCAATACCATTTGGCAAACAAGATTAATCGTGTAAGTTTTAAATTATACTAATTATTTAATTTTATGAAGCCATTATTTATAAAAATTGTTGTTTGTTAGTTTGAAGTTGAATTTTGTTACTTACGACATATTTTTAAAAGTAAAAAAAAGAACCATTAGTGCTAAGCTCTTATTTATTCTTTTCAATTACTTCCAATCTATTTTATTATTCATAGGCTAAATGATTTTTATATCTCAACTATTCAATTCAATACTAGTTATCAATTAATCACCAATAGCATTATAATGTAATGAAGCGAAAAATGACAAATGTCAATTTCAAAAAAAATGGTTACTTATACTAAAAATCCTGCCAAAATCAATATATAAACATTTTCTACCCTCTTATTTCGAACCGAAAATATATTTCCACTGGCAATTACTCAAAATTATTTTTAATGTAAAATCTTAAACTAGACAACGATTTTTACTATATAATGCTTGTAAAAATTGAAGATTCATTAGAATTGTTTGAAATATCTTTCCAAACATCCTAATTGTTCACTAAACAAGAGTCCAATGTGATAGGACTTTAATAAATAAGTCGTTTTGATAATTTTCATTATCTTTATCTTATCTAAATGAATTTATTATTATAATAATTTATTATTATAATTTAAAATATTTTAAAGTTATCTAAATAGTTATCTCAAATACAATATTGACTTATTTAAAGAGATTTACCCTAATTAATGTGGTTTAATAAAAAATGTTAATCCCAACCGTAGATTTGAACATCAAAAATATAAATCAATCAAAAAAGTAATTTTAGTAAAATAAACTATTTAAATCTACCAATGATCAGAAATTTTTTGGATTTATAATTAAGATTATTTCTATCCAAACAATGTTTAAGTTTTCTTCTTCCATATCTAAATTTTTCTAACTTTAGGTTTCTTTCTTGAGTTTTTTTTAGAGTTTTTTTTATAATTTCTGGATTAGTTGATATTTGTGAAATAAAAATCTATACAACAAAAATTTATAATAAGTCTCATACAATTTTTTCAATATTTATAAATTATAAAAAATTTCATTAATTATCTATTTATTATCGTTGAAAAATTTGATGAAATTTGATAGTAAGATTTTATTTTATCAAAATAATTTTATTAATACACTTAAACGCTAGTCTCTTGATTTCTCTTAAAATAATAATTATTTTAAATATATTATTTTTGGTATTTTTTAGTTTTATATTTCTTGATTTGTTAGCAGTTAATTTTTTTTTTAATCCATTCCTTATAACTTATAAATAACGGTAATATAAATATTTAACTAGTTTATAAAATAAATTATGATTTAATTAAGAAGGTGACTGATTGACTATAGTTTTTAGGCCAGTACTTTGAAGTTTGTTAAACTTTTTGTAGCTTGGGGAAGAAAGGAGTCCGATAAATTCCAAGCAGAATTTTTTGGTAAGTATTAACAATGGACGAAGTATTAAACCAGTACTGGCAATTGGCCATTGATAAGTACTGATCCGTTTTAGTGAGCAGTGCTTGATTACCATTTCTGGCAGAGTACTGGCGTAATATTGGTTATACAAAACCTCCAGCACTTAGATTTTAATTTGATTTACATTAAAATCAAAATAAATATATAACACTTAATAAATATAGTTTAGAAAAACTAAAAAAACACGCTTTTAAAGCACATCGAACTAAAAAACTTAAAAATAATTTTTAGTTTTATGTTTTGATAGTAGTTACTATCAATATCATGGTTGTAATGGGTAACGGGAAATCAGGGTTCGATTCCGGAGAGGGAGTCTGAGAAACGGCTACCACATCCAAGGAAAGTAGCAGGCGCGCCAATTACCCACTTCCTGAACATGGTGGTAGTGACGAAAAATGACGATACCTTTGTAATCGGAATGAATACACTCTATATCTCTTAATGAGAATAAAGCGTGTTAATAAATATTTTTAATAGTAATTAGAATACACGTAAAGCGATTTAAGTACGTAAACGTATAATGCACAAAGTATAGCTGTGTTTTGTGGGCGGACGGGGCGCGGGGGAACGTTGTACGCGAATCATATGCGGCGGCTGTAGGAATATATATATACACACATGCATACATACATATATATACAGGGTGTTCAGTAAGTCAGGAAACGGGTTTCTATTGTTCTCATTGTTTGTAACAATGAGAACAATAGATACCCGTTTCCTGACTTACTGAACACCCTGTATATTAAGGCGACATAAGTACATAAACGTATCATGCACTAGGTATAGCCTTGTTTTGTGGGCGGGGGGAACGTTATACCTAAGGTAGAAACGGCGGCAGCGGCGGTACGAATATATAAATATATATACGTAAGGCGCTTACAGGGTATTGGTCAGTCAAAATAAAAATTTGTTTATGTATATATATAATTGATGACAAGCACGCATATACGGGTACGAAAACCAAAAATAAAATTATACAGAGTGTTCAGTAAATAAGGAAACGATTTTCTATTGTACTCATTGTTTGTAACAATTTAACTGTTTCCTAACTTACTGAACATTTTGTATACGATTAGTGTTGACGTTGTGTGGTGAGCAGGGTGGGGGTGAATGCGTTACGAAAGTCTAGTCTCAAGGTCATAGACGACGGGATTCGCGAGAATAATAACATGTGGCGCGTGGAGAGTTACAAACAACAAATCCACAGCATACAAGTGAAACTAATACAAGCGTGTTAAAAAATATAAATATAATTTTCTTAACATAATTTTTATTTTATAAGAAATCTAAGAATGTCTAATTTTGTTATCATTAAATTAGAGAGTTAAGATTATTCAAATAGATCAAATAATATAAATTGATTATATATTTGTTTTATAAAAGTATAATGGATGGTCCACAATATTTTATGTGTCTAATAACATTTGATCTACTAAATATTCTTACGTTACTTTTATTTTGAATAATTTATGTATTATTAGAAATATTTTAATATAATATAAATCATATGTTTTATTATTAATTTTTAATAATAATAATAAAAAATAATCTCTAATTTTAAACTACTCATATTTTAGATCCTTTCTTACAAAATTTTAATGATATTTATTAATTTACAACTATAAAACAATTATCAAATTAATTATAAGCATTTTAATATATAGTGTGGGTGAAGTATAATAAATATACATATACATATAATAATAAAAATATAGACTAGTACGAACTGTATCTAACCACTCTATTTATTAATATTCTTGTGACTAAATAAGTATTTGTCCTAAAGTTATTATTGAACCATTAACATTTGTGTTAGAAAAGTATTAAAAACTAGCTATTTTGAAATTTTGAAAAATGTGTATATTAATAAAAAATAAAAATATTATTATTCAACGTTGTTTAGAATGTACAAAAATTACAGAAATTGTTAATACCTTTGTGTATAATCATAAAAAATACTCACAAATATTAATATAGATAAGAGAATAATACACTTCATTTTTAATTTTTCAATGTGTCTGAAAATATTATTTGTAAAATATCTGTTTAGGACCTTTAAAAAAATTAAAATAATTATCAAATTATTAATTATTGTCAAATTTGTATAACATATTACTAACGTGATTTTAGGAAATTGAGGGGATTTTTTGAATTTAAGCGTTAATAGTTTCAACTAGATATAATTTGTGATCTTATTAAATATCGTTGAACAAAATCGGTTAAATAGGATTGAATTATTCATAAAGACTATCAGCAAACAAAAAAAAACACGGCATGGTTAAACCAATACATTCTCAGCTACATATCGTAGCTAAATTATTTAAGGTGCTGGCATTGGAAAGGTATTAAGTCACAAAAATTAAATTTTACAGGTGAAGGAAAGGACAGTTTAACAAACCAATTGGACGAATTATGAGCATCTTTTTGTTTTTAACATAATTTTTATTTCAATTGGTATTTTGACCACATTATTAGGATATACTTGTTGTTGTATGTATATGTTGTACATGTATGTTCACTTCATTGTTAATGAAAAGACAAAACATTTATTTTTAGGATTTAATACCTTTTTTATGTCATCGCCTGATGTAATAGTTAATTAAAAATCATTTCCTAAAAAAAACTGTAAATAAAATTTAGTTATGCACGATGTAGATATTAAAGGTTACTTAGATGTTTTATAATTTAACTTAAAAAAAATAATTAAACTTAAAAATAAGTTTATGATTCAATGTAATCAGATGGATTTATATAATTAATAAAAAAAAAACATTTAACTTACAGAAAAATAAGTACATCAACGAATATATATTTATTATACAAATATAATTATTTAACTTAATTTTAATAAAAAGATTCAATTACTATTTAGGTTTATATATCCATTTAAAATATAAAATTAGATCTAATATTGATATTAATGACAAAAGATTTGTTTAAAAAGAAGGAAAAAATAGTTAATATTTTTGGAAACGGAGTTTTTTGTAGCTAGTTAACTACAGCTAATAATATAATTTATTAAAAAACTAAAAATGAAATGATATTGCCCCTTCTCAAAATATTGTACATGCTATTCTTTATCAAAATCATTTAAATTATATTTTATGTACATTCATTTTTAATTTGAAAATATGACGCTCATATTTTTTAGAATAAAAAAATATACTATTATTTTGCTTAAAGAATAAACAAAATTATTTTCATCAATAAAATTTTGTTATTGTAGGTTAATTGAGTTGCATTGTTAAAAATTATAGTTTATTTTATTATCTTAATTTCTTTTTCGTAAAATGAATATAAATTTAAAGAAACTATTAAATATTTAATCTTCATAATACCAAAATCTTTAAATTTTTGTCCAACATTAAAATAGTATAATTTAAAGAAATTTTTTCTTTTCCCGAGAAAAATGTGGCTGTATAAATAAATTTTATATTGGATATCAATAAATAGCAAAATTTATTTCATATAATATAATGATGATAGGAATATATTATTTAACCTTGAAAGAGTAACAATATAATTTATTCATTTTTTATTTTATATAAATATAATGTAATTTTAGTCTCTATGATAGAAAAGGGTGCGTAAAGTTGGTACTTTTAAGCTTTAATTAAATTTCTTAAAGAAATTTATTACTAGAGCTCTGCCGTGCTAAGCAAAAACAGGATAACTCCAAAATTAAAAAAAAATTTTTTTTTGTTTCTATAGGTAAATTTAGTGATTTTACACCGATTTTTGATGTAAAAGTAGCATATTTCCTATTAAAACCCATCTAAAATTGAAATATAAAATAAGAAAATATACAGTAAGTTCAATATATTTGATGTTTTATAAGCGAAAACACGGTAAATCCAAATACTAAGCAAAAACTTGGTAAATCACATAAAAAATAATGGAGTTACCATCTTTTGACTTATGTTCATACATTGGGAAAAAAGGGTATCTTGATTTACGTTAAAAATGTTTTTTTGTGTTCCTGAAAAATCATATTGACTGGAGTTATCCTGTTTTCGCTTAGCACGGTTGAGCTAGGAGTTATATGTATTTATAAATTTTGTTTGAGTTACTTTGAATGTTGCCAAGTTGGCGCAACTTTGTTTTAGGATTATATAGTAGTGTATAAATAATGTTTGTTATAAATGGGTTAAATCCCTCTAATCCATCAAAAATCTATGACCTGAGTATGAATACATTAATAAGTTTTCAAGTAAATTAATAATTTATCATTAATAAAAATGTATTATTTATTTATTCACGCTTAGATTAAAACCTTGCGTCGTTATACAACAATATTAGTAATTTTAAAAACGTTTAAGTGTGGTTTAAAACAAACATATCTGTTAATTTAAATTATGTTTGAAAAGTTTGCATTTTTAAAATAATTTAATTTGGGAATAATTTTATTCTAGAGTATTACAATTAGTTAACCATATTGAACCATTGAATATATAATTGTATAATTTTTATAAATTCAAAATATAAAATACCTAACTATAAATCAAAACATTTTTCATTTGAGGACTATTGAGATAGTGAGTAAAGGTAAAATTAGGATGTTGTTTTAATTTTAGTTTTTAACTATAAACAATATTTAATGTTCAACTTGGCATAATTTTCAAGCTATATATTTACACAATCAAAGCTATCCATAAAAAAAACTACACAAATATGGCTGATTTTACTAAAAATACAATTTTTTTGTCTTTTCAAAAATAACTGAATTTATTGGCTTACAACATTTGGACAAACATTGTAAGATTATTAAATTTAAAATTTGAAATTAGAAAAATGTTGTAATTTAGCGACATAGATATATTTACACAGTAGAGATCCAAAATTTTCTAAAAGAATAAAATATAGAAAATAACAGTTTTTTTCAGAAAAATTGCAAATAACTTGAATATATATAAATATAATATATTTAAAAATTAATTAACATCACAATATAATTTTAATTATTAATAATTATAAAATATTAATTAACAATTAAAATTCATTTATAAATTATCTAATATATTACGTCAGACAATCATATAAAAAAAACCCAGCACAGTGGGGTGGCGGCATAGTTGGGTCCAGTATAGATGATATCTGACAGTGATTAAAATCACTATCATAAAAAACGCTTCGATATGATATTTATTGAATCTAAATGAGATAAAAATCAAAAGAGTTAAACATTTTTTTCTAACTCAAAAAGAATTAAGAATAAATTCAGTGCCAAAGTGTTACCGACTCAGAAATCGTACCTCGCATTCGTCACTTAATAAAAATGGAAATTTTAAAGTTATTTTTCTCAACTTCAAAGAAACAAAATAATTTAAATATGTTTAACTTTTTATACTATGTCAATTAGATTGATATAATATTTATGAAGATCAGCGTAATCCCCTTATAATAAAATAAAATACAAAACCAAGAATTTTAACACAAAAATAGCATATTTTTGAATATGGTAGCTATGTTCATCATGAAGACAAAATAAAGTCCAAAATTTTTTTTTTTAATATTAAAGTATATTACATAAACTTTAATTTAAGATATATATAAAAGTGTCAGTATTTCCGGAACACTTTCAAAAATTAAGTTGAAAAAGTTCTACTTTCTATATGCATTTTAAAGATTTGAGCCCCCTCTGAATTAAGGGAACTGGGGGTCTATTTTTCAATCGTCCGTTCACGAACGTATACGTTCAGATTTTATTTTATATAGGTTTATATGGCGAACGTTGTCCGTGAACACGTTCGGAACGTATGAAACATCGAACGGACGACCGTTCAAAACATTAAAAAACGTTCGTCACAACGGATAATAGAAACCATCCGTTAGCGAACGGTGGGTCAAACGGTCGATCGAACGGACGGTCATAAATAACAAAAGAAAGGTTTGACCCTTATACTTGCCTTTTAGACAAACATATTTACCTAAAATATAATTTTGAATTAAAATCGTTTTAATTAAATAAATTCATTAAACAAATCAATTATTCGTAGAAGTAGCTATAATCGGAAATAGGGAGCTAAGGCTCCTTCATGTTTGAGTGAGATTTCCTTATTAACTTATGAACATAAAAAAAATATTTAATATATATTTTTATTAATAAAAATATATTTATTATAATAAATATTATTTCAATTAATTATGTTGTTATACAAAACATAAATTAGTTGAAAAAAATGATTGAAATTTACAAACAAAAATTTTTAGTTAAATATTAAAAATTGTTTTAAATAGAACTATTATCTAATAGTTTCCAAATTATTTCAATGCAACTTACAGCGCATCAATGATACATAATATTTGTTTACGATCTCATTAAATGCAGCGAGACCTTTTTTGAGATAATTGAGTAATATAAACAAAAATCACATTATTTAATAAAATTCACTTGAAAAATGCAACCATAAAATACATTGTATACAGAGTGATTTTTTTATCATTACCCACTCAATTACTTACAGAATAATAATAAACTAAACATTTTTATTTCCGATTATCTTTAGTTACACATTATTGTTGAATTATTAATTATGTAACACTTTAAGTTCATCCCTTATACTATTTATGTATAATATATAAGGGATTATAAATACAGGTAGCTAATTGGATTTTTATGACATTGCTGTCATAGTCACGGATTCTTTATTATCAATTATGACTATCATTAGATATACCTTCTGTATTGTCAGTTAGTGTATTTATAAACTCACAACAATGTGCCTTACTACTATTAATAATAACAATGCTGTGTACCTGCTAATATCGATGTCATAAAAAACCAATTAGCTACCAGTATTTGTAAACCCTTGTGTATTATACATGTATATTATATCAAAATTTTTTACCCCTATTGCTTGAACACGTGCAGAAAAAAGTAATATTTATGTTTTAAATATTACGTTGTCTAAAAAAAATGTATAAAATATTAAAATATTATATTCAGTATTATAAATTAATTTCCATTTTTCAGTTAATATGTTAAATAAATTGAAACATAATATTATATTATGATTACTCAGTAATATTAATTAAAACTCGTAATACGTGTAACAACTATTTTGTTGGTTGCATCCTTGCACCTTGTAATAAACCATCTTTTAAAAATTTACCTTAAGTTTTTTGTGAAAATTATTCATGAAATATATGTTTGTTATGTTAACAACTTTTCAAAACAGTGGCGTATTTAGGAGTAGACCGTGACCTAGGGTGTCATTTTTTCCAATTAAGAACTAAAATCTTATTAAATTTATTATTTATTTATATGTAACATAATTTATAAATTATATCAATTAATCTTAAAATGAATAAATAAAATAAAATATATGTAACACTTTATTTTCGAAAATTTAAGTATTGTTGTTTTAAAGTGTATTAATCATTTTTAATTTAACTTGTATGCAATTGTAAATACATTTTTGTTAGAATTTGTGTAATTAAATTATTTATATAGTTTTAGCGAATTACTTAGAATAAATTCACATCAAATAAATTCAATTAGCAAATTATAAATGTATGTATTAGTAATAAATTATTGTTATTAAAAAGTATTATATTAATTAAAAATAAATATTAAAATATTAAAAATCAAGCTGTATGAATTTAATTTTCAAAATATTTATTTATGTTATTACAATAAATTGCAAACAATCGTAAAACATATATGTTCATCGAACAATACCTAAAAGGCCGTATACCTAATGGAACAATAGAATCCGTTCGAGGAACGTGTCCGTTCGTTGACCGTATTTTGACGAACGTTACCGTTCAAGGAACGTGTCCGTTCGTTGACCTTATTTTGACGAACGTGAACGTTCGA